TTCACGCCAAGGCCCATTTTCTTTGGTCTATGAATATGCTCTTCTCATTTGGTGTCTCACCTAAGGTATGGCTGGGATGCCACCGAGTTGTTTCTCTCTCCACCACCACCAGCCGCAAGCACAACCACAACCACCACCACGGCTGTACTAGATGAAGATAGAATTTGTCCCCAGCTTGGCTAACGCATGGCTGCTCATGTAACAAACTCCACCATTTAAGGTTAGAAGATAAAGTAAGTCCCTGCCTCCGTTCATGACTGTCTCGAGTCTCTCATCACTCTTTGCTACTGTCGCTCTCGGCTAGCGCGTCCTGGCCCAGATCTGCTACACACACCTCTCCACACCGAGTGAGGCGAAGGTTATTTGCTCAAAACGTGGGTGTAGGCGCATAGCGTTGTCTATTGGCTCCTTAATAACGGCGAGAGAGGTTTATTCTCGGGAACCGGCAGACGCGAGATAAGGCCCATGGGACCCGCCGCCTATCTTCCCTAACTCAAGAGGGTGTTTTTCAGTGTCTCAACTGTTTAAGACACCTCCAAACACTCCAAACATCCCAAAACTCAACTTACCTGTAAGTACCTCCTACACCCAGCCAGCACGGATCTTCCGGGAAAAGACAGCGCGCCGGGCGGCATTCTACGTGTACCTAAGTTTGGCATGTGCTTTAATCTGTAATTTGCCAACAGATCACGGATGGGCACCATACAATAATCAACAGGGCCAAACTCCTCGCCACAGACGTCAAGTATGGTCGGCAAGACAATGGACGTCTTCAACTGTTCCTATTGTATCCGTAGTAGATAATCACTATATAACAGCTTCTGTTACTACGTTTTCCGGGATATCTCCGAATATTAACTACCTTCGTTGATATGCCGTATACCTAGCCCACGACCCCTATGACGATCGTAGCAACTCAGTGTCTAAGCGCAGGTAACCCCTCCCCCTCCCCCACGCAAAAACATTTCGCAACGCCACCCCAGACAGACACAGACAGGCAGACAGACAGACGAGGCGACGCGGTCCGCTACAGCCTGTCTCTCCGCATTGTATGTCTCCCACGCATTACCGTCGCACCGCTTATCCGATAGGCAGACAAGCTCCCCCCAGCTCGGTTAAGTACTAGTCGCTTCCAAGGTAGCAACAGATCGGCGGTGGATTCCTCAGTCATTCCCGGAGGTCCTTGCAGCTGCAGCGCGGGGCTTGGGCCCGAGTTTTCTTCTTCTTTCTTTTTTTCTTTCTTTTTTCGGCCGCCGGTCCTCCGACCGTTGCGCCCCGGCCTTGTTCTACCTATTCCGGGGACTAGACTTGTTCCGAACGTAGAGTCCGCTCCGGGAAGGTCAGGCGCTCGCGCGGCAACGGTAATCAAGGGTCTGCCCAGACGACGTCATAGTTTCGTGATGCTGCGTTGCTACCCACGTCATGCGCGCGCCTCCGGACCAAGGCGCTCGTTCGACGGTTGTCGTATTCGTAAAGCCGACGCGTCCGTCAGCGTAAGCAGCGGGCATTTCCACCGTATGGGAGCTACGAGATTGTAGGGGCTATGCACGGCAACGTGGCTGTCGAAGTACCTACTATGATATTCACGCACGCAATGCCCGGCTCGAGGTTGGCTAGATCTTCCGGTTGGATCATGACGCTTTGTAGTTAGTTTTGCTTGCCCTATTACTGTTTCGCTCAGTCTTGTCAATATCGTAGGTTAGTCCGTTCCACCTATAGTAGGGTTTTCGCCAAGCTACGAGAAAGTAGGACAGGGCAGCTACAGACGCCGTGTCCCCTGAGAAGGTCTGTGTATGTCTAGAAAGGCCGATAGAGCCTCGGGCGTAATAATAGTACATGTGTCTCGGAGTCTAGACTAGAGGGAAAAAAAAGATAGCCACTTAGTACCAATCCTGTGAACGATATTGCTGTGCTGTCAGGACTAGTTAGCGGTTTTCATGTTGATGACTGATATATCAGTTATGATTGCGGAGGAGACGGCGGGACACCGTGATCCTATCGGGATTGTCCAGACAATCTGTCGGGGAGCTGAGGACGGTTCATATGAGCCTCGGGCTCGTACCCAGGTGGACGAAGTAGAATATGTGGTGGAGCATCTACGAAACAACTAGAAGACCAGATGATAGTGTTACAAATTCATTTATACAGCACCACACGTGTAAGGAATAACTACCTAACCTATATATCTCCTTTGCGCATTTCTTTCGTCGCTGTTATGGCTGCTGTGACTATCATATTCGATCATTCAGCCTTAAACCACGTCGTAGCTGAATGGACTACACTCCAACTCTCTCAGCCTCGCCAAACGACACAGCAAAAGACGTGCAAGTTTTTCCCTTCGCACCAGGTGTGAGTGAAATAAAGTGTACCTACCTAGGTAGTTTCGCTAAGCCCAGACAAGTTACCGTGCGAATGGTTCATGGCTGACAAAGTAATATGTGAGCCAGTGCCGAGATGACGTTGGACCGGGTCTGAGGATCTGGAGAGTCTAGGTGGAGAATCTAGAACGTGCAATAAGGCGAGGGAGATCTCAGTTTCGAAGGTACCTCCAGATGGTTAGCTTGGCTGACGATGGCTGCATCCGGGCGGCGCCCAGCCCCTGTTGTCCAGGGTCGTGAGAAGCATTAGATCCAGTAGGTTTGCAGCCACATGGGGTGGTCTAGACCGCTCCGAAAGGACTCATGAGATACATTGGGTTCCTAGCAAACCACTGGACGCGGAAATTGAGGACGAATTGGGGGCGAATTTGGGGTAACGTCAAGAAGACCCCATTGGAAACAGAATGCCACTCGAGATAGACTTCGTCACCACTACCCTGGCTAGCCGGCTCGCAGGGCATTATCCCTGGAGTTGATATCCCGCTGGAATAGATAACCATGCTACCATGCACTAAACCAGGAGCGGTTGGCCCTTGATGCTGGGCTATCTACCTAATCATCTATATGAAGTAGCTCAAAATTGACACGCACATCTGCATACTGCGATGTGTCTCTGCATGTCGTCTTGTCGTTTACCAGCTTGCTTTTACCCTCACGGACCGGTAATTTGCCAACTAGAACCACAGGGTCTAGCCAGATCTATGCATGCCTAAACTGCACGAGGAAATTGAAGTACAGTAATCCAGTCGATATGTGCCTTACTCACGATCTGATGAGTGCTAGTCCTGAAACCCTTCGTACTTTCAAAAGGCAGAACTAAACCGAGACGACACGGTGTCGAGATTGGGTTACCAAACAGCAATATTAATTTAACAGCCACTCAGCAGCGTCGGCATCTCCCCGTCTAGACTTTCCATTAATCAGTAATGTCGGCAGTAACACAAGCTTGTTTTAGCTTTGGGCTCTGTTAGGCTTCTTGCTTTCTAATGAGGCTCTCGTGCGTCAGCTTGAAAGGAGGCGTAAGCAAATAACTCCGCTGCCCGCCTTTGCGTTGGACGCCTGTCGTGTAACAAGTTCAGGGCGAAATGCTCGAATGTTAATGGCGACGATGCTGTGCTAGGGTTCGGTAGGCTCCGACCTACCTATCCCATGGGCTGATAGACTCGGCACTTTCACGATCAACCATTTTCGAGATCGCAAGCTTGTTTCTACGATGACCAGACGCGGTCCTATCTTCTGTAGGTGTCTAATGGGACTGAGTTCGTCAAATCGGCTTAATGCCGCTCTTACGGGGGTGTCATGAGTTATTTGACTTCCAAAATGATATGATACTCACAGATATACCACACTAAATAGCTCACTTCAGTTGAATATCAACTCAAAGTTGAAAAGAAAATGAAAAGGTCCGACGATGGTGCCTAGGTAGGTAGAGCACATTTTCGTGCACTGAGCTATAACAAACAATCAGGCAGTGAGGTTAAATCATATCTAACAACGAGGATATCTCATCTTGTTAAGGTTGCTGAGCCTGATACTTTGAAGTTATCGAGTTGTTTATCGAAATGCTTGAAAGGAAAAAAGAAAAATTCTGCATAATTACCTAATCTAATCCCATAGGTATATTGGCGATCCTAAATATCTTATTTTTGCTATAGAATAAAAGTCTCCTATTTTTTTTTTACTCAAACTACGATACCTATGACTTACTGGGACCTACTGTAACTTTGAATAATCTAATTTGAAAAGTATAAGTAATTGACAAAGACGCTTGCCAATGGTAAAGAGAGAGCTGAGTCAATAGTAATAGGTTGTCCCAAAATGTCTATTAACGTTTACTGCTATAAACTTGAATGAGGACTATAAGTCGATCATGTAAAACATTGTACGAAACTTAATAGAGACATATAAACTATGCATCTAGGAACCTGTTACTTGAAAAGGGGGTCAATATTATCTACTAGAAAGTATAGACTGTTTATATATTTCCGTATCATTTCTATATCAGTTAAATACAGTAAAGAAAGTACAAGTATTCTATCTGTTGCTAAGTTATTGTATAGCCTTGTCACTTAACCTCCGCAGAACCACAACACAAAAGAACTCGCCATAATATAACAAACTGAGCTTAAAAGGTGGTTGACCAATCATATATAGAATGCTTAGCGCCGACAAGGCTATGAATTGCATTGCTCCATGGATAAGGTAGAATAAGATCTGCATGAGATGAAACAATGGGGACTTCAGAGATCATCAGCCAAGTAGGTGAATCGCATCATATGACAATATATATTTTATTTAACAATTGTTTAGGAGGTAATTATACAAATTCTCTCTTAACGATTGATATACCAAGTCTTTGAATAAAAATAACAGTTATGTTACGGGGTTTACCATAGAGAAGACAAGGCAGTGCAGGTCAAGTTCATGCGATGGGGAGGCAGCCGTCGCAGGATTCAGCCGGCGGGCCAGCCACGTCTCATCCCAGTACCAACACCGCCTTCGGAGTCGGCCCTTGTTAAGACGGTGAGTAATGCTTCCGAATGTAGAATTCAATTAGAAGCTACCTTGCATAGTTGTCTCTGGTTTTGCACGAATTGTATTCGATGTCATTTCCCATACAAAATGACATATTTGGGAAGGATCGTGCCTCTGTATAATCAGCCAACTTTCAAGAAGGATTATAAAAAACATAATATCGACAGGCCTTCTTGCATATTCTCCCCTCTCCCGTCTCACCTGTATGAGCGGAGCTTAAGCATAAAAGAGCTTGCACAATTCAACGAGCGAGTTAAGAGGCTAGATGAAAGAGTCTGGCGTAATTGCAACAGGCGCAATGTGTCTGAGTTCAGCTGGGAAGTCCACGCGTGGGAGGACGTGTTCAACCGAATTCGGGACGAAGACGCATTTCGAATGTAGGCGATACCTAAAACGCAATTCCAATCTTGAATATAAAGCTGAGATTATGCCAGGGACAAAATTGACTACACAGCGCTTGAGAAGGACTACAAAGGTGAATGGAAAATAATCAAGCGAACGCCAGACGCCACTATCGGCTTCCAGCCCACCCACGGCGGCTTCGAAACCGAAGTCCAGAGCGCAAAGGGATGGGTTCCCCTCTCGCGGATCTGCGAGGTGACTCGCGTGCCCTTCGACCGCGACAGCGACGCGAGCGACTTCGTGTTTCCCTTCGCCATCTACGAGGCCAAGAAGAGCTACGCCTCCGACTTGGAAGCAGAAAGGCAGATCGCGCATGCTTGCGACCGCTACCTGGGCCTGCTGGACGCCGTGGTCCGCGATCCTAGGGATCCTACCAGGTACCAGTGGCGAAGCAGTCGTGAATACCAGATGTTTGCTTTTACCTCCTGTGCTTCGGATTGGAAGGTATACGTGGCTCGGCGGTACGGAGAGTACCACGTAAGTGACAGTCACTCTCTAAGCAAGTACCATCACGACTAACTCCAGCAAAGAACGTAGAGCTGATCTGGGCAGGCGACGTGAGGTTCCCAGTAAACGCAGCCAGCCTGCTAGGTATCGTGGATCAAGTCCAAAAGTGGGCAGCCAACGTCTTTCGACCCTTTGTCATCAAGCATCTCGACATACGGGCGAAGCTCTCCATGGACGGCACGCTGAGATGGAATAGGCAAGGCTTTCTTGGCCCCGAAAGCGCAACACCACTGTGCGTTATGCGAACATATCGTTCTCGGAATGTTTATAAGTGTACGACGCGGCTCAAATTCGTACAGACGGACGGCGAACCAGTTCCTCCGGAAGTATTACAACAGGTTTCCAGTTTATACTACGGCGACGTAATAGTTAGAGAATTTGTTCACATAGACTAGGGGTGGTATAGCAGTGGGTATTTTCTAAGACTGGAGTATACATTGGACTTGGATTATTAAATAATTTTCATATTGTTGTGTGGTGCCTGTCTTGGGGGTAGCCTCGTGATAGAAGATACGCATCATCATATTAGAGACGTCTATATTAGAAAAGACAGTCTATGAAACTCACGAAATGCATATTACTACATACCTAGTATTAGGTATCAGATATGAGACATAAAAGAACAAACGAAATGTCTGTATGTATAGCCCTGGGAATCAGAGCTAGGTATCTTATTAGACACTATTAAATCTAATATTTCAGAACGGAGGCAAGCTAGCACTTAGAGCAAATACATCGCTGTTTCTTAAATAAATACTACTATGCTGTACTATATGAATACAGCAATTCCTTAGAGACAGTTCTTATTGCGTAGTTGTATGCAGACAAGGACGTTTGCAATACGCAGAGTCCCATCATTACCTTACCCAGTGTATTAATAACTTTTCCCTCCTCTCACCTCATACACTAGAGCACCGCATTATTGACGTTCTGTCAGAAATATGAGGGAGATGTAGATACAACATGGGCCTATTCTCTATATAAAGGGTAGCCATCTCCCTCGACGGAGGTGAGAGGGCTAAGCGTTACTAGATTTCTACAATAGACTGTATAGTGGGCTCCTGGAACTCACTCTTTATATGACATCCATCAAGGGCACAACCTGACACGTTCACTCTATGATGGAGGAGTCATAGTCATTGAAGGTTGCGGACTCCTAGTGCGGTAGTATTGGCCAGACGAAGCGAAGAGTGACATGTATCGCCGAAATTTGGACCCTTGAGCCTCCTTGGTGTCGTTTAAGCTCGTCCGGGAATCATTCCTCTAGGGTTCCCCCTGGCCTTCCTGTTCCTCATCTTACATCCAAGTCGACGCTACCCGCGATCATAACCCCTACTGCAATACCTAACAGACAGCCATGCCCACGAGCTACGTACCTGAGCTGAGTGATGAATATATGGCAATATGAGATGTGAAAGGTTGGGATTCTTAAGAATGCATAAGATTTAAACGAAGGTGGATGATTCCCAAATAATATTACTTCGCCTAGTGGTCGTTCCGAATTACGATTAGAAAAGATTGAAGCTGGACAAAACATGTAACTTTCCTATAGTTTTGATAGAATTGTTTAATATTAACAAGAGACTTCTTAACTTCATGTCTAACATCATAGTTATCTTAGATGTTATGATAATACGGTTAACTAGTACACGTATACTAGTAACCAACTCATATACCCCGTTATTATACGAAAGGTGGTCCGTGTGTTGCACCCCGTCTGGGGAAAGATGTATCTAGCAACTTCCATCCACGATTAAGCGCAGATTCAAGCGAAAAGCTAAGCAAATTCCTACATAACCTACCTTGTATGTAATTCATCATAGAGACTGGGATATAACTTAAAATTGTCACTTTTTTATCTTCAAGCAAAAAAGAAAAGAAGAAGAATAGCCAAATGGTGAGAATTCTTCAGACGCAGTTACCTCTCAGAGTCCTGAGCCGCAGCAGCAGTAACAACAACAATAGCCGACGCCAACTATACCACCGTCTATACCGCTCTTACCCGCTGTCATTTAATACCCGAGCCATGTCATCAGCGCCAAACTCGAATGCTAGCGCCAGCGCAGAGGAGCAGCAGCAGCAGCAGCAACAACAACAAGCTTCCGAAAGCAAAATTCCCCTGCCGCTCCCGGAGCCGGACCAGACCGGCGACGCCACGCAGGTGTCTGTAGGCGGTGAAGCTGTGAAACTAGACCACTGTAAGTGTGTTTGTCCGCTTATTTTCTTAGAAATCCATCTACCTACCTACCTGTATATTTAATCCGCCCTGCTATCCCCGTTTTATTCCTCTTCCTCTTACAAATACACTATACACTACCTACCTTACCTACCTCCACAATATATCGGGGTTATGTATGCGCCTGCTAGTCAGTCGTATAGGGTGATGAATAATATATATATATATATATACCTATACATAAAATAAGCAAGCAAGCAAGCAGCATCGCTAACTCTTACCTCCCTCGAAAAAAACGCAGTGGGCCCGCTTGTCATTAACGAGGACGGGACGATGAGTCGCATCAGCAACTGGGCCGAGATGGCCGAGATCGAGCGGAACAACACCCTGCGCATCCTGGGCAAGCGAAATAAGATGCGTCTAGATGCCCTCCGAGCCAAAGGTCAAGCCCAGCCTTCCGAGGGTCAATCCGGGAATGGAAGCTGAGATACCTACCTTAGGTACCTATACCGGTATCTGAAGTACGGATTATTCATGTTGTATATGTATGCAACATATTACTCTTTTTTACTTTTTCTTTTTTCGTTCTTTTTTTCTTCCTTTTCAGGGGAAAAGGATCGGCGTTTCGGCGTGAGACGAGACGGAAAAATGACATGTGTGTACATCTAAACGAAACGAGGACTTTCTCGGGGCTTCTCATAAAGGAACACCCGGATATTATAGGTATTAAACATAAAATGCACACCTAATATTTATGAACTTGTTCCATTATCCCCTAGTTATAACAATTTTTTCTATAATTGTGGACAACCTATAGCATAATGGGTAGTAACAATCTTTGTATTTATAAGCAATCGTAAGGGGGTTAACCCGTAAAGGAACAGATTTGCCGAAGCGCTAAACAAAAAGATGACAGGCTTTCAATACGCCAATGAAGTCGAGGGAGCCTCATATGCCCTCACTCACCTAACGATATTCTTGACATCGTGCAAAAACACCACAATGAGATGATCATGGGGATAATCTGAAAACTCATACCACGGCAATGCCAACTTACTAGGTAGAAACTAGGCATAGTCATGTTTAGGAGTAGGGTGTTTTACCCTCAAAATCTTATATTAGGCCGGTAGACCTTTGCAAAAATTGCTTCAAAATCAGACGTGATATATCCTCAAAACTTCCGCCGCCCCCCCAAACGGTAAGCAACCGATATGATTTCCCCGTAACGCCATCATCAATGTTTCAATGGTATCATTATGCTGAGTAAACTCTACGAGGCCTTCTCGGCTTCCGTCTTCGCACTGCTTTCTGACTCTTTGCCGGCCGGTTTCCTCTCACTGTGCTTTTCCAATAGTGTAGAGATAAGCGTCTCATTTCCGCCCGTCTTTTCCATGACAAGTTCTCTTAACCACTTGTTTTCGGTTTCTAACGTTTGAATCCGTCCCTCGAGAGTCCCGACCTTCTCACTCAACTCCTTCTCGCGCTTTTCAAGGGCCTGCTCACGAGCTTTCTTCTTGATGCGGAATCTGGCGCTGGCAGCCGTGTTCCGTCTACGCTTGTCCTCTTCCGCGGCTAACCGCGACTGCTCCTCGAAGGACAGCTGCCGGCGGGGTGGGACGGCGGGATCAGCAGACTTTCGCTTGTCACCCGTCTGGGGGATTGATGGGCCGTAGGCGCTCTGCGGCGAACCATTGGGAGGGAAAGTTGGCGAGGGCTGAATAGGTTGTAGATTCCCCAGGTTGTCTGAAAAGGCCGAGACATTCGGCGTTGAATAAGGGTGGAAGTCAAACCCGTTGAAATCTCCTGAAGACATGACGTGACGTTAGAATTTGTGAACCAGTTGACAAATACAAATCAAAATTGTGACAAAAAAAACTTTCTGAGGTGCTAAACATCATCGATGACGACTTAGTGTCGGGAGAGGATATAAGTTTAAGCCATGCTGCGAACTCTCGACAGCGGACTTTGGTGGATTTGGGATGGCTATTGATCTCAATAACCTACTCCAGATCACCTAAAGATCACGGGATATTGCACCATAGCTCGATTGCGCAATTGCAGGGGAGTCTTTCGCGACCGCAATAGGCACTGGTACAAGACGCAGAGAACACACCCAAAACCAGCGATCGCTGCAGTCCAAATGCAACATGGAGCATCCCGCAACCAATCACAGCCCATCTACGTGAGAACTCATAGTGGGGCGAGGATAAAGAATTGCCAAATAGGCTCCGAGGTGCCAGGCTTATGATAAGATGAGGGACTCCGCTTGGTGGATTTTGGTTGGATATGGCGGACGCAAACCCCAACTGGTCTCCCGCTGACTTGGGTGGCCGTTGTAACAAGGCGCAGCAGCACCTACCATACGCTCACACGCGCATGGAGGCGATTGGAAGGACAATGGCCAGTTGCCAGCTAGGCACGAAACAATTTCGAACAAGGCTGTTTTAAGCTGTAGGTGAAGATCCTCGAAACGACCCTCGATGAGCGCAACGCACACGCCATCGTGTAACACCAAAGCGCAATTATGATGCGGGGGAAAATTGATAGCGGATATCGTTTCGTCAATTGACTTTTTTATGAGGAATTGGGTAATAAAGAGAAAAAAAAAAAAAAAAAAGTCGAAGGATAACAGTTAAGTTAGGACGAAGAGAAACACAAGAATACTAACCTGGCAGGTTGAAGTCAAATCCTGCTAAATCTCCTCCCATTGGTCCGGATCCGTCATCTGTAGGCGACGTCGTCGACTGCGTATCTACACTGACACTTGACGATTGTTGCTGTTGTTGCTGTTGGTGGCTCTCGTTTGCATCCCAATCGATAAAGTTGGTATTAGTGAACATGGCGAGTTCATCGTCGAGGTTTCGTAGGTTCTCCTCTGGTACTGCAGGAGGCTCTGGGACCCTGTTAAGGTCCTGTAATAGCTGTGACACGTTCACGGCCTGGCCGCGCCGACTCGAGTAACTCGGCGGCATCTTTTTCTCTTTTTTTTTTTTTTTTCTAGCGAGTTCACGGGAGCTTTCGACGTTCGATAGAGTCGAACCGGGATGCTGCCACCACCGTTACTGCTTGAAATCAAAGCGGTGGTCTGTGACCGATATAACTGTTAAATTCGCTTGAGCGTTTTGACAATATTTAGATCGGGAGTGATGACGGCGGGTGGGATTTGTATGAAGATGTAAAAGTTAGAATTAGTTGGTGGCTCGGAAGAAAAAGTACTTCAAAAGTTGTTACGGTGGGTCAAAGGACCGCCGGACAAAAGCTAGTTTGCTGCTAGACACAACCGATTTCGACCGATGGGGCGCCTATAATAACTTAATAACAGCTGACGCTCGGTTGACGTTTTAGGGAATGGGCTCTTGCCCCTCTTTCCTTCGTAATCGGTATTAGTCAGTATACACTTTCTTATACACATACCTAACCTATGCACTTCTTACATGTGCTCCTACACAAATATGTAAATGTAACTCTATTTATTACAGAGTTATGTTTTAACACCACACATTTAAGAAGCAATTGATAAACTGAAAAAAGGACCCGAGTATTTTGGGAGAGGTAAAAAATTATTATCTGATTTTATCTAATTCCAAATTAGAAATGTAGGGGTTCGCTTTAGTAACCATATACTGCAACTTGCTGTATTTTTCACTTGCAGGTTGGTTCCTTTCACGGTCCTACTACGTACATAAGTTAAACCGAGTATACCAGAAATGGCATACAACCCGCCGTTCGAGTGGATGAAGCTACCTAGGTATTAGTCAAGCGAATTCGCTCAGGCCAATTAGATCTTACAGAAAACTCCAAACTTCCCACATCGCCCCATATAGCCCGCGCGCCCGTGTAAGTTCAGACAGGCATCACAGGAAAACCCCCACTTACAACCTGTCTGGAACTACTTGGACCTTGACCAACTTCAGCCCGTCCTGCATGTTGATTAATAAATAGAAAACTTGGCCTCGTTACTTCCGACAGCTTTTTCTACCCGTTCTATTCCATTCTTGTTACATAGTTCAATTTCCTATACTTGGTGGGAGGGGACCCCTATTCTTTTCTTTGACCAAGCAATATTACTTTTATGCTTAGATATCATTTGCCAAACCAATGAGAGTGGTTGAGTTGACGGAGACGTGCACAATCGCCAAGGCCCTTACCTCGATCCCTTGTTTTGCGTTGCGAGTTTTATTCTATCTCACGATAATATCAGGGAATTGCTGCTTGTAGGTATGTCTGATACGTGCCGCAAAGTAGGACCAGTGGCGAATCCGGATCGACAGTTCTATGATGGCATGACCTAGATGTGATCGTAATATGCACGGGAGAAAAATGACGATAATTTCCTTGACGTCAATTCAAGTACCTAAGGTTAGTTAATCCTTTGTTGGACCGAAAATCGACTATCTATAGTTTTTTTAGGGGTTTATTTTTTTTTTTTTCTCACCTATTACGCCAATCATTTTAATAGCATGTCGTTGGTAGGGTCGATATGCAAGTACGTGCATATAATATCACGGGAAAGGCCCTGATATCTCAGAGGATCTCACAGATTCACACCCCCGAGAGGTATTTCTTGCCTTACCCAAGCGACCCAAGAAAAATCAGACCTCCATCCCGCACACGTTCGCCAAGAGCTCGTCCGCTATCGGGTAGCGTGGGGTAGGTTGTACTCTTGTACATTTTTATGCATGTTTAGGCTCCCAATGTGTAAGAACCTATCGGGTGAGCACATGCGGGATCCCTTATCAGGAAGGAGAATCTGTCAGCTGTCTTGGACTTTTTATATAAGTCAACTGGGAGGTTCACATATGTAAATTCTGCTTTCCGAATTATTGTATAGCCAGCCAAAGAGAGTTATGGATTGGTACATGTGCAGTAGAATCTGTGAGAAGCGTCCTAACTACTCGCGTATTTTTATATTTCCGAGGAAATACTGTCTTGTTGCGCAGTCGGGTATTTTGGTTGTTTTAGTGTATGGACCATGCCCGTGGGGAAAGGCTGCTTTGAAATCTGAAATCTGAAGTCTGCAGTCTGCAATCTGCAATGACCTCACTTATGTAAGGTGGATCTACATACCTGTACCTAATCTTAGGTTATGTACCTAAAGTACTTCGTACACACGCATCTTCAACGATGACATAATCTTTTCGGTTAGCAGCGCCTAAAACTTTGCGACAAGTTACGTACATGGTACCTGAATCTAACAGACTTAACATCCAAACTGTGGTTGCAAATTGTTTTTCGAATTTTATATTCGCTCTTCACATGTCGCTACATACGATTGGGTAAATGTTACATTTTAATAATTTCGATAGGGTCTGGCTTGGCCGGCTTGGGTAGGACAGCGTCAAACCCGACATTTACACGTACCAAAATGCAATAGATTTACGCGTCGCGTGTCCCGCTTCAACGTCTAAAAGCATCTAAAAGCATCAATTCATACCTCCTCATACCTGGATTATTCCTGGGTATCAATATATCAATAAACACCTGTTATTACCATCGCTTGACATTACTGCACCTAATTAGGAATAAGAAAGATACGAAGAATTGATGCAGCTATGGCACGACTATCGTTGCCAACAACAGCTCGTCTCTCCCCATCCCTACGAGTCGATCCCGCGAATAATACCGTCATCAAAACTCTTAACCGACTCTCACGATCCTCACTACTATCACTTGTGCTGGACTGGCTAGATGAAAGAAATCAGTATTTATGCCCGCCACTCCTCCGTCGATCAGAAGCTCCAGACGAAGACGACGAAGATGACTTCTACCCGCCTGCGGAATCTCTCGAGGAGCTTAGGGGGCTCTACGAATCTATGCAGGCTCGAAAAGGCGGCCGGCGCGAAGTAGTAGACCGTATACTTGAGGGCGATTGGCGGTATGGCCTCAGTTTATATCAACTGGCAATGGCAGATCTACAGTATTTATATGATCACCCAGGCAGTCTCAAGTGGACCGCTTATCGCATCCAACAGCTCAAAACCCCAGCTCATGAGGATGACGTCGAAGGCCCGGAGAGAACAGACAAGGAATCGCTTACCGTACCACGTTTCCACCCGTCTACTTTCTTACAAAATCTACAAGCTGAGGTCCTTCCCGACGTTAAGGCGCATTATAACTTCGACCGGCCAAAGGATATGCCACTTCTCCTATTACGTATATTTATTATCGATTCTCCATATAATACGGATTTGGCTGTCTCAACCCGGCACCGTGGCCGACCTGGCAGTAATGGCAGCGGTAAGAGCCCAGCGACGAGCTTCGACGCCTCACGCACTATCTATATTGCTTTTCCAGATGCGTCGCCACACATTTATATATCCAAATCTGCTACAGGGGGTACTTCCTCGGCGGCGGGCGCAGCGGGCGAAGCAAAGAGTCTGCGCGCTCTGATCGTGGAAGGTATCCCGAAAGCGCTATCGCGACCACGAGAAAGATATACGTTGAAGGGAACAAATTTGACGACAAAGAACATGGCTACCATGTTAGCTGTAAAGGGTGCAGGCCGTACAAATGCTGCAGGTGGCGGCTGGAGCATCTATGCCGGCATAGGGACTTCGGATTTAAAAACCGACAGTCCTCTGCAGGCATTACTACCCACGCCTCCTTTATCAGACGCATCGTCTGCCGACATCGATAAAGCCGACAGCGATAGCCGGAAGCGAAGGAGACCTGCGGGTGATCCAACGGATGAGGAGGACGAGAAGCAAGCCAAGCAAGCACGGTTAGCGGCACAAGCGCGCTTTGGCAATTCCGCGAAAGTGGACGATGGAAAAGGGATAGAGAGACTTGATGTGTTAATCGAGGACCCCTTTCCCACAGATGTTGCTAATTTCTCGGACGAGGGAGAGTCCGAATTACCAGACAGAGCCGCTGCACTGTCGCGAAATTCGTCGAAAGGACGTCGAAGCACACTCAACTTGAGCACGGTGCTGGAAGACCAGGAGAATGCAGATGAAAGTAGGGGAAGAAGGTCAGGGGAAAGGAACAGAAGAGAATGGGCCCCTCAGGTTAGGGTGTCATTCCATGGGTCTCACGTCTTTGCTGGTGTAAGACAGTTAGTCGAAGCAGGCATTATTGATGGCAAGAAGATGCCTGGGTGGATGACAGGTGAAGAGGGCGTGACAATCGGAGCTGTACGGCACGGCAGGATAAAAGGTTTCAAGGGCTCGGGGTTATAAATTACCTACGTAGGTGTGTATATTGCATTACGAGCGCTTCGTCGTAGCTGGCGGTGTTGGACAAGTAGGATATGTGGAAGTATTCATCGTGTTTGGCGTTTACTGTTCTGATTTCCGGGAATGAGGCATGTCGGATAGGTTATCATATACCCCAGTGAAGCATTTCGGGAACGGCCTAATACGAAGCACAATTACCATATTCACTTACCTCTTCCGCCTGGTGCGTGCCTATGAATGTGCTGCTTTTAATGTCTGTCTATGCATTTTATAATTATATGCTGTTTATATGCTGTTCTAATCGTCTACGGGGAATACTTTAGTCGTATTCCGCCAAGCTGCCTCGCATACCTCTTCTACCGACACTCCTTTGATGCCGGCGACAATCTTGCCCACGCGCTCGATCATACACGGCTCATTCCGACCCTTTACCATCGCGCCCTCGACCCATTTCTCTTTCTTAACGACTTTGTAACGCTCTGGCACCTCCGGCTCCTTTTTCTTGGGTTGTTTCTTAGATTGTTGTTGTTGTTGCTTGCCCTTGGGTTGCTGCTTGGTCGGTTCCGACGGCGTACTAGAACCCGTGGTCTCGGCGCTGTTCACCTCGGCACTCGCGGCCGTACTGGCACTCGCATCTACTGCGTCCGCGGGTTTCGGCGGCAGCTGCGGCAGCTGCTGCTGCTCGATAAGGTACTTCCAGCCCTCGTGGCTAGGGCGCACCTCGCACCAGGGACCGTCAGTCTCGAGCATGAGGCGGTCGAGGTGAATCTCGCGAACCACGGCGCAATTCTCCGCGGTCTTGAAGCTGCAGCCGTTGGTGCCGATATACAAGCCGAGATCCATGAGCTCGCGCATCTCCTCGGCGGTGCCCGTGAAGCTGTGGACGACGGCGCCGCGCTCAAGCTTCTCGAGCCGCGGGCCGAATTTCTCCTTGAGCAGGCCCACGAAGTCGGCGTGCGCGGCCCGCGAGTGCAGGAATAGGGGCAGTTGCGGCCGGAGGGAGAGGGCTAGGTCGAGCTGCGCGGCGAAGGAGTGCAGCTGGATCTTGCGCGAACAGTAGTGCAGCCGGTCGTAGTCGAGCCCGAACTCGCCGAAGGCGACGAGCGGGCTGGCGCCGGAAGTGCTGCTCCGCGCTTGTTCGATGAGCTCCCGCAGCTCGTGGATGATTGACGCCGTCCGCTCGACGTCAGGCTCGTCATCTTCCGGGATGGGTTTAGAGGGGTCCGGGTCACAGGGCATAGTGTGCCCGTTTGTATCTATGTGAGAATGGGTTGTGCTGAATATCGCGCTGGAACATGGGTGTATTCCGGCCGTCGTGTATACAGTGCCGGCTTTCGTTCGGTCAGCAGCTAGTCCTGGCTCAGAATAAGAAGACTCAGTGGCGTACTTACGATATTCTTTCGCTATCTCAAGCGCATCTCTAGAACTCGTGAAGTCGGAGCCTGTGACTATGAGTTTGTGGCAACCGACTTCTCGGGCTCTTGACACAACGGCACTGAGGTCATCGGGGTGGCGTTGGGTGCCGTGATACTGGCCACGGAAGATGGGATCTGCGAGGTTGATACCAATCTAGAAAAGGAATATTAGTGACTGGATGAAAATAAAAGCAACAAGAAAAGAGAAAAGAACTGAAAGACTCTTTTGCTTTATGAAATATTCATAGTGGCTAGTACATATGATGAATGAGGGTTACGCTGGTGGCGTTAGAGACTTACATCAAGATACCGTGGTTTGTAAGTTGTCTCTTGTGTCAGACCAGATGACGGCGCAGAAGCCGGTTCACTAGCAGACATCCTCGAAGCTGAGAGACAGAAGGCTCTATGAAAATTCGTGTAAATTGGTTGGAGTTTTGGACTCGAGCGTATGAGACGGAAGAGCAAGGGGCTCTGAGGCAACAGTAACATCAAGGATGGACTATCCTGAAGACTCAACAGGGACTCATTATTTTCTAAAAAATAGGCAGGCAATATTTATACTCTCATTTGTTTATCGAACTTCTTTCGGGCTAATATGAATTAGATGTCCTGAGTCATGTTGAAGTGTAGAATGAGCCTCGAGGTTCTATCAGACTTATTAGATCTTAGATAGGTACCTAATATAAAGGTACATTGCTGATGTATTTTAAGATTTCTGATCTCAGTTAAACTACCTAGGTACCTAGGTATTCTGACCCACGTGATTTCGTGAAGTTAAAAAAGACCGGGGGCAAGTTCACATGTTGTGTAACACAGAATTGACAAAATGCTTTTTTAAGGAACGAAGGTTCGGTATTACAGATCTTGTCAGTTAATGGGTCAATTGAACTTCCCTGAATATGATGAGATTTTTACAATGAATAAGGCAGTTTTCGATGAGTCTGAACCTGCCTAATGCTCTTATTGGAATGAAATACATAGATACGTACTACATAGGTACCTAATCTTATCAAACAAGGGTATCATGAACTTGAACTAACTGCGGGGCAGAGAGTTAAGCAATGCGCGTTATGAACAGGGATTGGGTATGACGAAAATCCTGCAAGCACTTAATAGGAACGAAGTAATATAGGTATTCAGCTTAGACAAACCCTCAAAATACAAAAGCTTCAAAGCAGGATTATTTAATATAAAATGTAAGTTAACAAAGTTGAATCTGAGTAGATAAAAGTTTAACTTACACTTAGGCATATCAGGTTTATAGTGCATGTGAATTAGATTGGAGGTACCTAGGCGATACGTATCCTTATCTTAATCCGACTCTTGTCTACAACCCCGCGTTGAGACGCGTTTAGTGGCTTTTTTTTCTTTTCTTTTTTTTCTGCCAGTCATGAACCAGCATCGGCAGGGGCAAGCCTTTGCTGATTAATTCTTAAGCGATTCCAGCTGGCAAAACATTACCAACCGCCTGCTAAAAAGAATTTAATTTGTTCCGAAGTGTTTTTCTTTACGCGCTAACCCATAAACGCGCCTTTCAATTAGATTGGACGCGTTTCTACATAAAAATCCACTGCAGCTCCAAAGTCTTTTCCTTCCAAACATTTCCCATTTCAACATCAACCACAACAGGCCATAACATCATACTACATACATCAGATCTGCATGCTCCTGCATACAGATTGTTGTGGCTCTGAATTAATCATTGTCATTATCCAGATTTAAGCTTTTATACCTTCTTCTCCTTTCTTAATTCTTCATTTTCCACCCCACCGCCATTCCTTTCCTGGGTCTTCCTAACCCCAACGTTCATCTTCACATTTTACATCCACATATCACCTTCACAATGTATGTCAAGAAGCGTGATGGACGCCAGGAGCGTGTCCAGTTCGATAAGATCACAGCTCGTGTTTCGAGATTGTGTTATGGTCTAGATACCGACCATGTCGATCCCGTTGCCATTACCCAGAAGGTTATATCTGGTGTCTATGGTGGTGTTACTACAGTCCAACTTGACGATCTCGTAAGTACTTCACATCTTACGGAAATTAAGCATTGCCTTCTAACAAGTTATCTCTTATAGGCAGCTGAGACAGCCGCATACATGACCGTCACCCACCCGGACTATGCTATCCTCGCCGCACGTATTGCCGTGTCAAACCTCCACAAGCAAACGAAGAAGCAATGGTCTTCTGTCATCAGCGATCTCTACCACTATGTTAACCCCAAGAACATGAAACCATCTCCTATGATCTCCAAGGAGACATACGAATGTGTTATGAGACATAAGGAAGATTTTGACTCGGCAATTGTCTACGACCGAGACTTCAACTATCAATACTTTGGCTTCAAGACCTTGGAGAGGTCCTACCTACTGAAGCTCAATGAGAAGATCGTTGAGAGACCGCAGCACATGATCATGCGTGTGGCTGTTGGTATTTGGGGCGATAATGTAGAGAAAGTTATTCAAACCTACAACCTCATGTCCAACAAATATTTCACCCACGCTTCACCTACCCTTTTCAATGCCGGAACACCCCAGGCACAACTAGCATCCTGTTTCCTGGTCGACATAAAGGACGACAGCATTGAGGGTATCTATGATACACTCAAGACTTGTGCTATGATCTCCAAGACAGCTGGTGGTATTGGTCTCAACATTCACCGCATCCGTGCTACTGGCTCCTACATTGCCGGTACAAACGGTACCTCTAATGGTATCGTGCCCATGTTACGAGTTTTCAACAACACTGCCAGATACGTGGATCAGGGTGGCAACAAGAGGCCTGGTGCCTTCGCCATCTACCTCGAGCCCTGGCACCAGGATGTCTTCGAGTTCCTTGACCTTCGCAAGAATCACGGCAAAGAGGAAGTCCGTGCTCGTGATCTTTTCCTTGCTCTATGGATTCCCGACCTTTTCATGAAGCGAGTTGAGAAGAACGGTGAATGGACCCTGATGTGCCCTAGTGAGTGCCCAGGTCTTGCCGATGTCTACGGCGATGAATTTGAAGCTTTATACGAGAAGTACGAAGCAGAAGGTCGTGGTCGCCAGAAGGTTAAGGCCCAGAAGTTGTGGTACGCCATTCTGGAGGCTCAGACTGAGACCGGAAACCCCTTTATGCTTTACAAGGATCACTGCAACCGCAAAAGCAACCAGAAGAATCTTGGAACTATCCGAAGCTCCAACTTGTGCACTGAGATCATTGAGTACTCGGCTCCTGACGAGGTGGCTGTCTGTAACTTGGCGTCTCTTTCGCTGTCCTCGTTCGTCGACTATAACGAGGGTACCTATGACTTCCAGAAGCTGCACGAGGTTGCCCAGGTCGTCACCCACAACCTGAACAGGATCATTGATGCTAACTATTATCCCGTCCCCGAGGCACGCAACAGCAACATGCGCCACCGTCCCATCGGTCTGGGTGTACAGGGTCTTGCAGACACCTTCCTGGCACTTCGTATGCCATTTGAGTCCCCCGAGGCCAGACAGTTGAACAAGCAGATCTTTGAGACTATCTACCATGCTGCTCTGACCGCATCCGTGGAGATCGCCAAGGTTGAGGGTACCTACTCCACTTACGAAGGTTCTCCTGTTTCTCAGGGTATTCTCCAGTACGACATGTGGAATGTGACCCCGAGTGATCTCTGGGATTGGGCTAGCCTCAAGGAGCAGATTAAGCAACACGGTGTACGGAACAGCTTGTTGGTTGCCCCTATGCCCACTGCCAGCACTTCCCAAATTTTGGGTAACAACGAATGCTTCGAGCCTTATACCTCAAACATCTATTCTCGCCGTGTCCTCGCTGGCGAGTTCCAAGTCGTTAATCCTTGGCTGCTAAAGGACCTTGTTGACATGGGTCTCTGGTCTGATAGCATGAAGAACCGCATCATTGCCGAGGGTGGCTCAATTCAGAATATTCCCAACATTCCCGCGGAACTTAAAGCCCTTTACAAGACCGTTTGGGAAATCTCTCAGCGAACCATTGTTCAGATGGCCGCTGACCGTGGTGCCTTTGTTGACCAGTCTCAATCGCTAAACATTCACATGAGAGAACCCACCATGGGTAAGATTACCAGCATGCATTTCACTGGTTGGAAGCTTGGTCTGAAGACTGGCATGTACTATCTCCGCACTCAAGCGGCTGCCGCGCCCATCCAGTTCACCGTCGATCAGGAAGCCCTCAAGGTTGAAGACTCCAATGCCGCCAGGTCAGGCACGCTGAAGAAACGTGCTCCTCCGGGTAATTATGTGTCTTCCCCATCAGCAGGTCTTTCTACACCCCTATATGCCAAGCGGGATGACTCGAACAACAGTCTAGCAGCGCCAATTACTAATGGGATGCCGTCGCCCAGCATAACTCCTCCTCCAGCCACGGAGGTTAAGGTAGCTCGACCTGTTGCATCCCCCAACAAGGCTATACCTTTCAAGGCAGACATCGAAGAGGGTGATAGTCCCAAGGCTCTGGCCACCGAGCCATCAGAGAAGATCAAGGAGGAGGAGCTCCCTGAGCCGGCCATTAATGGCCAGAAGCCGAACCAAGACGAAGACAAGGAGGACACGAGCAAAGAGCGCGAGTACGACATCTACGCTGATGCCGTCTTAGCTTGTAAGTCAAAATACTTAACTGATTTGGTGACGTGTTCTAACAATTAAACAGGCAGTATCGAGAACCCCGAGGCCTGCGTCATGTGCAGCGGTTAAGGGATTTCATGAGGACATGGGAATGATGATGCTATGCAGTTGACGACGGAATAATGGAAACTGGGGGTTGTTAATGGCATGAGTCTCCCTGGGACGGACCACACGGAGAAACGTACTAAATGAGACGGATGCATCGATGCAGTTGCATCACAACTAGGGTTCATAGGGCATTCATTTGGCTCTGCGCATAGGCTTTGTATAACTATTTTCAATAGTTTTCCCGAGGAGTCATATTTGGCGTTGGTTTTTGACACGCCCATTGTGTATTTAATTGTAGCTCCTGGCTTTTTGTGCTGCTATGCCTCCAGGAATAAACAAATGAAGTTATTATGATAAGCCTGTCCCGTTTCTTTTGTCGTATAATAGAAATTACTTGCTACGCAAGTGATCTGCTATGCTCTTTTACGTATACATACCTTTCATATATATACATGCTCACGCCGTGCTGTCGAGGAAAGGAAATTTATTTTTCTACTTGACAATAAATCCAAACGTCAATATTATTCAACTATATGAAAATCAAGACCACGTTCGCATTCCGAGACATATAGTGATCGAGAAAACTTTATTCAATGTCGGTCTTTTTAAAGCCAGCTGTAGGTTAGGTACCTAGTATGAGGTAGTAACCAAGCTGCCAAGGAGATTTTCTTCTCCGCCAGACAGACATAATGATCTAGGACTCGGCAGCGTCAAAAACAAGATTGGGGAGGACAGAGAGTAGAATTTTCCCACGGGTCCGAATTTTAGGGGTACTCGACACGCGTTCCTACGACATCGGCAAGACATGGCATTAAGAAAAGAAAAGAAAACACCAGGTTGGTGTTGTACATGATCCTCTATCACGGAGAAGAAGTAGTGTACCTATGTCAGTCAATTAGGGAGATAAGACTTTTGTTTCTCCCTTCCAAAAAAAAAAAATTAAAAAAAATTACGATGTATACAGACAGAACCTGCTGATAAGTTTCGGCTGCGACCACGACAGGCGGGTTTCGGTGAAACATATAAGAACGGGCATGACCTCAATACACATACATGCCATGTACTATGTACGGTTTAGATGTTGGATGTTTGTTGGTTGGCCAATCATGATGGTGGAGCCCAATGGTATTATGCGGAAGATTGGCCGAGCTTGTATTGTACATTAGCGTCTCTGCCCGTCGACGTAATCAATAGCTGCGCGGGCTGGGATTCTGCCCGGGACGAAATACGCTGTAGGTTACCCAGGTAATGACTGTTGATGTGTGTGTGCCCCAGCTCTGGTCCTTGCCGTAGCACAAAGCATCAGCTAAGTATTGATTTTTTTTTCGGACGGGACAGGTTTTTGCGGCAGCTTTGCTAGCCGTCTGGGGGAGCAATTTATGCATGACAAGGTTGCACCGGGAATAGTGGTGCAAATTTCCAGCTGTTTCACTTGGCGAGGCTGTTTTCTCCCCGGGCGATATTTTGTTTTATCGGACCCTACGTCGTCTCCTTCTCGAAGATACCGGGCGAAGAAGGTCTACCCTGTTGATTTAAGTCCTTACGAATGTAAGAAAATTCGGCCGCCGATGGGCGATTTAGAAACCCACGACTCCCCCCTTACTTAGGTGTTATCGAGTCGTGCCACGATGGGAACCCCGTGAGACCGGCATCGAACACTAGCAACGGCGAGAAGCCGCCGTCTAAACGGATTCAGCTGAAAGCTGGCGCTAACCAATCTTGACTTGTAAATAGGAAAGTGTAGTGCATAGTGTATATGCCTAAAATGACTAGACTCGATAGCTTGTTGGGTTAGAGTGCTGATGCATATATAGTACATAGTAGAGTATCAAACCATAATGTCGGGACATAAGTACCTATTGAGAGTTGTCAATGGGGAAGTTCCACTGTTGTTACTTGAAGTGACATCAACGGACAACTCATCATTTGATGGGGCCGTTTCGCTGAACAGGGTTTCTAATCTTGCTTTTTCTTTTTGCTTCTCGTAGGATACGATACGCTTTGCTGATATGAATCATTATATTCAGTAAAGATATAACACTAATAAATACTTGCATCTTTATAACTGCACGATCTTGATGCTCAGTTAGGTGTCCCCAAATTGAGCTGGCTCTTGAACTCGGGTTAGAAAAGTATTTTGATATTGATTGATAATGGACCAAATTGAAGAGTGGAGAAAAGTTGAGCTGGGAAGATGTTCAGAATCCAGAGACGAACAACAGAAGCTGATGCGGGGCAAAAATTCTAAGCATGGATTGGTTACTGGGCTCCTCTAATCCCATTGGTTGAAAAAGGTATGACATCAGTTATGTACATAGTAGACCAGGATAGTTGCAACCGTGCCTTGCATCTTGATTTTCGAAAACCCTGGTTGATCAATTGTGGGTCCACAGATCTAGCACGGCTAACGGCACTGGTAGTGATAGTCTACAATAGGTTTACATAATTAGCATATTCAACCAATCAAATGGCTAGATTACCATGTTCAACTGTCCGTATGCAGTAATCGTCTGAATGGTAATCCTTGCAAGTAAAGTAACTTTGGAGTGAATATTCAATTCAACTATCGTTTCTGTATGTATCATGTCAACACTTTGGAGTCTATGAATCAGTGGTTGCTTGTGCGACTACAAACATGTATCACGAGCTGCTTGGGTACCTCATGAAAATACATTTGCTATGACTGTCGAGTACCTAACACTTAAAGAATGAATCTCTTTAGTTGAAAATCCAGCATTGCCGTCTACAATCCACGGAGAAATGATAACATATATAAACTTTTCTTTTTTTGACGAGGCCTAAACTAGATACAGACGACGTATAGGTAATTACAACTAAATAGAACTAGGAGATATTGATGAGCTCATCACTTATTGTACATAGCATTTAAATGGTTTCCACATGATGATGCAACTCGACTCGTTATGGGCCGTCAAGTCCCATGCCAACTGTACGACCTAGGTAGGCAAGCTATCAGGTACTGGTCGATCAGTAGCTGGGTTTTTAGCAGCAACCAAACAAGATTGGTGATCAGGTACAAGTTAGGTACGCTAGGCTTCTATTAACGGTACTTAACGAGGTCGCCTCAAATCATTGCTATTAGTACCTACATTTAGCTGTACCTGGACCTGTGGATGCGGGTACCATTTTTTAATGCAGGTTTGATGCAGAATACAATATTTGCTAGGCAACGCCGTAACTGCAGGATGTACCTGTATAATTAAAGGAAGGTGCTGTAGGTACAGTGTTTTGGTGTTTGTGTACATGAAATAAGTGCTACCTGCCTGTGGATCAGCTAGCCATGTTACTTGTATAAATTAGATGTACTTAGGTACCTTAAGGCACTCTGCATGATACATTGATAGGTATTCAATAAGATCGACTTCCAGGCATGACTTAACCTCTACGGCCAACTGATTATTTAATTGCCTTGGGAACGAACCATCCGTACTTCTTTCCTTGTAGCTCCTTCACAAATTTTTTTAAATCACCCGTGTAAGAAAGAATTATCAAGCAAGCAAGCAAGCAGTTCCTAACGCTTGAAACGGCTGCCTTCCCGTCCACTTTCTTCCACTTTCACTTTCACCACCAAGATCCAATCCTCAAATCTACCAATACAAGTCGTGATAGCCTCAATAGCCACAGCTTCAAAGCTCTTACCTAATTGAGTTTTACTCTATCTGACTTAAAAAAATTAGTAAGTATTTATTTCTCATCTCTGTCAATGCCTACCTAGGTAGTTCGCATCTCTCTGCATCACCATTCTCTACACATATTTGCACAAGCATACCTACACTTCATCTCCATCTCCATCATTGCCGACTTTCAAACCCTTACCTAGACCAAGCATCATACATATCGGCGCGTGTTACCTAACACATACCTAACTTACCAACCCTTTTCCTCTATTTCCAAATTTTGATCACCTTTTATTATTGCCCTCTGCACATCCGTTTCGTGTCTTACATCGCACAAGCAGATAGCTGCCTAGGTACACAGCTACAAAGCTACACAGCTACACAGCCGAAGGAAATTACCTCCTTGACGGACATTCAGGTGCGCTTTCCTCTTGTGGTTTGATAATTCTTGTATTGCACCTGCCTTTTTGCAGTTGCCTGCTTCGCAATCTCTGTTCGCCGATAAACATACACAGTCCCCTCTTCCCCATTTCAACACAACACAACACTACACTACACAACCCAACTCCTTTCTTCTTCTTCTACAACATTTTCCTTTTCCTCATCCACAGTCTCAGAAACACATGCATCTTCCACCAAACATCACAACTGTGAACGCTCCCTCATCCACGCATACACATTTCCAAATTTTGCAAGCTTTTTGAGCATCCATTTCTTTGATTTTCTAAGATTTCATTTTGACAGCAGCAATTCTTACCATTCTTGGTTCGCAGGCAACCAATCTCAATAACATCATCAACCTTTCAGTCAGTAATCTGCCTACAGCATCATCCAAGATGAAGGTCTCTGCCATCCTCCTTGGCATCTCTGGAGCCGCCGCTGTTGCTGCTCAGGCCCACGGTTTTCCTCAGGGCTTCCCTGACTGTGGTGTAAGTGTTATGATCCCTTCCCTTCCCCATCAATCTCAGAGGCCGCAACAAAGATTTCTTGAATGTAAACTTGTACTTACTCAACTTTTTTCTTTAGATCACCTGCATTAACAACATGCTGGGCCAGGCTGCTCAACTTGGCTGCTCTGATGTTGCCCCTTCGTGCCTCTGCACCAAACAAAACTTCATATACGGAGTTAGAGACTGCGCTACGGAGTCGTGCCCCGACCAATCCGTTGCCCAGCAGGTCATCCAGTATGGTAGTCAGTACTGTGCTGGTAAGTCCCATTATAACCTCTTTAATAAATTGATCGCATTTTGAATGCTAACCATTCGGTCCAGGTGGCGGTGTTGACGTCTCTGGAATTCCCTCTGCCGTGAGTTTTGTAGTCCTGAAAATTTGGCTCCAACATGGACTAACTTATAATTCTTAGACTGGTTCCAACCCGTCTGCCTCTACCACTGTAGTAGCAACCGCCTCTCCCACTGTCAACCCCAGTGTAGGTCCTCTTCCCATATGTACATAATTCCAATACAGCCACTGACAAAAAGCAGCAGTCATCCCAGGGATCAGCCTCGACGGCTTCTGAAGCTTCGACTTCTGGAGGATCAGCAACTGAAGGGTCAAGCGGTAAGAACCTCTCCTTTACCACTGTAACGGGCACCTATAGTAATGTCTATGTTTCTACAATCACAGCAAGCGAATCGGTGTCTGGTACCGTTGTGGTGATTCCTATCACTACGGAGACCGTTTCAACTACTATCACCGGTAGCAATGGCCCTGTCACTTCTGCTGTCACTAGTACTGTCCTCTCCACCTCTGGAGCTTCGGGCTCGGACAGTGTCACCACTGGCACAGAGTCTGGATCTGTCACTACGGGTGTGATTGAGTCGTCTGTTACTTCCAACGGCTCGACCCTGGTGACCAGCATCACCACTACCGGACCGGCAAGCAGCCATACTTCTGAGGGAAACAGTGAGTCTTCCGCTGCTCCCAACGAATCGACTTCATCTACGTCGAACCCTGCCGCACAGCGCACTGCAGCACCGGCTGGTCTCATCGCCGCTGCCGGTCTGGCTGCCTTGATGCTATAAACGACTTGGTGAGCAAGTGATTTGGGTCAGGCTGAATCTCAATTCAGAAAAAAAGCATTTAGGTTTGAGAAGGGTATCAAAACTGGTCACATAATGTTATTGGTCGGTTTGTGCGTGGATGATTCACGATAGCTGGGATTCCCCTTCACTTGATGATGCGATGACTTCAAGGTTGCAGGCGGCTTTTTTACGATGTATAAATGATTCAATGTCCTCGTTAGGACTACTAATACCTGTTTTAGAGATACCCACCCCCTGAGCAGATGGCATCAGGCATCGGGCAGTGGAGTCGGCTTCTCGCTTTCTTCAATGGAACTAATGAAATAGTGCTTCTTTCATCAACACACATGTCCTTGTGACACAGTTTATGTTATGTCTAGTTTGCAAAGTTTTTTGGACCAGGCTATGTCTGCCTGATAGCTAGAGTAGTCGTACCTCTATGCAATCACCCATAGCCATTAAAATTAAAATGCAAAAAAAGTGACCCCCTCAATACAACCATAAGGTTGTGTCAAGATATTTTTTTTTATTTAATGAACGTACTAGTCCTTCACGTCTGCTTCCCTTTTTAATTAAGTAACTGGAAGCAGTATATCATTGTAACTTGAATGAAGAGGGATAGGGGTAGACATACCTCACATTTCACTACCTACCTAGGTACCTCTAACCAGAGCCTTATGTTCTCTTTTGATCTTGATCACAAGTTATTTTAACCGCCTAATAGATTTTAGGGAATATTTTGTAGATTTTGTTTCACAGATCCTTCTTTTTGTTATATTGGGCACATTGCTGCAAATGATTACCTACATGTTGAGTTTGCAACCCCTTTCTTGTTTCCCAACTTGCTTGATATCATAGGTCACAATAAACAGGAACCTATGCATGTCTCTGGATTGGAGTGTGTAAGTCCATCCACGTTATATTGCCTTGTCTACCCAACCTACCTGATACGTGGTACATATAAATACTGTAAATAGGTCGTTTCTCTTATATAGATAAATCCTGAGGTAGGTAACTCTGTAATAGGTACTCTCAATACCAATTTCCTATGACATACATTGGGTTATTTGCCACGATCCCAATGCCCAATGCCTTCAAAATGGACTTAATGTAAGGCTTTCCTGCCAAAAGTGTAGTATGAGTGTTTCTGACCCTAGATCGCAAGGAAGGCCAAATCGTTGAGGTGGGCTACGTTTGAGTTGGCTTTATTTCTGTTTTTTGCATCCTTACATCGAAATATCAAGGTCTGCTTATACCCCTAAAGACGGAGACACTATCATACCTTTCGAGAACCTCCATATCTTCTTCTAACTTCATAGGAAAAAGTCTAAGTCAGACGGCCGTTGTTGGCGACTATAAGACGGTTCAAGTCTTATATGAAGCTTAAGGTTATATTATGCATAGGTAGAGACTTACTAATCCAGAGACTGCGATGTTCCTGAGCGATGAGTTATTGGCTACCCTGCCTATAGACGGTAAAGACCTACTTTAGTCAGTCTACCCCTTATCCCCACATATCCTTAACATCTTCTAGGTAAGGGGGGTTTGATAAGGGGTGTATAACTTCTCCCAATTTTAACGACTTCCATTTCAGAAAGTTTAATCGAAATGGCTGACCGACAATGTACTGAATTTACATGGTACGAGTAAACAGGTAGGCTGTACTTAACGAGTCAGAAGAATCTTATAATGGTATAACATATGTTCGTCTAGTATTCATATACACTATAAATCGAGATACTAGGCCAGCTCTCATGATGATGGGCAAGAATAACGATGCAACAACTCCAAACAGACCAGAGAGCATCTATTATAAGCTTGATGGAAATAAAATTAACAAAAAAAATTATTATGTCTATTACCTTTGCATTAGGTACCTAAGTGATCTCATGGGAATGCCTCAACTAAATGAGATGGTTAATAATGTAACTGATGGACTAATACGCTCTAGATCACGAGCGGTGCGGGGTATTTCAACTTATTACCTAGCTTCATCACTGAAAGCGAGATCGGAAAGATTCCATGTTAGTTGAAATATCTCCGAGTCTTGTCCAGACAGCAGTATTTATCAATCCCCGCCATATTATGTGACTGATTATAAACCGAAGCGTATAGGGACCAGGAGACACACCTAACCTAACCCAAGTAGTTTGATAGCAGGGCATCCTACATCTAATCCTAAACGCCCAGCGAAATTTACTTTTAGATACCTACCTACCTACCTAGAGGTAATCATGACACTCTCCACGATCCGGCTCGCCACGGCGTCCCCGGGCACGCAGGCGACCACCAAGGAGACCCTCGCACAGCTGCGGCGCATCGCGCGGCGCGCCGCGGACCAGAAGGCGGACATCCTGCTCCTGCCGGAGGCGTATCTCGGCGGGTACCCGCGCGGCGCGGACTTCGGGTGCAGGATCGGGTCCCGCACGGCCGAGGGCCGCGAGGACTACCTGCGCTACTTCAAGGCCGCCGTCGATCTGGGGGATACCGTGGGCGACGGCGCGGGGGCCGGGGAGGCTTGGGTTAGGAGGCAGTTGGGGAGTGTTGATACTATTGCTGGTGGTGATGCGCAGAGACAGGAACAGGGACAGGTGGATAGAGGGGATGGGACGAGGGAGGAGTTGGAGAGGATCGCGAGGGAGACGGGGGTGTTTATCGTGGTGGGACTCGTGGAAAAGGCTGGGGGCAGCTTGTACTGCTCTGTTGTGTATGTCTGCCCTAAGCTCGGGGTTATTGGGAAGAGGAGAAAAGTGCAGCCGGTAAGTGCGATGTTTCTTACTCCTGTGTGTGACTAGTCCATCGGATGGCCTTTGATGGGACAGGAAGCTGCCTAGGTCAGAGTTGGCAAGGCTGGGCCCTATAAGGATGGGGAGTTGGGAGAAACGATGCTCTTGAATGTCGTTCATAATAGGGTAAATGCCAAAGATACCATTGTCTACCATGGCGCAAAGAGGTAGACTATATGACATGAACCGCTTGAACGTTTCTATAGGAGGAGAACCCTCTTACAATATGTTAGAGATACTTGAACATGAAGTGATGCAATCTTTAAGGAGTTTAAAGAGCTAACGTTAGGTAGACAGGTACAGAACGGCTTGTTTGGGCACAGGGATCTCCTGCCACTCTCAAAGCAGTAAGCACCATGATCCGCGGTGTTCGTATCAACCTGGCTGCTGCTATCTGTTGGGAGAACTACATGCCCCTCCTCCGGCAGAGTCTCTATGCCCAGAACATCAATTTATATCTTGCACCTACGGCAGATGGCCGTGATGCCTGGTTGTCGTGTAAGTTACCTGATCCCCCCTTTTCAGACCTAGGACTAGCCCCGGGGGTTGGGAATTAATACATACTCTGAAAGATACACTCGTGGTGCCGCATCTTTGGAGATACGGGATAATAGTAGTAATAATAGAATAACTAATGCTGATATATATATAGTAATGCGCACCGTAGCCCTCGAGGGCCGCTGCTTCGTCGTCAGCTCGAACATGTGCGTGCGCGGGGACCCTGCCAACCCTACCGCCAATCTGGCACCCTCGCACAACCACAAGCAGGGCGCTGCAATCCACAGCGAGCACCAGAGAAGCGCGACGACCGGAAGGCGCAGCTCGTTCATGACCGAAGACGGCTTCGAAATCGCCCTGCCCGTATCCCCTACCTCCCCAAGCGCGTCCGGGAAGCCCAGGCTGGCGAGCCGCGGCAGGAGACGCTCCGTGTTCGACGAGGACGGCAACGAGATCGCGCTGCTGCTGCCGCAGGGAGGGGACTTGGGTGCCGCGCCCGCGGTAGTCGAGGAGGAGCAGGAGCAGGAGCAGGAGCAAGAAGAAGCCAAAGAACAGGCCAAAGCCAAGACCGACGAGTCGCCATCGGCACCGGCGAGAGCTCCCGTCGCGCCACCAAGCCCTCGAGGTAGTTTCATCTCCCGCGGCGGGTCGAGCATCGTTTCTCCGTTCGGAGACGTGATTGCCGGGCCGCAGTGGGAGGGGGAGGACAACGAAGGGATTATCTACGCGGGTGTTGATTTTGACGACTGTGTTCGTGGCAGGCTGGATTTGGACGCGGCGGGGAGTTATTCGAGGTATGCTGCGTGTGCTGGGTTTACTTACCCTCCCCCCCTTTGTTTTTTTTTTCTTGCTCGCGATCTGTTTATGGGTTTACTATTCCGAGTACACTACACTGGCAGCTCTTTTTTCCTTGACTACCTGATACCTGGTATTATCAGTTATACCGCTGTTAAGGGTCTGTTCGGCTAACATATCACTCTAGGAATGACTCTTTCAAATTATCCGTAGCGGGTTTGGATCTTGATCCCTTACCATACTACTAATTTCATCTTTTATATATTAGGTATATATATATTTGCTCTTCGTATACGCCATTCTCCAATCATGGCTGTGGTCGAGTCGAAAATACCACGATATAGGGCACTCTACGGGCCAGTCTAGTTGTACAAGTCTCCTTAGATCGAGTGATATGGATCGGTCTTGGTATATAGTAAAGAGATCTAGGCTGCTAGGTAAGAAAGTTTACACATATTACGATGAATCAACCCCATATATTAGTATTAGGCACAAACCGTGGTTCAAAGACTACCGGTAGGTAATAAGAGCAACTCAATCGCAATCTTGTTCTAGAATTCAGTTACAAGTACAGTAAACGGGTATCTAATTTCGCCATCAATTCCAGCCGTTGCCTGCCTGCCTGCCCGCATGTCTTCCGTAGCCTAGAAGCCATCCCAAACACAAATAGGAAAAATGGAAGACAGGAAAATAGAGGGAAAAAAAACAAAAACAGAAACTCCCTGTCCATCGCCCATCGCCCACCGCGAAATAGTGTCGTGGGACGTCGTCGCAATCGCAAAAACAGAACCATTATCATACCCGTCTGTCCTAATATACCAGTAAGCCCGCTGAACACTGAGACTGAGTTCTTCCAAATCACTACGCTACGGAGGCGTTCGGTTCTTTATCCACATCCAGCCCCTTTTCTTTTGTGCGTGCCCTTCTCAACCGGATTTCTTCTATTCCTTGTCCATCGACACGAGGTTTTCGTCCTTCTCTTCAGCTACGGCACCCTTTTCTGCCGCCTCTCGCGGAGAGGTGAGGGGGCTGTTTACGCCACCGACGCTTCCGCTGATGCTATCAGCGCGGCCGTGATTGAGCAAGCCGCTACGCACGCTGGCACCATCACCCGCGAGGCTCTGCTTTGCATAGAAACTGTTGCGCTCGCCAGATAAAGTAGGGGTAATTCCGGTCGTGGAGTAGATGCTTGTACGTTCGTTGGTACCGGCGATTCGTGAGGTGGACTGGTGCAGACCTGGGGTTGACATATCACGACCACCGCTACCATCGATATTGGCACTGAGGACGCTCAGCGGCAAGGATTCGCGGCTACCTCCCCAAAGCGAAGACGGGGCAAGAGCACGTACCGAGGCATCGGTATCCATGGACCTTCGGCGACGCCTCTTGCTGGAGGAAGCCAATGTAAGAATCGACGCATTATCGGTGAGAAGATTGTTCGCAGTGGCGGAATTGTAGGTGGTTGGATGGCCGGGGATCGAGTGGGGTGCTAGATACGGCGGGATGGCCGAGGCGGGAGAGTTGGTAGGGAAAGGCTGGGTAAATTGGATAGTCTGGTAGTTGCCTTGGTTGGAGGAGTGGCCCCCATGAGTTGGAGCATTGACTGCAGCATTCGGCCCCAAAGATTGGATGGTAGTGAGCGTGGTAGTTAGAGACCGCACAGAGGGCGCAGGCGAGGAGAAAGTACTGTCTCCTCCCCTTCGAGATTCGAGACCTCCACCCGCAGTACGACTTGTACCGGCGACTGATGATGCTATATGCGAAGGAGCGTGAAGAGATTGGGCAGCATCGTAGTCGGTCGATGTAGTATGTGCTACGGACGGGGCACCGGCGGTAGGGGGCCCGGCTTCTTCGGTGGATATTCGCGTAGAAGACTGACTTCCCTGGAGTAGAGATGGATTTGATACCCTAGCGCTGCGAGAGGTCGAGAAAGAGGGATCGCTCTGATGGGTAGGTACGGTAATACTGATGCGTCCAGATTGCGGGTATGGGTTATTATTTTTTGATGTACGTTTCTTGGCACCTTTGGGGATGGCATCGCGTTTAAAATGAGTATGTCGGCCTCCCTCGGCAGAGGAAGCGGCATTCTTGAAGTTGGCCAGCTTCTTGACCCATGTTGTGAAAGGCCGCCTACGACCCGAGCGTTCTTGACGATCTGTCATGATACGATCAGTCATGATGAAGAACATGTCAGAGATGTAATGGTGCGTCATAGCCTAAAGAATAAAGAGATGGGAAAAGATGGGAAAAGAAAGAGGAGAGAGATATGAGATATGGAATATGAAGTAGGAAATATGGAATATGGGGATAGATGGGCTTTGAAAGAAGCTTTAGAAGTGGGAGGGAGAGAGAGGGAGAGTAACTTACCAGTAGGGAGAGGAGATGTCTCAGTCATGGCCATCTGGGGGCTAGAACAGAGTTACAAAGTGGCGATTAAACTGTAAATAGCCTCGGGGTTCTTAGGTTCAAGGTTTGATTCGGGTTGATTTGGTGGAAAAAGTAATTGGGGAAGTTGGCTGGTTGGGCAGGTATGCTGTATGCTGTATGGCCCAATGTGGCAGAAATAAAAACCTAATAGGACGTTAGGGGATGATATCTTTTTAAGACACCATCACCAGTAATGATGAGTGATTGAAGTAGTGAATGAGTGATGAAGGTGCGTATGAAGGTGCGTGCGACGGGGCTAAAGGGATCCAAGTGCAGCCAAAGTTGGATAAGCCGGATGGATAATTGTGGGTAACAGAAATCCACCCCACTCCCTTGCTCCAATTCTCTAATTTAAGCTCCGCTTTTCAAGGCTGATGCAACTTAACGCTAAAATTGAAGGGTGCTTGGGACGTCATTAGCCACATTTCATCTTATACCTGGTAACAACTTTCATTCCATTCTTTCACTCTACTTTCTACTCAAATTGTAAAATCAACTATTCAACCTTGACATCTGCTCGTTTCTCTCTAGCTATCTTCATGGCTTAAGGCGAGATTCCAAACCAAACGAAATATAATCAGACAAAAACGAAGATGAGATATGAGGAAAATATCCGTACTCAGCAATGTCAGGTATCCAGCACTTGCCGGAGCATGTCATTGCTCAGATTAAATCGTCTACCACCATAACGTCGCTTAACAGTGTTGTCTGCGGCTTGGTTCAGAATTCTCTTGATGCATCAGCTACCAAAATCACAATTTCAATCGACTATATTCGAGGAAATTGCTCTGTCGAGGATAACGGTTTAGGTATCGCTCCAGATGAGTTCACGCCTACCGGTGGTCTCGGCAAACTTCATTATACGTCTAAATTTCCACCTAGTGGCGATATTCATGGACGACATGGTGCTTTTATATCTTCCGTCGCTGCATTGTCGCTATTGTCAATAACATCCCATCATTATGGTTACCATTCCCATAACTCGATTAAAATTCACAACACCGAAATCTTGGCACGTCATACCCCCTCGTTACCAGAGCAGAGATTGCTAAGCTTTCCTCATGGGACCCGCACAACTGTTCGAGATCTATTTGGGTCCATGCCGGTGAGGGTTAAACAAAGGGCGATTGATGCTGAAAGAGGCGCCAACGCCAAGAACTGGGAGTCACTCAAGCGTGCCCTCGTAGCACTGCTGCTCGCTTGGCCAGGCCAAGTCTCTATATCAATCCGCGATTCCGTAGATGGGCGTAGTCTTACAATTCGTACTCCCGAAGAATCCTCAACCCCCGGAGATGGTAATTACGATACGCTTAACCTTATTACTCGTGTTTCGAGGATAATCTTTCAAGCCCAGCTATCCGATGATCGCTCTCGGGATTTGTGGGTGCCCCTTAAGGCATCGGCAGGGGCAATCTCGGTTGTAGGTGCGATATCACTCGTCCCTGTATCATCTCGACAGATACAATTTATTAGCATAGGCGTACGGCCCATCTCTAATGACCACGGACCAAACGTCATTTATGAAGAAATTAACAGGTTATTCGCGAACTCGAGTTTTGGGGTAGAAGAAGAGAGCGAAAACTTCAGTGAGAATAACCAAAATAAGCAAGTTGACGACCGCCGAATGAAACTAGATCGGTATACCAATCAGGATCTGAAGGGTAGAAAGGGGGTCGACCGGTGGCCTATGTTCTATATTAAAATTACTCTAGGGCAAGTCTCTCGAATCGCTCACTATGACGTAGAAGAGATCATAGATGAGCACCACAAGAGTCTAAAAGCAATCATGGACGTTTTATCCGCGGTCGTGTACGAATTTCTTAAAGCCCATCACTTTCGCCCAAGGCATCCTAGGTCTCGTAGGATCACATCTAAGCGTTCGAGTTCTTGCGACTTACGCAGACACTCTTTGTCTAGAAGCTCCACCCCGAAAGATGAATCTCGAGTGGCTGGGTCCAAGCTATCTCGAACTCATATACCATCTGCCGGGGATTTAGCTAGCACTCGTCTTAATATCAAGTCTAGCCACTCTAGCTTGCGGCACCCTACTCCTTTCGATTCCTGGAGTCGTATAAAATCAGGACAGCCTCAGTATGCGCATCTGTACGAGAAATCTTCGGATTGCAACATTACGGGATATACTCGTAGCCAAAACCAACCAACAGCGGATATATCACACTTAGAAGATAACGATAATATTTCGGATACGCCATTAGTTGCTTCGGATGGTACGCTTCTCCGTATTCCCTTTCCTGATGTAGAAATGGATACACCCTGGACTATCCATAGATCCACTTCTGAAGAGGAAGGTCTAAGCAGAGCACAATTGCAATTAAGAGAAGGCAAAGAGCTCCTATGGACCAACCCGACAACCAAGGATACCTTGGTTATCGATACTCGTACCGGTTCGGTGATTCGACCATTCCAACCTGGAGCTGGGGGATCCGAATTGCCTGACGAAATCCGTCGTCTACCTTTAAGAAAGAAGCTCCGTATTAACACCAAACCAATTGCAAGCGATATAAGAAGTGAGTGGTTATGTAGTCTGATATCATCCTGGACCAACCCGGTTTTTGAAATACACGAGCCACCGATCCCAGTTGCGTTTGACGAAGGGAAAGTACTCTTTCTGGCAACAAACACAGCTGAGAACGGCTGCCATGGGTGCGATTCTGGATTATTGGAATCATTTCAAACCAGTTATAGTATGGAAGGCCGCCTATCTAAAGAAAGTTTACGAAATGCTTCTGTAATATCTCAAGTCGATCGGAAGTTTATACTGGCGAAAGTTCCTTTACCCTCTCCGCCTACCGTTCCAAGTACGGGCGATAAAAGCCAGCCTTCATTGCTAGTCATTATTGATCAGCATGCTGCGGATGAACGCTGTCGGATCGAAGCTCTCATGAAGGATTACTTCATGGTTGTAGAGGATTCTCAAGGCCCAGTCACAGGAAAGCCTCGGTTGCGGATTCATGCCCAAGCCGAGCTTCTGGAGAAGCCTATCGTATTTGACATTTCCGTTCGGGACAGTCGCCGATTTGAGCAGTCTGCCGAGTACTTTAAGCATTGGGGAGTTGTGTTTCAAGTAATCTTGGTGCAGAAATCAAAGCGCGACAGCGTGGAGAAATCTAAGCTAAAAGTATTCGGGTTACCACCCAGCATAGCTGAAAGGTGTCGCTCAGAACCTCGGTTACTCATCGAATTACTAAGAAAGGAGATATCAAATCTTGACGAACATGGGCATAGTACTTCTCAGCAAACGAGAATAGAGGCAACTCAGGGAGCTGCCGATGGCTCCGCTGAACTACACTGGCTGGCTCGGTTTCACGGGTGTCCTAGTGGCATTATGGAAATGATCAACTCGAGGGCGTGTAGGAGCTCTATTATGTTCAATGATGTTCTTTCTCACGAGGAATGTGTCAGCTTGGTGAGCCGGTTGGCGGACTGCACGCTACCTTTTCAATGTGCCCATGGACGGCCATCGATGGTGCCGCTGGTAGATCTAAGCAGAATCCCTACAGAGGTGATAGATGTAAAGAAACCTACGGGTAGATTTGGGCAGCAGTTCAAGAAATGGAAATCAAGTATGGGCAATAGTTAAACATCTATATAATTGGAGGAAGAGTGTTGACTGTTGTTCTAATATATACTTGTTATACTATTTGCTATATTAAGTACCTAGGTACCTAGATACCCCATATGCTAGAGAAGTTCTGAGAAGCTCTTATTTATTATAATTGTCTTAATAATTCGAACTCTAAGTACCTCCTTAGGTACCTAGATACCTAGGGAAGTACGTACCTGACAAGGGTGCTAAAGATTAGGTACCTAACCTAAAGTATCTGTGGAACATTGGTGTCTATCGATAAAGCAGCTCCCGTCTTAGAGCTTCGCTGTGACGTTCCCCCAATCCGTATAAGCCATCATCAACTTCCAGGCAATGATGAACTAATGAGAACTAATGTGACTGTCGCAAGCATTTGAGCACACACCATGGCTTTACTTCTTGTGAGTTATCAAAACCATACTTATTTTATTCTTCCTGAACTATTCTGTTCCAACTAACCTGCTCGCAAGTGGAAAGCGTTCGACTTCTTTGAAGTAAGCCAGGTCACGCTCGGCGACGACGAAACACGATCATTATTCGAGAACAACGAGATATCAAGTGTATGCTCTGGATCCGACAGCCTATTCTTCGGGAGCGACAATGGCTATGTGCGCATCATCGGACCCAGCTGGAAGATTGTCCGGAGCTTCCAGGCACACGACACCGGCCGCATTACCCATATGCACCAGGTCGAGGGGACGAGTTTGTTAGTCACAGTCTCTGTAGGATATACGTTATAGCCTTACGATCTCGAGTGAAAAACTAATATGAAGTAGGAGGACCTCAGCAATGAACCCGTATTAAAAGTCTGGGCTCTGGACAAACCAGTCAAGAAGACAGGCTTGCCTACTTGTTTAAGCACATTAAACATACACAACGGGCGAAAGCAGTTTCCTGTGAGCACATCTGGGCATGGATAGAAAGGGTCCTATCTAACCTGAGGTATGCTTATAGATATCATCCTTCACCGCTCTTGATGATCTGTCACAGCTCGCCGTGGGATTTGCGAACGGTGCGGTCACGGTAATACGAGGCGACTTAATACACGACCGAGGTACGAAACAACGAATCGTTTACGAGTCAGAAGAACCTATTACGGGAGTCGAGTTCGTAGCTGATCCAAAGCTTACAACACTGTTTGTCGCGACAACCTCCAAGCTCCTAAAGCTGGTTATATCCGGTAAAGGACAAGGGCAACCACCGAGGACGATTGAGGATGCCGGGTGCGCTGCCGGCTGCATGACGGTAAATAGCAAAACGGGAGATATCATCGTGGTTCGGGAGGATGCGGTATACTATTACACACCGGAAGGGAGGGGGCTCTGCTTCGCTAATGACGGGCCCACGAGTCTAGTATCGACTTTCCAGGACTATGTTGCCCTCATTTCCCCACCCCCGACTTCTGGTAGCGGAGGCTCTGACAGTATTGGGAGGCGTTTTGGAGGATCTAATGCAGATGTCCTTTTCAACGCTGCTAGGTTTACAATGGTAGATCCGACGCTTCAGATAGTCGCACATTCCGAGTCTCTTATTTCCGAAGTCAGGGCTATTTTCCAAATATGGGATGATCTGTTTATTTTGACTCAGGATGGAAAGGTGAGGCGCACTAATCTTTACTCACGCGAGCATGTGCTTACCAAAAGCTAGGTTAATCGCTACCATGAGAAGTCGTTACAGCAGAGGCTCGAATTATTATACCAGCGAAACCTCTTCCCGCTTGCCATCAACCTCGCGCAGAAGTCTCACATGGAGCCACAACAGCTAAATGTCATATACCGGAAATACGGTGACCATTTATATCAGAAAGGAGACTATGATAGTGCCATGTCTCAGTATATCAAGGCGATTGATAATACCGAGCCATCGCAGGTCATCCGGAAGGTAAGCGTCTGGTTTAAAAAATTCAAACTAGTTACAGAATTTCACTAATAGGAACAGTTCCTCGATACACAAAGAATACATAACTTAATCGAGTATCTCGAAGAGCTTCACGAGCATCACACAGCTACCGCTGATCATACAACTTTGCTGCTAAATTGCTATGCTAAGTTGAAAGACGTCGAGAAGCTGGAGAAGTTTATCAAATCCGAGGGAGATCTCAAATTTGACCTAGACACGGCCATAAATATGTGTAGACAAGGTGGGTATTTTGATCAGGCTGCTTACCTTGCTACCAAGCATGGCGAGAGTGACCTCGTGGTGGATATCCTTATCGAAGACTCTAAGAAATATGCGGAAGCGCTTGATTTTATATGGCATTTGGATGCTGAAACAGTACGTAAACTTGCACTCTGATGCTGATCGGATGCTAACATCGGACAGGCATACCCATCGTTGATGAAGTACGCTAGAGTACTCTTAGAGAACTGTCCGAGCGATACCACCGATCTTTTCATTGACTACTACACAGGCAAATATAAGCCTAAAGCCCATGCAGTACCAGAAGAAACCCAAACGATTTCAAGTGGCGGATTGGCAGCTGGAGCTGCAATAGCCGTGCAGAATCTGACTAGCTTATTACCGCTTCCATACATGAGCACTTCTGCCGTTCCTACGCCTAATGGGCAAGGATCACAGGCAGCCGTCAGCGACGCAGGCACTGTAATAGATCACGAGATGAACACTGAACAGAAATATACCCCTCCTCCTCCCCGAACCGCATTTTCGTCTTTTATCGATCACTCAGACGAGTTTATCGTCTTCTTAGAAGCCTGCCTAAAGGATGATTCCCTTCAAGAGTCAGACAAGGTAGATATTTATACAACTTTATTTGAGATGTATCTCCACAAAGCAAGCGAACGGAAAGGAATGCAGAGGGAGGAATGGGAGCTTAAGGCAAAGAAGCTTATTGAAGGACGTGAAGTCCCCATCGAGGACTCCAACGTTCTCTTACTATCTCACCTCTCGGATTTCAGAGATGGCACAACTCTAGTCAAAGAACAGTCGGGACTGCTGTTCGATATCTTCCGTTCCTATACTTCGGCGAAGGACACGCGCGGCGCTATTAAAGCCCTCCGCAAGTACGGACCCGAAGAGCCTCAGCTCTACCCGGCGGCGCTGGCATATTTCACGTCAGACGCCCGAATTCTAGAGGAGGCCGGACCGGAAGAACTCGCCAACGTACTCAAGAAGATCGATCGGGACAACCTAATGGCGCCTCTCGAGGTCATCCAGACGCTAGGGACGAACGCCGTAGCAACGATGGGCATGATCAAGCCGTACCTGCGAGAGACGATCTCGCGCGAGCGGCGGGAGATCGCGTCCAACAAGCGGCAGATCAACTCGTTCCGGAAGGAGACGGAGGCGAAGCGGGCCGAGATGGCGGAGCTGGGCACCAAGCCGGCGGTGTTCCAGGCGCAGCGGTGCCCCGGGTGCGGGGGTCCCCTCGAGCTGCCCGCCGTGCACTTCCTGTGCAAGCACAGCTTCCACCAGCGCTGCCTCAAGCAGCAGCAGCAGGGCGGTGACGGCAGCGGCAGCGGCGGCGGCGGCGGGGACGGCTTCGAGTGCCCCGTCTGCGCGGCGAACAACGCCGCCGTGCGCGCCATGAAGCGCAGCCAGGTCGAACGCGCGGATAGGCACGACCTGTTCCGCGACGCGCTGGAGAAAGGGGATGATAGGTTCAAGACCGTCGCGCAGTGGTTCGGGCAGGGGGTTATGGGCGCGGGAACGGTGGAGTAGAGGATGGTATAGCAGTGTAGTGTTTTGTTGTGTTGTGTTGCGTTAAGCTGAGTCGCGTTGCGTTGAAGTTTGTGCTTGTCTAACTCTATTGTAGAATTATATCCCAGGCTGGGGGTATCGCGTCTATGAGGTACCTAATCTAATATATATGGAGGCCCCCTTTTCTATATACAATGAATGCATATCTAGGTGCCTAAGTAGGTATCTATATGCATGGGTACCTAAAATAACTCGGTACTTGAGATGTAAAAATTAGTTTTTACCCGTGACCCCGAATAAATTGTTAAGCCACCTTCCAACGGCTTCGCTGTTAACTTTGGACCGCCAGTCGGTAATGTGGTGTAGGTACGCCGATTTCAGGGACTCCTCTGGTAGACCTGTCCCGGATATTTCGGTGATCTGCCCGTGCCGGACCGTCATAGCTGCGCGGAAATCCGGGGGCAGGTCGTCCGGTAGAGGCGGTCTAGGACGAGGGTCGTCGTCGGTTGGGTGCGTGGAGAAGGAGAATTGCGGCGTCTGCGTGTATATCCATTCCCGGGACTGTTTTACGAGATTTCGAGGGGGGTCTTGTTAGTTTTCCGCAACTTGTAGGTATTGTTATATCTAGAGGGGAGGGGTTTCAGGGGGCGAAATATGGCGCTTAAAAAAAGAGAAGAAAAGAAGAGGGAGAGGGAGAGGAAGAGGGAGAGGGAGAGGGAGAGAAGGAGAATAACGCACCTTGAGCTCAGCGTACCCTTTCGCGATAGCCAGGACACCATCCAGCGCCGCCTCGGCATCCGCCTGCCGGATAACCTCGGGGTCGACGTCTCCGTACATGGCGCCGAACTCGGCGACGACAGCGTCCTCGAACTCGGCGATATCCGCCACACCGACGTTGCGGATCGGGCTGCGCACGCTCTCGACGCCGCGCGCCTTGATGAAGGGGGCTGCGGGGGAGCGCAGCAGCGGGCCGACGAGGGGGAGGTTGGGCGAGCGCAGGAGGCAGGTGCCGTGGTGCAGGGAGCGCAGGCGCGTCAGCTTGTAGGCCGAGCCCGAGACCTTGAACGTCTGCGTCTGCGTGTGCGTGTGCTCGGGGGTGTCGACGTTGACGTCGAGCACTATGTCGTGCCGCTCGTTGACGCGGGACCCGGACGCGCCGAGGGAGCGGAGCGCGCGGACGACCATCTCCGCGTGCTTGTTGCGGTCGAACGAGGCGGGCGGGCATATCACGCTGTAGTTAGCGTTGCCGGAGTCGTGGAAGACGGTGCCGCCGCCGGAGCGCCGGCGTACGAGGAGCACGGGGCCATCGAGAGGATCCCCGCGCTCGTCCACGACGCTGCTTTTCCCCGGGCCCAGAAGGCCCAAGTTCACCTCGACCCACGGGTTCTGGTTGCGGCCGACGACCACGCAGGGCCGGTTCGCGTACAGGAACAAGACGACGGAGTCCGGGGGGGACGTCTGCAGGAGGAAGTGCTCGATGGAGAGGTTGAGGTACGGGTCCGTCGCCCGCGAGATGTACACCTGGACCCGGTTGGAGGGGTGGGAGACGGCGTCCGCGTTGAAGAGGCGCCGCGTGGGGGAGGGGATAGAGGTATAAGAAGAAGAGGAAGAAGAAAAAGAAGAAGGTCTTATACGCGGCCTGGCGAAGGTGTTGAGGAGGTGCCGTGGGAGAGCCATGGGGAAAGAAAGGAAAGAGAATAGAAAACTCTGTATTATCTCATTTCATCTCATACTAATTAATTTATATTGTTGTCTTATATTATCTTTGGTTATTTCATATACATGATTTTAAACTTTTTAGTTGAAATATTGGAAAAAGGTGAGTGAGGCTAATATGTACCTGAGGCAGGTAAGGTTAAGTGAGATGAGATGAGATTTTAATATTTGGCCTGCAGCAGAGTGCATATGACGGAGTTACCAATAACTCCCCTGTCCTGTCCGGGACCTGCAGTCTGCAGCTGCTTGGTACATAGTAGGTAGTATGTAGCTGGTACTACCCCACATTAAAGTTAGGGTCCGTTTTTTTATCGATAAACATCGCGGGGCTTGAATCGGAACTCTTTCCCTCCCCTCCCCCACTAGAGGTACCTAATCGTCAGACCTCGAAAATTAAATCTTGCACCCCCCCCCTTCCATTCATTTGGCTCTTTGACTCATACGAACAAAGCCTCCTATCGCTTTAAAGAAACCACGACTCGGTTTCGGAAGACCCACTGGGAAATTTTTTTACTAGGCGTCTCGTAGGAGTAGCCATTATTATTATAACCCAGTTCTACTCTACCAATTGAGAGGTAGTTACTGTAAAGTTTACACACAACTTCTACCAAGCCATCATCTACATTTCGAGAATTACACCATGTCGACTTTCGGAGAGGCCTTTCGGGTCACCACGTTAGTTTTATACCTCCAATTGAATCTATTATATCTTTCTAACGTCTAATATATAGTTATGGAGAGTCCCATTGTCGTTCCGTAGGATGTATCGTCGACGGCTGCCCCCCGGGCATGGAACTCACCGAGGACGATATCCAACCCCAGATGAACCGTCGCCGCCCGGGTCAGAGCAGTATCACGACTCCCCGGAATGAGAAAGACCGAGTCGCTATACAATCCGGTACCGAGTTTGGTATTACCCTTGGCACTCCGATTGGTCTAGTAGTTCTCAACGAAGATCAGAGACCGAAAGACTACGGGAACAAGACGATGGACCTCTACCCACGACCCAGTCACGCCGATTGGACTTACCTGGAGAAGTATGGTGTCAAGGCAAGCAGTGGTGGTGGGAGAAGCTCGGCCCGTGAGACTATTGGTAGAGTAGCAGCTGGTGCCATCGCCGAGAAGTACCTTAAACTCGCTTATGGTGTTGAAATCACTGCTTTCGTCACATCCGTTGGCTCCATTCACATGTTCCCGCCCACACCCGAATACCCGACCCCGAGTCAAAATCCCGCATTCATGGAGCTAATTCAGAATATCGACCGCGAAACAGTCGACAAGTTCTTGCCCGTAAGATGTCCGGATGAGCAGGCTTCGCAGAAGATGGCAGATTACATTGCCGAATTCAAAGAGCGCAACGACAGCATTGGTGGAACCGTAACCTGTGTCATCAAGAACGTGCCAAGCGGTTTGGGGGAGCCGTGCTTTGACAAGCTGGAGGCGAAGCTCGGACACGCCATGCTCAGCATACCAGCGACTAAGGGCTTTGAAATTGGTTCCGGTTTCGGTGGTTGCGAGGTGCCGGGATCTATTCACAATGACCCCTTTATCAGGGCCCCGGAGACCCCTGCTAGCCCGGGTACCGGTGCTGGGCTAGCTGGAACTCCCAGGCCTAAACTTACAACTAAGACGAACAACTCGGGAGGTATTCAGGGTGGCATCTCGAACGGTGCTCCTATCTACTTCCGAGTCGCCTTCAAGCCGCCTGCCACCATCAGTCAGGCACAGACGACAGCGACCTACGACGGAGAGTCGGAAGGTGTGCTAGAAGCTAAGGGAAGACACGACCCTTGCGTGGTTCCCAGGGCGGTTCCCATCGTCGAGGCCATGGCGGCGTTGGTAGTTATGGATGCGCTGTTGCAGCAGATGGGACGACACGAAGCGAGGAGACATCTCCCTCCTCTAAAGCAAACTGTGCCGCCGGCGGATAGTGGCGTTTCTAGGGATACAAAACAATAAATAAATAGGCTGGGGATAGATAGACAAAAGGAGAACATGGGGTGATAAATTAATATTATTGGTCATCTTAATATAGCTGCTGCTGCTACTAATAGACTCTGTGAATACTATAGACCCTAAGTTCAGATAACTAAGGTTTTACGTAAAGAGTCTTTTGTAGACAAGTTGAAGGCTACAACCAATAAGTAATGTTTAGTAGTTACCTGTTACCTGTCAATAAACCTCTTCAAGAAAGCAACAACAGAGTACCACAGGCTATTATAGATCATATGCTAGATGCACATATTGTGGATATGTAGCACACTATACTTTTTGTACTTCATCCTAAGCTCTCTTTCCCTTGCATGTCTACAAGTGCCGGAAGCGTTCCTCCGCTACGCAAACTACTTGACAAACTCCATCTTTTCACCATTGACGTTGAAGATCTGAATCTCTCCATCCTCGCCTACCTCGCGACGGCCCTCGGCACAACCTACCATAACGGGCGTTAGCAAGTGCACGTATAAGACAGGAAATAGTTAGAGAATTCGAGGGGTAGTAATTCCTGGGAAATCCGGATTTATAATGCCGGGCTTCAGAAAGGAACTAGGTACGGAATAATAAGAGGTACTGATTGTTCTACGTACAGCTGTTGTACTGTAGACATGAGAGAGGTTAGCAACTATTTATGCAGAGAAACCCTCTCGTCTATAAATTGTGTCTTAGAGACACGAGGGGGGGAGTGGTAGGTAGAGGACCTACAACTCCGGAGCAAGGCTCCTCTTGGCAATAATCGATGCTGCACTGGAGACAGCCTGGAAGACAGCACTTGTTCTGGTATTGGCGTTCGGCGAGGACAAGGGCCTGGGTAGGTCCGGCGTTGGCGAGGGCGACTAGGGGAAGACTGGCGATTGCGTTGAGGAGGTAGATCATGCTGGAGGAGTACATCGTGGGCGGGGCTTCTCTGTATCTCGGTGCTATAGGGGGATAGATGTGGTATATAGGGCACAATGGCTTAGGTAGTAGGTACCTTACTTATGTTCGAACCTGGCGTTGGGCGATTTCTTCTTTGGTAAAGGATCTGGAGAATCAACGGAATCCTCCTGTTGGAATTATCTCAAGCAGCCATGTTTATATATTATAATCTCTCATGGGCAATAGACCTAGTCTCCAAGACTACCATAGTAGTCCGTACATATTTTTTTTTCGACGGCGTTCCACCGAGACATAGCACCCCATTCCTCATTAGATCTTGTTGGCTTGCTCTTTCGAACCGGATACCACGGTCTAACTCCCATTTGCTGCTCCCCGCTGGCCAACTAACGACCCCAAGCAATCACCTCGGTGATGAAGGCCGGCTTCCTCATATTCACTGGCGGCGCTAGGTAAGGGGTGCAGCGGCAGGTTATCCCTTACTAAAGTTTCGAGCGAATAGAAACCGGTGCCACTTCTCATGAAGGCAAGGGACATCGTGCAGTAGGATAGGGCTCCCGTTTAAGACGTTCCGGTGGGTTAGAGATATTCAATATTATTCCCATATATAGGTTACATATGACTACCTACTTGGGGAAGTATGAAATCTACAAATATGTAAAACTGCTACTTGACAATATACATATACTCTAGGAGAAAAGGGAGTAGGATGTGGTGGATGTAACATCGTCCATGCAAAGGAAGACATCCAGCCTGGGAGTAATAATGGGCAAATAGTTGGGCGAATAAGGGTGAATAAAAAACCACTAAAAGAAAATTATAGCCCTTAAATCTAAAATTTTGCGAGGAGAGGAAGAGGAAAAAAAAAAAAAAAGAAAAAAAAGGAAAGGGAGATAGGAATGGCAAAAAAGCTAGGACTCTAATTTTTTTCTACTTAGTTGACCTGAACAGTTGGCCTGCCTGCACGCCCCTCGCAAAGGATCGAACTCAAGTCTTACGAAAAGACCCGGGAGGGTTATTTCTAACCCTACTCATTACCACTAGACCACGGCCACGTTGGTTTCGCAGCTCTGAGAGGGGGTGGAAGAGTGCCTGCCTAAGGACTTATTTAAGTCGACGGCGGGGTACGAGATGTTTGTAGTGTACATACAAGAGGTACCAACCAACCCCTTTGGTAACGGCGCGTCCTTCTAGTTACCTACATCTACATCTTTTCTCGCTCCAAGTGTCAAGATCAAGAATATGTAGTTTGTCATATTATGTATAGGCTCTGCATCTTGGGTACGCCCCTTTTCTCCCTCTATCACTTTATATGCCTGCTAACCCTTATATTCACACTGCACCCAAGACTTCGACATGGGCATCACGACGCATAGCACACGTCTTTCTCTAGATTTCTGAGGCGCGCAATGGATAAAACGCCCCAGGGTCACTACCGATATCAACACCGTGCATCATCGATCCGATCTCGACCATATATAATCAGTAGCACTTCGACTCAACCCTATAACCAGGCAAGTATAGCAATACCCGAATCCTCCTCATCCCCCCCTCCCTCCCCAATGAACATCATCACACCCCTTCCTCCGCATACAACCCCTCCTGCCGAATCCAACCCGCCACATCCTCACTGACCAGCTTTCCCAGCGCCTCCCAGTCTTTCCTCCGCACCGCCTCCCGGACCTTCGTACTACTCACCGCCACCACCTCCTCTTCCTCTTTCTCCTCGCCTTCTTTCCTGCCATTCCCGCTCCCCTCCACCATCTCAATCCGATCCACCCACTCCGTCCTCCCCCCCACGCGCCCCAGGGCCCCCTCCCTCAGACCCTTCACGTACGCCCTCTGCGCCGCCGCGTCGCCCCACTCCGCGTCCGTGCGCATCGTCACCCGCAGCTTCGCGCGCGCGAAGAACGGGTCTAGCGCCGACGCCATGGCCCCGGACCCCGGGGGCGGGGAGTAGTAGTACTTGGGGTCGAAGATGCGGATCAGGGTGTCGAACCCGGTTAGGTACACCTGCTCGGGGCCCTGGTCCTGCACGTTTTGGCTTTGGTTTTGGTTGTGCTGGTGGTAAAAGTCCGACGCGGCAATGGCCCCGGCTTTCGCGTGGAAATACGGCTCCGTCGTCACCGCGATGTCCACGCCTTGGCACCACGCGCTGCGGCGCTGCGCTGGCGGCGGCTCGGCGCAGCGCAGCAGCAGGTCTTGCGCGAAGATGTACATCATCGCGAGCCGCTGCGGGAAGGAGGCTGGTTTGGGCGCCTTGTCGGCGTTGTTGATGGCGAGGAGGAGCAGGACGCGCGGGGTGCGAGTGTTATCGCCGTCGCCGCCGCTATCTGATGGCCCGTGGTCTGCGAGGGCGGATAGCGCCATGCGCCGGTGGGCGAGGGTAGGCGGGTTGAAAGACGAGTCGAGGACTAGGAGAGATTTTATGGGGGCTTGGGGAGGATGAGGAGTGGGTGGTTCGGCTGCTGATGGTGATGCCGAGGATGGTAAGGAAGAATTTGTCAAGGAACACAGGACGCGGAAGGTCGCGTTGGACGTTTGGTAGCTCTTGAGAGCTTGGGTGAAGACGGAAACGAGATTCGGTGGTAGTCGAGCCATTGATGGAGAGTCGTCTGATGATGGCATTTCTTATTACATTTATATAGGAAGGCTATTTGGGAATTAAAGTAAGGTATGGCGTCGCTAATTCTATATGAGAGCGGTATAAAGCATCGTGCTATTTTTTGTTATTGGTAAGAGCTTTTTATATAGCGATGTTAGATGTGATGTCAGTGAATGGAAGTTGACGATAAGAGGTGGGATGAGAAAAGGTGGAGACGAGGGGTGGTTCCGAAATCTTGGCATGCGGGTGATCCCGTTATAAGTGGGTATCTACCGGGTATGTATGTACCTGCGTAAACTCAGAGCCGGGGGTCCAAAAAGGTACCTAATGTTATTTACCTCGTCATAAACAGGAAAGTTGAAAGGAAATGTGTAATTAGAAGCCGATTACCAGCTTGTCATATGCTAACGAATAACCTCTCGTAGTGCGAGATATGCTTCCTTTCAATGCAATAAGAAATCGTAATAGCCACGGGGTATCGTAAGTTATAAACCAGTATTCCAGAACGCCTAAGTGCTTCGATATGCGATCCTGCTAAACAACTCGCTGCCACACGCCCTCAACGAATTTCCGGCTCTCGCATGAAGTCGGGGATGCTCAGTCCGCCGTCGCCAGGGGTATACTTTCTAGACTTCGCCTTCCGCTCTCGCTTGTCGGCAGCGAGCTTCGATATCGCCTCTTCGTCGTGGTCGTGAATGTTCATGGCCGCCATCCTATCGCGGTAATCATCGATTGCTTCGACCATGTCTTCGACGGGGTTGTTCTCCGCGGTGTCGGCGCTGTCGTCCAGGGCGTACACTTCCACCCCGCGTATGTGCGTGTCCTTCCCGTTCTGGTGGTTCTCGAGAACGATAACTCGGACAAACCAGCAGCACAGCGAGTTGCCATCATGTCCGCCGCCGGCTCCCTCGATAGGTACGTCGGCCCAGCCTTTGGGTTGGTTAAACTCCATCATCACATACGGTATAGTCATGTTCGGACTAAATCCGGCCGTGATCTGGATCTTGGTGGGCGTGTAGCTCTCGTCAAGCTCGTAATCCAGGTAGAGTCTGAGCTTGCGTATCTCTACGCGCTTGATGAAATGAATATTTAATCGGTGGGGCTGAGGCCCGTCAGACCTAGAAATGACCTGTTAAGATAGGATCGACGTGTGGAAATAATGCATGTGCTTACTGCCAGTAATGATTGACATCGTCATCTCGCAGCTCCTTAACGCCACAGCCAGGTTTGTAGCTGCTGACGGTGAAACTAGCCAGGTTGCTGATTTCCTTCAAACCAACTAGGGACGCGTCGAATGCGGCCTCGTCGTTGAGGAATTCTTCTTCCTCGTCTAGTTCTTCTTGCTCTATATCGTCCCCCTCGATGCCCTCAAAATCATGATCCTCAAAATCATGGTCCTCAAAATCATGGTCCTCAAAATCATGGTCCTCAAAATCATGGCCCTCATCGTCTTCGCCTTCATCCTCCTCAAAGTGCTCGGTGTCCTCTTCGGTTGCAGCTGTAATATCGTAAGATGATTGACCTGATGACGAAGTATGATGAGAAGACGCGTCACTCCTCTGGTCTTCTTGTGCGGCGGCTTCACCGCGAACCCTGAGAAGCACGAGCCATAGCTGATCCTGGGTTATTGCCGGCCGAGGCGGACCATCCCCACTTGGGGCCGAAGCTGAATGTTCTCTTCCAAACTCTGGGTTATCCATAGCATATATGATAGAAAAAGCTTTAAGGATGAAGGATGGATAGGAAATGGTAGATGGTGGAATGAGAGAGAAAAAGAGAAAATATTAAAAGTGAAATTCAAGCTGACCTTGAGGTGTCTGCAAGCCTACAGGCCACTGCAAATCACGTCTTCCATTATCATTTAAGGCAGAGTATAAGCCGGGTGTCTGGGTGACACTAGGTCGGCTCGGGTCTCCGGGGAAACCTGGTGATGCCCGTGAAACGCGGTCCGGTCGCATCAAGCGCCGTCGGAATTCTTCTTGTTGTTGACGGAGGCTGGCATGGTTTCTAGCTGTGCCGCCGCTGCTGCCAACATCTTGTGGCTCCATCGTTAAGTAAGGAATGGTGAACGGAAGTTCATCTAAAATGAATAGGAAGTTCTATTTTGTTCAAAATCAGGTTGTTTTCATGAATAGGCGTTTATGAAATGTGAATTCGCCGGGATGAAATTATTGATGTTTTTGTATACAAAGTACGTATTTGTATATAAATATTAAAGTGGGTTCGTTTTGTTACTAGCGTCGCTTTCTTAAGGTATTTTGCGTCTATGTATTTATACACCATATGTATCTAACGAGCTACCTAACTCTTGCTATTGTCAAGCCATTATTTATGGACCTTATTTTTTATTTCACTCTTAAACCTTCTATTTTGAGCAATTTGATACTCACTTCTTTATGACCTACCTGCACACATGCTGCAAGGGCTTTGGCCTAGACCATCAAAATATCAACTTTCTATTTATTCCATCAAATTGCCAAGTCCTCATTTAGCCAGACCTACCTAGGCACTTATAGTATGTGACCTTGGCCAGCCACTACTGCTGGATTACCGTGTCCGTATTATATCACCGTATTACCTATGTCATGTCATACGCCATAACTATCATCTAATCCATGACTTTTAATTCGATGCATATTTTGAGATACTATACTAGGTACCTAGGTAGTTAGTTATATGAGTCGTCTATAAAGCATATAAACAGCAGGTTAGTATGAATTCTACTTGGGGATGTTCCACTTCATAATATATTACCATCTCCCTCCATCTCTCTCTTCATCAATCGAGCAGTCGAGGTCCCCCTCTAGTCCCCACTTCGTCTATGTATTTTACATAGTACATGTTCGTATCTAATCCGTACCTAGGTACTACAGGCTACAGCACGGGATAGGTATCAGGTGGGTACCTAACTCAAATGGCGTTATCCGGTACCTTAGTAACCGCTAATACCGGACCAAGTACGCTACATTTAGGTAATACCTATGGAAATTAATAAGTGCCATGTAACTTTATAGTTCAAAATACCCTAAAAAGAAAAAGAAAAAAAATATGGCCTTTACTTCGGTTGATGTCATTGGGCGGTCGTATCGGCTCGCAGTTCCCCGTAGCTTTAGTGCTACAAACACCCGAAATTTAGTGAGGGGCAGCGTGCTTCGCTCCAGCTCCAGCTCCAACTCCAGCTCGAAGTCTGCTATCGTTTTTCCAACACCCTCAACACCTTCAACACCTGCTCACACGACATCTGGTTCGTCTACCTCATCTCTCCCCAAAAGTCCAACAGGAAAATATAACAATTCACCTTCATCTATTTCATCGGTATCTACCGTACGAGTTGATTGCTTTTTCAAGCCATCGGACAAGGGTCATAAGACATTCGTACCCTGTCGGTTATTCTCTTCTTCTTCTTCAACACCTGCCAAATCCGTCCATCTAACCTCTCTTGATTCGCAACATCATTTTCAAGTTAGATCCAGGCCCCACCATAACTCTTCCAGTTTTTCCCATCCTCTCCTTCGTCTACAACGTGGGGCAGCCCCTCTACATACAAATATATCAGCACGTGTGCCCAACAGCCGGTCCTTCTCGACCTCTTCCCCAGTTTGTTGTTCAGCCATCATACCCTCATCCATCATGGCAGACCGAGACGTTCTCCCTTCTACCGTTGTCCCCTCTCACTATGATCTCTCCATATCTTCCTTGAATTTTAAAGACTGGTCCTATGAAGGAACAGTGGACATACAAGTCTCCATTGCCGAACCTGTCAAGGAAATAGTCCTCAACTCTATCGAGCTCAAGCTACACGCAGCTAAGATAACAGTCGATCAGACCAAGTCTTCTCAGTCCCTGGAAACCACTACGTTCAACTATGACGAAAAGAAGCAGCGTGCGACCCTCGTCTTCGCTGACGAGGTTCCTGCTTCTCAGAAGGCCACTCTTCATATTACGTTCCAGGGAATCCTGAACAATGACATGGCCGGTTTCTACCGGAGCAAATACCAACCTACCGTTCCCGCTGCAGCTTCGGTACCCAGAGATGATACCTTTCATTACATGTTCAGCACCCAATTCGAGGCCTGCGATGCCCGTCGCGCTTTCCCTTGCTTTGACGAACCTCGACTTAAGGCAACTTTCGACTTCCAAATCGAAATCCCCGAGGACCAGGTTGCCTTGTCTAACATGCCCGTCAAAGACACCTCGAAGAGCAGGGACGGTTTCGTGACAGTTTCCTTCGAGCGGACTCCGGTTATGAGCACGTATCTTCTAGCCTGGGCCGTTGGCGATTTCGAGTACGTTGAAGCATATACCGACCGAAAATACAATGGAAAGCAGATCCCCGTACGTGTGTATACCACCCGGGGACTTAAGGAGCAAGGTCGATACGCTTTGGAACATGCCCCTAAAACCATTGACTTGTTTTCCGAGAGCTTCGGTATCGATTACCCCCTGCCAAAGTCCGATTTGCTTGCCGTTCACGAGTTTACGCACGGAGCAATGGAGAACTGGGGTCTGGTGACTTACCGTACGACAGCCGTCCTCTTCGATGAGAAGACCTCTGACGCCAGGTTCAAGAATCGCATTGCATACGTCGTCGCTCACGAACTAGCTCACCAATGGTTCGGCAACCTTGTCACTATGGATTGGTGGGATGAGCTTTGGTTGAACGAATCGTTTGCCACCTGGGCAGGATGGTACGCCGTTAATGAATTCCACCCCGACTGGCAGGTCTGGGCCCAATTCGTCAACGAGGGAATGGAATCGGCCTTCCAGCTTGATGGAATGCGCGCATCTCACCCCGTTCACGTTCCTGTCAGGGACGCTCTGGATGTAAACCAGGTCTTTGACCATATTAGCTACCTCAAGGGATGCTCTGTCTTACGAATGTTGGTCAATCATCTCGGTGAGAAAACCTTCCTCCAGGGTGTCGGAGCATATCTGAGGAAGCATGCTTACGGCAATGCCAAAACTGAATATCTCTGGGAGGCATTGGCTGAGGCCTCTGGAACCGACATCACTGCTCTTATGGGTAACTGGATAGAGAAGATAGGTCACCCAGTAGTGACCATTGCTGAGGAACCTGGGCAAATCTCGATCAAGCAGAATAGATACCTATCAACAGGCGATGTTAAGCCAGAAGAAGATCAGACTATATGGTGGGTACCTCTCGCCTTGCAGGGCAAGGTTGGACAACAGGACATTCAAAACTTGGCCCTCACCGAGAAGAGCGCAGTAATTCGCGATATCGACGACAACTTCTACAAGATCAACAGTAATGCCACCGGCTTCTACCGAACAAATTACCCTCCCGCTCGTCTTGCGAAGCTTAGCAAGCAGCTTGATCGTTTGAGTAATGAAGACAAGATCTCTATTATTGGATCTGCAGCAGATTTGGCCTTCTCCGGTTATGGTACTACACCTGCTCTCCTTTCTTTCCTCGAAGGGTTCAGAGGTGAGACAAACCAGCTTGTCTGGGCTCAGGTGCTAGACTCCCTTGGTCTTGTTAAAACTATCTTTGGTGACGATGAGGCTATCAAAAATGGTCTCGAGAAGTTTACTCTGGAACTTATCAGCGACGCAGTAGAGAAGATTGGTTGGGAGTTTCCGGAAGGCGAGGATTATCTCAGGGGTTTGCTGCGAAAGAGACTTTTGCTCAGTGCCGCAGCGAACGGTCATCCAGAGTAAGTCCCCCCCCCCCCCCCCTTTTTTTTTGGAAAAAAAAAAAAGATTACGTGTTTCGTTTTCCTGCAATCAAACCCATAATACTTGACAGTCATTTGTTTCCCATATACTCTGGTCTAATAGCTAACCAAATATTCAGAGTTGTTGAGAAGGCAAAGTCACTATTCGAGGCCTGGGTTGATAAGGGAACTCCTCTTCCTCACCCGAACTTAAAGACAGTGGTCTACCGTGCGGGTGTGAAGACCGACCCGGCAAAGGCGGTGGAGGCCCTCAAGAAAGAGTGGTTCACCGGAGCATCCTTTGATGGCAAACTGGCCTGCCTTGCTTCGCTAGGCCACGTTCGCGACCCCGAACTTATCTCCAACAGCGTCCTGCCCTTCAACAGTGACTTATCCCCACCTGCCCCTCCCTCCGAATCGGTGCCTTCAGGTGACATGCATACCATTGGTAGCACCTTGGCAACCAACTCAGTTGGTCGTCCGATCCAGTGGAAGTACATCCAGGAGAACTGGGACAAACTGACAACCAAGATGGCGAACCCGGTTGTCCTCGACCGCTTCGTCAAGCTTACGCTTTCGAAGTTCACTGACGCTAAGTACATCGACGAAATCGACGCCTTCTTCAAGGACAAGGATACAAGTGCTTTCGACCGGACCTTGGAGCAGGTCAAGGACGCTATCCGCGGCCGGGCTGCCTACCGCCAGAGGGATGCTCAAGCCATCAAGGAGTGGTTGAAGGCTAATGGTTATCTCCAGTAGAGAGAATACGTGTTAAGATATCGTAGACATATTATCTACGAAGCTTATGAAAGGGGGAAAAAGTATTGCATGGTTCTCGGCATAGAGCATTTACATGGAAAACATTGCAAAAGAGCCGTAATTCCTCAAAAAGCATAATAAGTAAAAATAACACAGCAGTTACAGTGACTTCGCCGTGAATTGTCTTGATGAGCTTAGAGTTAGGATTGTTTTGCTCGTGGTATTTGGTTGCGTAATACGGTATAGCTGAGTGATAAACTCGGTCTAGTATAAATAGACCCTGACATCCTAACTTAAGTCTTAAGTAGTGTCTATCTTCCATATAACTTGGAAGTTACCTACGTAACTAGGAGTTAAGAATATCATCTCCCCCTTCTCTCTCTTTTTCTCGTCAACTCTATGAAGTCCAACTCATCGGTATGATTATAAACATAGGTAGGTAGGCTTCTCAAATTTACTATTTGTAAGTAGTGTAGAACTTCTAACTCTTACGGTTTGACTGCTACCTAGCACCTCCTAAGCTAGCAGCCAAGTCGAGCCTCTCTTTCTTCCCAATATGTACCCGAGGTATAGTAATCCCTCGAAACCTCTCACAACAACAATAATAATCATACCTATACCTCTCATCATCATCATTACTATTTATACGCAAGGGGAGTTTCACACGCAATCCTTACAAAACACACGGATATAAGCAAGCAGACAAGCAAGAAAAAAAAAACAAAAGTGGTATATCCTCATGATCTTGGGTCTCATTAACCATTTACGCCGGGCCGAAACTTTTTCTTCTGTTCTTCATTTTTTTTTCTCTCGCCTTCTCGTAAATGCCAACGAAGAAAAAAAAATCCATTTTTGGTACAGACAAACAAACCAGGAGAATCCTATTCCCTCACCCCCACTCCACCCAATCCGATGATGCTGCGAGGTGCGGGAAAGAGAGCCAACGCCCAGTTTGTGACCCACCATCCTGTTATGTTGTTGTTGTCGTTTTTTTTCTTCCTTTTTTTATTTATTTATTTTATCAAATCAGAAGGCCAAACCCAGACGTATCTGGAGAAGCCCGCCGATCCCTGCTTTTACAATTATCCTCCTTCTCCTTCCCGTGAGTGACACAAGCGCGACCACCGAATTGTGACAGTGCCTTAGTTTTAATATCGAGATTATTATTCCTGTACAAAACCAGACGGGGCAGAGAAGTCTAGATACGGTCGAGAGAGAGAAAGAGAACGAAGGTAGGGTAGATATCAGCGCCATGACTGCCGAGCCAGGAGCCGATCCCGAGAGATGCGACAGTAAAATCGACGGACACCGGCACGAGACTGAATCCTCTACGATTCATCAGTTCGGGGTCTTCCGCCGCGTCCCATCCCGCCGCGGCCGCGACCTCGTCCCCGTCCCCGTCCCTCTCCGTGTCCTCGCCAGCCGCCACGGTAGTCGCCCCGGCCACGTCCTCTCCAGCCTCCTTCGCGGTCACCTCGCGGCCGGTTGCGCTGGACTTGGTGGAATCCGTCGTTCGCTTCGGCGGGAGCACGAGACTAGATGATAGTTAGCACTGCTATATTGCAATCCATCTGAAAATAAAATCTGTGTTATGATAACAACTCTTCTATTTACTTACCTCTGGTGGGTTGTCGGGCTGTTCGTCAGCCCAAGATTGAACGTTGCCCGCTGCTGCGGGAGTCGCCGTTAAGCCAGTTTCTGTTTCAGTAGGATCTCGGGGGACCTTAACCCAGTCTTCCTGGGAAACCGAGGCGCTCAGCTCGTTGTTAGCATCCCATTGGGACTCGGCAGCAGCGTTAGCAGCGTCATCGGCAACGTCGGCGTTCTCGGGAACGCCAGGTGTCGACGACGGTTCGGTGTGGCCGTTGGTTAATTGGACCGTATCTCCAGTGCTGTCGATCTCTGTAAGGCCGGCATGGGCAACGGTCGGGTCAGTTTCGTTAGTGATTTCTACAGGTGCTTCCGTAACTTCAGTTGCCTCGGCAGCGAACAGACTAGCATGGGCCGCGGACACAGCCTTGACCTGAGCATCTGCGAGAAGGTCAGCGACAGGAGAATAAAAGAGGCGTACCGTATATACGAACAAGTTGTCTGAAGCTCCTCCCCGCTAACACTGGTGGTCTTCTCTTCGGAGCCTTCGATCAGCTTAATCATAGTAGAAACAGCATTCTCGTCTCCCGAATACACATTAAGAAGGACTCCCTCCAACGCCATGTTCTCGTCGAGACCAGCATCTGCCTCCTCCGTTCTTCGAGCAGCAGCGAGTCGGAGGAACTGGGAGAGTATCAGGAGGCTGTCATGTTGAACCTTCTGGACCCTTTGAGCCTCAGCGGCAGCTTGTTCCTTAAGTTCGCTAATCGCATCGGCCTTCTCCTTCTCGAATTTCTCCGTTAGGGATTTCTCTAGGCTAGCCTTGTCGGCTGCGGCGCGAGCTCGGTATTCCTCATCCACCTTCTTATACTGGGCGAGTTGCTCCTCGAGCTGGGCAAGCTGGGCTTCCAGCTGGGGCTTCTTCAGGCGCTGGGCGCGCTGGTCGGCGTTGATAATCTTGGCATTTACAAGATCATCTAGCGACTTGTCCTTGTGCTGTTCGATTATGGGGTCGGTCTTGGAGGCGTTGCTCTAAAAAGAAAAAATGTATTTGTTAGGTTGCAAGCTCCACTCAGCAATAAGCAAGAGAGGGGGGAGGGGCAGTGAAAGAGTGTGCATGAAGCGACTGATGCAACTTACGATCTTTTTGTTCACGTTACGGATGTTCCTAGTAAAACGAGTTAGCGAGAAGTAAAGCGTTAGAATGCGACGAGGTGTCACTAACTTTTGGAGCTCACGGACGTAAGGGCTCTCAGAGCTGTCATCCTGACCTTCTTGACCGGCGACGGAACCAGCCTTCTCGGGCACGGACAAAGCAGACGGGGCTGGAGAATCGGTTCGCTCAGCCTTAGCCTTCTTCTTCTTTGCAGACTTGGGTTCGGTCTGAACAGGTGGGTTCTGAACGGTAGTAGAAGGCATAATGTATTGGGATGACTTAAGTCCTGTGTTCGTCGTTTCGGGTAAGTGGGATAAATTTTTATTTTTATTTTTATTTTTTTATTTTATTTTTTGGAGGGGGAGCTTGTTTGCTTAACTTGGCGAATCGTTGGATTCAAGGTTAGGTAGGTACGTATAAAAGAGGAAGAAAAAAAAAAAGAACGCCGGATGCAAGTTGCAGTATTGTAGATCTGACAAAATGCAAAAAGGTTCTTGCGCAGTAAAATGATAGAGGTGGTTAATTTTTTATTTTTTCTTTGGAGTTTCGGTTTATAGGTTGAGTTGAGGTTAGGTAAGGTTCAGGTAACTAAAAGTGAGGTTTTGAGGTTGCGTTGTGTGGCAGTTGGAGTAAGTTTTGGTTGGTCTTGGAATTGGCCTTTGGTTGGTGCCTTTGGTGCCTTGGACTGCTTTGAGAGGTACTTTGGACCTTGGGTTTAAGAGTGCCAAGGTGGATATTATTTTTCTGCAAGTGCGAGGTTTTGGGTCCAAAGTTTTAAGAGATCGGAATTTTTTAACCAGGGTTTTATCGTTAGCTGCTTAGGTACCCTAGACCCGCCTATGACCGCCCCTTAGGTTTAGGTAGGTATCAGGCCCCGAAGCCCTCTAAACAGTCACACTGCTTCCCTCATCCAACGGCTCATGCCACAGCTTCGATCTAACAACTGTCTAACAACTGCTAAGCTTGTTTGTGCCTTTACACCTTACGTAGAAGTACCTTTTTTTGTTTTTGTTTTTGTTTTTTTTTTCTCCATCAGCGAAACTTGGAGAAACTTTAAGAATTTCAAAGTGGGACAATAAACGAAATCCACGATATTTAGTCCCATCATCGTGTTCAGATGCACTTTGCCATGTTTTGCCTTTTGCCTTTTGCCTTTTTTTAATTTCCCTTCTACTTTTCATACATCCTCATTATTCATCCCGGTTCCTTTTTCTTAAAACTTGCCGACAGGTAGCCTTAACGACCATGTTTGATATCTTCAACACAACACCACCTCAGAAATACTTATACCCGTGCATCGCAAGCAAAGCTGAGTCGGGTGTGTGTACGATATTGTGTACGATATACCTATGCGCTGTACCAATATTATCGGCGCCCACTGTTAAGTCCGATGTATAACAACCTGTATCCACCAACTTGTTACTCGCGCAAGGCGCGCTTGGTCAAAGTGAGACAAGAGTAAAAGGATACTTCAGCTAGGTAACTATATGCCTTGGCTCCAGATATTCAGTTATCTTCATTGGCCAAGACCAAGTTATATCAAGCCTAGTAGTAAACTCGTTCTATTTCATCCCTTGAACTTGGCCAGGGTGTCCTTCGAGCACGTTAGCGATTCATCTTTTGCATTTATAAAGATATAAAGGTATAAATGTGTTAGTTTACGCTTATAACTTACCGCTGTAGCTTTCTTCACACTCCTAGCACTTATACCCCTTTCGCCAGCTTGTTTCGCGTCGATAGCTGCCTCCTTCATAAGTCTAGTTTATAGGGTTAATATTTCATAAAAAAAATAATATAAAAAAAACTCCAAAAGAGGAAGAGGAGGGGGAATCGTACGTTTGCATGAAGAGTACGTAGTCTAAAAATATCTGTGGTGGTGCACACATCTAATTAGAACGCGTCGTGAACGTGAACGCGAGCCGAGTCAGCCTTACCATAACATCGACGTTTTTGCTAACGTTGCAGTTGGAATGCGCTTTTACGATCTTTTTCACCGTCGCCCTCGGGTAAAGCTTCTGTCCTGGGGCCATCTTGAATTATATCGAATAAGAAGGACGGGTTTTTGATGCGATCATGTCTTGCTTGCTCGACCAAAGAAGTTTAAACGATGGATTCTGCCCAACTCGAATTGTTGATTTTTGAAGATGGCAGCTAACGAAGAGACCCAATCGGCAGATGTACGAAGTACCTCCTACCTACATGGTACCTAGGTACCTAGAGGTAGGTACGGTTTACGCACGTTAAAGATGCAAAAGTACACAAGTACAACCAAGGGTAGAGCTTGGGCCCGGTCCCCCACTCTTTAACCCTCTTAAACCCTTGCATTGAACTTGCAGAAACATGGCAGAGCTTCTTCTTCATTCAACAACATCATCACGTGCTATTGTCAACATCAACTTTTTATAATTACAAGGATAGGTTCCTTCTCATATTACGTATATTACCAAGTGAGGTTATTGTAGGTAGGCTATCAACTCATCCAAATAATCACCTAAATACTTTTGAATTGAGTAGATGATTTATCTGAAAACACTAATAACAAATGTACAATACGATAAAAGAAATAATCATGAGCTCTCTAAGCTGGGGTAGGTTAGAGATGCTCGCTGAACAACAAAAGATGTTTCCATGCTCTCTGGGCTTGCCCCGTGACACGAACCGCAAACAGAATCATACCAATACTTCGGATCGTTCCTTCATAGCCCTATATTTCAAACCACCATTCTGCTCTGTGCTCAGTTCCCCGACAGACCGAACCCCATATTCACGTCATCCAAGTTGTTGATAAAAATTTGATCATTGTTATCGATGTCCCAATTGGCCAGATCGAGGTCATTGGATACAGTTGGCTGGCTAGTATTACTAGTAAGAGACACTGTATCCATAAGAGCTAGAGAGCTCTGGTTCGAAGTCGGATCCCGCTGAAGCCAAGGAGCACCATCATACGCTACGATGGGGCTATTATTGTACATCTGTGGCTCACCAAAACCGGTCAAATTGTCAGGATGAGAGTTAATCCCGCTATCGAGCATAAAGTCGAACCTATCATCCATTGACCATGCGTTCATAGACCCTGATGGCAAGTCGATATGTTGAGATCCGTGTACGTACCGCTGTTCATCTTGTGCATCTCCGATAATATTGCCTAGCGGGGAACACCTCGGCGTACTAAGCATGCTTCCTTGGAAGTCAGACCCAAAAGAAGTATCGCTGGTTACATTGTCCTCTGTAACCTCAACGAATCCGGTTTCTGGTGATTTGCCAGGAATTTCCCGACGTTGGCGGAAAGCTTTTGGTCGTGCCAAAATCGTCTCTACCTTTTCTTGAAGTAGATTCGTTATTTTTTGGGAAAGGTCTTCTTGATCTACCGCCCAAAATTTCGTTTTGTCTACGAGAAGCGCGCTGACGTCCTGCGCAATATCCCCTTTGGCGTATTCATAACGATCAAATACTTCGTAGTCTTCCATGACAGGGTCAAAATCTATTGCAGGTTAGCTTGGGAAAGGCATAGGAGAATGTGAGTAGGAATTACTCTGGTCGGGAATCATGCCATCTCTCGGAAATAGAGCTTCCCACAGGTGCACCCAATTTTTAATCTTCTGACCCATTTCCCTGCTCTTTAATTGTATATCGACTGTCTCTCCAAAGCCATCTTCGGGATCAGAATCCTGGGTACCTGGTATAGATCCAGGTGGATAGGGGCAAAGTCGTATATGTATCATTAATTCAGAACTCAACGAAAAAGCAGCCTGGCACCGAGGGCATCTATCTTTAAAGTGGGCTGATGTGAGGTGCTTCCTGTTGGATATTAGTTCTCTATGATGATATGATGCGATGACCTTGTCCTCATCTTGCAGTTGGGACAGCTACTAATGAGCACCTAAGGTACCTGTACCTAACGCGTCTGAAGTCTCAAAATGAATACGATACAAGGAGAAAATATAACTCACTTCAACTCCGTCATATTAGGAAATGACCTATTGGCGCATTTCTCATGGTCGCGAACATTAAACCTGATGGGGTTCCGCTTCCTGTATGGACAGCTAAATCCCTCTTGAACCCGATACTTTTTATTCCTGTTTTTAACACTAAGTCTGTTCTGCGGGGGAGAACCAGACTGTGATGTTCTCCCACCTGGAAGAATGGAACCTCCCGACGGAGAAGATTCAGATTGATCGCCCAGGGGCCGGATAGCACGAGCGGATCTACAACTCTCTCCAGCATCATGTGTGTCTCCGGGGGTGGCATCAAATTCGTCATCCTGTAGGTTATGCCCTTCATCTCGTAGTATATTGGCGCATTGCCATTTGACCTGTTCGAAGGCATAAATGACACGAAAGGGCCGTATAAGTCTAAGCAAGACTTATACCGAACCACTGCGATAAAGCATCATCTGCCGCTTTCTCGAGATCTATATCTTCGTCATCCGAGTACTTATCCACGCTATCCAAGCTTCCGTGAGAACTGGGTGTTTCTGCGCTTGGAGACTGATCACATAGCTGGTCGGTTGTACTTGGATTCGGATAAGAACTCATGGTCGATGCCTTGCCTGACGATGGCGCCTGTTTATCTCCAAGCGGCGTCGAATTCTGGTTCTTGGCAAATTCCGAGGCCTCTGGAGGAGGATGGTAACAAAGCAAAGTATGATCGGCTTCGATATTTAAGGCAGCATTGAAAGGGAAGTACCAACTTTTATCGGCACGGTTTGATTCGATGCCAAAAAGGGCCACGTCCTCGTGATCTTTCTTCGCCACCTTTGCCGGGCGTAATGCCGGGCTTGCGGGTGTCGAGTGTAGAGGAGAAGTGTAGTGGGTAGAACAGGAAGATTGATGACGAATGTCGCCTGGAGAACGTAGAACCGTGCGACTTTGAATCTGAGATTGACGTTGTTCTTGTTGAGGAGATCTCCTCTGCGACACTCTGGTTTCTGTTATAACTACTGGTCGAGGAAGACATGTTTGTTCTTTGGTCTTGTTGTTATAGGAAGTACGTGATGATTAGGTATCTTGCGGGCGCTGAGCGTATGGGGCTCTTCGAGGGTTACCGAAAATCTCAGCTTATACGAAATATAGGTATATAGGAGGTAGACATCTCAGATGGTCGGTCTGCTGTAATTTATCTGCATGTCCATAATCAATGAATTTACCATTTATTTAATGTGTCCATACTGTTACCACGTAAATTCAGGGGGCAGGGGCGGAAGGGGGCCGGAGATTTTATTATTGGTTCAGTCAAACTAAGCTGAAGCGTATATTTCGGAGCCAATCCTGTGCTACTGTCATCTTTTAGGACGTGACAACTACTACATGAAAAGTCAGCCAAGCTGATCCGGCACACTTTTATCATGATAACCTGGCTACCTACATATACTTTGCCAAGTTTGAGGGCTAGGATTCGTTGGAACGGGCTGGCGTTTCCACCACATTCGGTTCCCGGTCTCATTACCCTGTGACCCTCCTCGATCTTTCTTCTTGCCCTAGGCTACTTTTCCTCAACCAATAGGGCGATTTGAGGAGCTTTTCCCTGAGTTGGATGTTTTTAAGCCGCTAGGGTAGGTCTATTCAGATTATGACCCTGAAGAAAAGCAAGCGTATCCTAAATTTAGGATTCTCAACTTACATTCTGTAAAGTGTAAGATACTTAACCCAGCGCATGCGCAATACGAAATGCGGCTCTAATGGTTAAAGCTTTGATCACTATGCGTCTTTCCCCTATCTTGAGCTCAGGAGAGTCTGCTTGAAGGGTGTTTTTCTTGCCTAAGAATCGCTTCAGGTATACACCTGGAATTTGGATTCCGTCGCATTGTAGGCAGTGAAGATGGATGATATTATTCGCAGATAGATTTATAGGTCCATGAATAGCTACAAAAGGAGAACTTAATTTTCGCGTCTCTCAAGACATATACTGTTCCCTCACAGCAAATAACACTCACCACAGGTCGAACGACAAGAACTCAGAATCCATTCCTTATTAAATTATCCATAAACCAGCATAGTCCTTGTGCAACCGCATTGAGGGCAATATCGGCAACTAAAGCAACTACTCTATTTGTTGATATATCTATCAGATATTCCCTCGTCATCCTCAAAATGTCTCCTACTACATGTACACCAGAGACCCTAAGCAGCCATGAAACGTGAGTGTTCAGTAGTACTTATATTTACCTACTTTAGCCATTGTAGGGATTCTTTGCACCATTAGCTAATATGTATCAGCGCTGCCAGGAAATTTCTGAACTCGGTAGTTGCTAAACATTTGAGTGATAAGAGTTCCTTGCAAGACCGACTCATTCAAAGCATAGGGAGCTGGAAATCCCAAGACGAGAAAAGACGTGCCAAGGGGATACTCGATCAAATTAAAAAGTACGACGATACATACCCATCAAGAAGTACTCAAAGCCAATAAGATGTGTAAACTAGATTAAGTGTGTCAGGGGTACAGGGGTACTAGTCACTAGAATAGTGTACCTAAGGTATATAAGGAGCACGCTGCTCCCTCAAAGGTCTCTCGAGGGGCAAGCGCTAATATATCACGACTCTACACTGCATACTTGATACTTTCTACGTGCTACTGTCTCTAGTGTTCACTCTGCGTACGACATACATCACGGGATCTCTCTGACAGTATATGATATCCATCGCCGAGCATACATAACACCTAGAGAGATGATTATCCTAAAATACCAATTTGTGTTTACCTATTGTCAACCTACCTAGATAGGTACCTACGTGAATGCATTGGAAAATACACAGAGCTCAACTAATGAATGGATACCTACCTATGTAATGCTGGAGAGTTCATTAGGAGCTCTCTGCATCGTAACAGATAGTATATTATCATGTTAGGTGCCTATTCAAATGATTTGATGATATTAATAATACCTAAGGCACCTGATACAGGAAAGATAGAAATAAATTAATTCACGATGTTTTGCACGTATTTTCAGATTAAATGACAATAGGTTATATTATCAAATGTTCGAGGGGCTCAAACCCCTGAATTGTTACCTAGCTACCTTTTTTCTTTTTTTTTATGTTATAAGAGTCCCACGAGCTTAATGGGCTTTAGCAAGATATGAGAAGTGGTTCATGAGAGCGGCGGATGGTTGCAAGGAATCATCCTTCAGCCACCTAGATGACCTACTCCTTCTAAGCCGAAGCCGAAGTGGAGGTGGAGGTGGGAGCATCGGTAGCGTCGCCAGGAGTGAAGTCGCCCGATACGAAGTGAATCTTCTGCCCCTTGGCATTGAAGAATTGGAGGTTGCCGTCCCCAGTCGCCTTCCGGAAGCTTTCACCACAGCAGCTGCTAAACTATAGAGAGGAGAAATATGTTAGCAATTATACATATTAAAGATCATGGGGGAAAGGGGGTAAAGCTTACGACTCCGGAACAGGTTTCAGGAGGGCAGTCCTTTGCCTCGCAGTAGTAGCATCCGGGCATGCAGCAGAAGTTGTAGAACACCTTCGACTGGGGCGTAGTCGCCTGAGAGGCTGGTTCGGCGCTGGCGAGGGCCAGGGGAGCGCCGATGATGGCTCCGACGAGGAAAGCGAGAGTGGAGAACTGCATCTTGCTCGAGGTGAAGCTTTGTGGGCTGTCGGTGGTTTGAGTTGAGTAATAAGCGAATGTGTTTACTTTTGAGTGTGTGGTTGGGTTTGCTGATAGAGATCTATGCAGGATAGGATGATGGAAAAAGCAAAAGCAAGAATATCGTGTTCTACGTAGTATTTATATAGTATTTCCTATAAGGCATTGCTCTACATATGTAAAGATACAAGTTGAAAGTCAGGAAACAATTCTGCTGCTACATGAATGACTGCGTGTTTGTTTTGGACCAGAGTTATCACTATACACATACAGTATGTTTATTCAGTTTCGTTACCTCTACTATGCTTTAACATCTTGAATCGAGGCTCTAGGGAGGTTGTTAGGAAACGATTGCATTCTTAAGTTAGGAACCACTTACATGTTGCTATTCATTAGCTCTTTGTTTTACCCAGTCACCTCCTTTTCTCGGTATGTTTTCTCCCTAGCCCCATACAACACTAGATCGACTTCGATCGCTTTTACGAGGTACCATCTCCGTAGAAATAAGATATTTACCGGGTATAGATATAACTGTAATGACATGCATTAATAGAATGCGATTCACTGTGTGGCTCAGCCGATGGACTACATATAGGTCACTACATATGAACGTTGACTCGTGTCCAAAGAGCCCTAATACGATTTTGGGGATACCTAATATAAGAAGGGGATTGTGAATTAGGTAATAACCATGATTCAAGGAGAAAAACGGAAGTATACCAATACCCTTACATCTGGTTATAGTTAATAATAGTGATACTTTACAGTTTAAATACAGTATCACACTGTACACAGTTACATCTCAGACTCAATCAATTAACATCCACATCCACGACTCACCCAGGAAATCAATTATCAAATTAATCATCAGAGTAGTAATAATAATAATGTCCTCGCCAGTGCCCACGCCACGGCAATTCCTAACATCCCTAATAGAGAGCCTAAACTCAATCCCAACACCCACCACCACCCCCCTCCAACCCAGCGCGGTCGCAGCTAACCCCCTCAAACTCATCCCGCCAGCCTATCGGCCGCTCCTCACCACCCTCTACGCAGTATACCCGCTGACGTTACTCCCGGCCCTAGACATACTAGACAGACGTCTCGCAACGCGCATCGTCGTAGGGCCGTCTCATCCACAGGGTGGTGGTGAAGCAGCACTTTCCGGACCCTCTCCTTCTTCTTCTTCTTCTCCTTCTTTTTCTCCATCACCATCGCAAACCCGCGAAGAAAAAAGGGGGCAGCGGCAGCAGCACGTCTTCTTCATCGTGCGCTCCGCGCAACTGCAGCACCCGCGCCGCGAGTCTCCCGCCTCCGCTTTCGCTTCCGGCCCGCGGTACGTCGTGCGCCCCGCCGCCTGGAATTGCAGCTGCGCGGCGTTCGCGTTCGCCGCGTTCCCGCGGGGCGAGGACCGGGAAGCCGGCCCGTACGCCGTCGGCCCGTGTTCTCCTTGCCTAGGACCGGCTCCGGCTCCGGCTCGGGAGGGTAGTGATGAGGATGAGCCGAGCGGCTGGCAGTTCGGCGCGCTGAGCCGTGACGGGGCCGACGGGAGCGGCATCGCCGGGGTGCCCTGCTGCAAGCACCTGCTCGCATGCGTGCTGGCTGAGCGGTGGAGCGCCGTGCTGGGAGGGTACGTCGAGGAGAAGGTTGTTGGGAGGGAGGAGGCTGCGGGTTTGGTGGCTGGTGTTTAAAGGGGGTAAGTGTGTTGGAGGGAAAGGAGAGGGGGTGTCCGAGGGTATGATTGATTTTACGAAGTGACGAACGAGTATTCTACGTATGTACTCGCCCAACCTTGGGATGGACTTATTCAGGGCTATAATGTAATATGATGGCATGCAAACATTGCTGGGTACATATCCCATCACCTCACGAGGAATTAATGCCCGAGAGAGATAAAATCATGTCTTCATCAGGGTTCAGTCCTCCGACCAGAACTCTATAGATCGATTTTGCACGCATGAGGTATCCCCAACCTCCGAAAAATCAGCCTCTCATCGTAAGAGTATTAATGTACAGGGGGTTTTAGTAATTTCGTATTCCGTCTACTCATAAAAACAAAAAGGCTTTACTATTTCTTCTTTTCCTTGTCGTTACCCTTCTCTGTAGAATCGCCGTTAATGCCGTTTTCCTTCTTGTCCTTGTCGTCTTTGCCTGCCGCCGCGGCAGCTTCCTCCTTCGCCTCCTTCTCTTCCTGTTGTTGCCGGTTCTGGATCTTGTTCTCGATCAGGTCGTGGAACGCCGTGATGGCGCGGATTAAACTGCTGAGGTAGATGGCGAGGAGCTGGTCGTTCGTCTTGACGCTCATCGCGTAAGATAGTTCGCCCACGTTACCGGCCTTTCCTTCGACGCCAGGCTTAGGTGTCGACAGGTTGGGGAGTAGGTTGAAGATATCTTGGAGGTTTCCTAAGACGGCGTGGTTCACTGGTAATTTACCGTCTTGAACTTTCTGGAGGTATGCTTGGATATCACGTAATCGGAGATGTAGTCCTTGCAAAGATTGCAGCTGGTTTGTGATTCGTGTTGATAGAGTTCCGATAGCCACGTCGCGAATATCTCGGAGTAGGTGCTCGACGCCAATCTCTTCCGCCTCCACAGCTTCGATAGTGGAAGGGGTGTGTACAAAGGTTTTGGATGTGGTTGTGCCGTCCTGTTGATTCTTAGACTAAGTGTTCTTTTATATGCGATGCTATTATAGCGTTTACTTAGCTACTTACGTCTTTGATCTCCTCTACTGCAAAGTACGCATCTGTTGGGACACCAGACTCCTTAGGTTGGACGTCGATGATGACTAGAAGCGGGTTTGGGGTGTATCGCTTGAAGAGCTCGTTGATCTGAAGGTCGGATGCGCGCAGTTTGGGTCCCGAGTGGTACCAGCCTATTAACTTCTCTCGGGCGTTGACCTTCTTAAACATGTCGTTCATGTTCTCGACATAGTTGTGATCTAAGAACCAGACGGACGGATCGTCGCTATCTTCCTCGAACGGAACTATTTTAGAACGAATCAAGGTTAGCGGAGCTGATGCGGGCAACGTAGCAAGAGAGTATATATATATATATAATCATGCGACCAACCTGCAAAGCTGTTTGACACCCGTACATTATTCCCATCGTTCTGACCCAACAGAACACCGACCACCCGCTTCCGTGTGCCCTTGGCTACCCGATTGAAATGGTCTACGACGGAGAGAAGGACGAGAGGGGCAACTGTAACATTTTTGTTGACGAAGGAAAGGGTCTCGGCTGTGGTGGTAGGCATCTTGAGGGAAGGGATTAGGAAAATAAAAAGGGAAAAATGGAATGCGAAAAGGAAGGTTTGGTAACTCAAGATAAACGAGCTTGATGGAAGGTTGATAAACAGATAGATATTATGTATGTAGGTAGGAAAGGCTGTCGTATGTGAGGCTGCCTTCTTACGAAATCCCGGCAAGCTCAGCTCTTGATTGAGTTTAGTGCCGAATGTGTTATGCACAGACCCCCACTCATACGGATGACATAATTTACATGTATCTATGATTATGTACTTAGGTACCCTGATGTGGCTGACAGAGGGAGTACGGTGGCTCGTTCTTTTACTGCTGGGGCATGCCACAACACGTGCATCAATGCAGTGCAGCTACAAACGCAGAATGGTGGAACCACCATGTACCCTTAAAAAGATCCGCCATGCTCTCAACATTTTTGGAGGATGCCACATATCAGCATAAAAGCAATGTTAGAGAGTATCTGTTTGCTACTAAGCAAGGAGGGTCATATGAATCCTTTCGGTTATAAGTTATAATCTTTACCATGCTCTGACAGTTACCTATAAAGAAGATCAAGAAGATCAAGTAGGCATCCGCTTGGCCGAATACTTGCAGGTGGAAAATCACGAGCCGAAACGGGTTGTCGCTTGATACCTTAGGTACCTAAGTAGGTAGGTATACTCCCGTAGGCTTGTAACTAACTCTTTGAATGGTATAGCCGTAGAACGACTATTGAAGCAATAAGGAAAATCCAATTCATAACGTGGACGAGTAAAAGATCTAAAAGGATCTCAAATATCGTCAACCTCGGCGGTCCAACGGAATGGACAATATGTAGTAATCCAACTTTTACTTACATACTATGTAGGTCCGTAGAAAAATAGCCGAACACCAAGCCAAAACTTAACCCAAAGAGGTAAGACCTCGGTGTGGTAAGCTAAGAATTACAGGCAGGTTACTGGTCGCATGCCGCTAAAAAGTGCTGAGATGGTCTATCCATGGGTATGGGCTGCAGCGGTTGCTGTTCAGTTATGTTAGGTACATGTTACCTAGAGGTTAGGGATGCTTTCAACCACTGGGGGGCCCCAATTGCCCCGAGCTCCAGTCTTGTACCGACACTAAATTTATAGCAAGTCGCAATTGAACGTGGCAATCCGTTCCTTGGCTGGAGAAAAAAAAAAGTAGAGGCGGCCATAAAAAAAGAGAGGAAAAAAAAAAAGAATATCCCGATTGCCGACTCCCCCCGACTTCGCCTGCACGCCGCCAAGAGCACCACCGAAATTCCAGCTTCTAACACCTGGCAAACTTCCTGGCAACTTTCAACTTACAACTTGCTACTTACTACGCTCTTCTTTATCTTCCCCTATCATAAACTTCCGTTACTTCCCTTTTTCCCTTTCCTTTTTTTTCTTCTTATAATTATATTACTCACTCATTTCTTCTAGTGACCTGACCTGTCGCCTTTCTCTAAACCGCCTTGGTCCGGCTCAATTGATTCGTTTGAGCTGTTAAAATGGGTGTTATCAACGATGAGATGAAGCGGCTGCAAGACGTCGTGTCCAGCCTAGAGGACCGCGTACGACGTCTAGAGCAGCGCCAATCTGGCGAGAGCGGCGAAAGCGTGCGCATGATCCTCATGGGTCCTCCTGGAGCTGGTATGTTGTTTGGAAAATTTATTGGGGCCGAGGTAATTGGTCCCTGGTTTGAGCTTTGCGCTGACTGCGACTTGACAAATATCAGGAAAGGGAACTCAAGCGCCTAGGATTAAGGAGAAGTTCTCGTGCTGCCATTTAGTAAGCGCCGACAAGATTCTAATGCGCTATTTTTTCATACGAATCTTGGATTACTGACAGCTCACGAAAAGGCCACTGGTGACATGCTCCGATCTCAAGTCGCCAAGAAAACGCCTCTCGGAAAGGAAGCGAAGAAGATTATGGATGCCGGTGGTTTGGTCAGCGACGACATCGTCATTGGCATGATCAGGGAAGAACTCGAGAACAACTCGGAGTGCAAGGGAGGGTATGTTCTCTGTTTTTTCTCTTACGGGTTTAACGACAATTTACATCCCACAACAACCATGATGTGTCGTATTCCCCATGTAGAATTCGACTGACCCTATTCATAGCTTTATCCTTGACGGTTTCCCCCGCACTGTCGCTCAAGCCGAATCTCTTGACAAGATGCTTGCCGAGAAGAACCAGAAGCTACAGCACGCCGTTGAATTACAAATCGACGACGCTCTTCTGGTCGCGCGTATTACCGGCCGTCTAGTCCACCCCGCTTCCGGTCGAAGTTACCACAGCACCTTCAACCCCCCTAAGGTGCCTATGACGGACGATATCACCGGCGAGCCTCTGATCCAACGATCTGACGATAACGCTGATGCGCTTAAGAAGCGCCTGGTTACCTACCACGATCAGACCGCTCCCGTTGTCGGATACTACAAGAAGACTGGTATCTGGAAGGGCGTTGACGCCAGCCAAGAACCTGGTCAGGTCTGGTCTAGCTTATTGAAGATTTTCGACGAGAAGAAGAGCTCCAAGAGCAGCGGTGGTATCTTGAGCAAGCTTACTGGCCAATAAACCAGCAGCTTACTCTTGTCTTTACCTTCCTCTCTTACCCTGGCTTCCTGATATTTGGACCTGGGAGGTGAGAGACATGGGGTAATGGATATAAGAGCTTCCAACGTGAGGCGTCAGGCGATCATTCAGGAAGGCGTCATTATTGAGCTATAACGCAGTAGAAAGGGGTATATGGAGCTTAGGACGCCTAAGGTGTAATGACGGGATGAAAAGGGGTTCCTATGGAACTAACGCGCGACCTGTATCATACGACTTGCATGTACCATGTCATCATCATGAATCGAACCATCCAAAAGACACCTTGATCCCGTGTCTTTTTTTTCGATGTAAGCACTGAACTTCGGCTCAACCCGTAGATAATAAATACGGCGTTTTTCCAACGTAATATTTCTACCTCGGTTAGGTACCTAAGTTATTATATGTTGAATAATAACTCTTTTCCCGCCGGGGTGATCATTTATCCTGCTCTAGGAAAGATCTCGAAGGGCTTAGGCTATCGAGCTTTAGCTTAATAGGGGTAAACTGGATGACTAAGAGGTAGCTGGTTCGATGTAGCAGTGAAGAACAGTTTATAGCTCTAAGCATAACTATAAAAGTCTAACTTAGACTATAAAGACCAGACTCAAATACATGATCTTAGCTTACCTAAAATAACGTGAATAAGTGTTTAAGATTCAACTTTCTTCCACCACTTAAAGGCAGAGGCGAAATGAATGCAAAATATACCAATGAGTAGAGTTGCTTTATAGGTACGGATATTTTGAAGAGTACCTAGTATTCAGTTCCCGGGCTACATTAGATAAGTTATAGATCGAGATATTACTATAACTATACTAGTTGTGAACCCCAACTATAATAAAGTCCTAATCTCAAGGGGTCATTTCATAATCATTAAGATATATGCAGGGTCAACAATATTACAGAGAGCATTGTTAAGGCTTCGGAAGAAGGGAACAAGAAAAAAGATATAATTATAGATAAATAATAATATAAAAAAGGAGGCAATAGTGTTTCTTATTACATACCTCTAAAAACCCCCCAAGCCATGTCGTTACATTTCACCCCCTTCGACGTCGTCACCAACACGCCCTTTTCCGGGGCAGCCCGCTCGGCATCGTGTCCGTGTCGGCCGACAGACAACCTCTCAGCCAGGACCAGAAGCAGCTCATCGCGCGCGCGCGCCTCGCCCCGCCTCGACATCTTCACCCCACTCGCCGAGATCCCGTTCGCCCGCCCGCCACCCCCCACCGTCGGCGTCGCCAATTTACCTCCTGCACCACGTGCGTCTGGGGTCTGCGAAGCCGCGGGGTTGGTCCCCTTCAAAGAAGAACAGGACAAAAGGCGAAGACGAAGACGGAGGAGGAAAAGGAGGAAAGGGGGCGCCCAGGTCCGAGTCGCGCACAACCCCCCTCCCCCCCGTTCGCGGAAACGCCGTACGGAGAGTACCTGCCCCCCGGTCGTTAGTTAGTTAGTATCGTGAACAGCACGACGACAGCCGTCGTGGCGCGGGCTCCCGGACCTGGAGACGCCCGCGAGGCAGACAAGAGACGCAAATCGGATACGAAAGTCACGCTTGGATCTCCGGCGAAGGATAATCTTAGGTAGCATAGTATAGTACAGTTGTTAAGCCAAACGCAAAGTCTACTATACTTTGTCTGTAAGCCAAACAAGCAAGGCATCAATCAATATTAAACTACCTATCTTATGTAGGTGACTACAGAGATATACTCTCCGTAGATCTAGGTAGGTTAGGTACTTAGATGGTACCTACGGTGAGTAGTGATTCCGCGAGGTAAACCTATCTCTATCGCCAACTACCTAATGTATGCAAACACTCCAAGAAACTAGGAGGAAAAGAAAAACAAGCAAGTAAGCATACCGAGAGGTATGTAAACCATATAAAAGAAATTATACCAGAGAGAAGGTGACGGTGATGATGTGATTAGAGGTGGTATCTTCCATTATCCGTACGTACGTAAAAACAAACAAACCAACTACCTAGTACGTTAGTTAGGTAGTAAGTAGTAAACAGGTTCCCCTCCCTCTCCCTCAACTCCAGAATAGAACCGTCGTTTCACGTCGTAATCATACGAATGAAGAACCGAAAATATGAAAGATATCAGAGAGGGAGAGCGCAACGACCACAACAACAGCAGCAGTAGCAGCAGTAGGGGTGGGTAGCGGCACCAGCAGTAGCAGTAAAAGGGTTGTTATTAATAACCCAAACGAACAAGTACCGAAAAAGAAGTAAAGAAAAAAAAAATCCAACGCCGTTCCATCCATTATGTTAGGTATCTCCCCCCCCCCCCTTTGCCAGCCCTACCCTACCCTGCCCTACCCTGCCCTGCCCTGCCTTTCTCCGAAAGGACAACGCCGATGGAAATGCAGTATGTAGTTTCTTTTATTAGCCTTGAGTTTCTAATAGCCGCCGAACGCCTCGCTGTAAAAACCCGAAGCAGGGGCCTAGGACGGATGAAGAGCCCTCAGGTACCACCACCTCTCCCCTCCCCTCCCCTCCGATCCACAATTCATGTCACCACCACCATTATCACAACCGTACGCGTAAGGTTGGCTACCCATATACCCAAGGTTAAGTCAAGTTAGGTTACGTTAGGTCCGGTAAAGGTAAAAGGTAAAGGTAAGTCACCGCTAGGCGGATCGCCCCTTAGCCGCTCGACCCGCCGGCGCGCTGACGTCCCTCCTGTCTCCCGTCCCGGACATCATCTGCCTGCGGGGGGTAGCCAGTCCCTGGGCGGCACTCCTAGCCCTGCCGCGGCGTTCCCTAATCTGCGCTAGCGCCTCCTCGCGCGTCATCGTCGGCGCCATGTTCGGGTTGTTAACGTCGAACGATGGGACGCGGTTGTGGTTCTGATTCTGATTCTGATTCTGGTGGGTATTTGGTTCTCGGATGGGGACTGTCGTGGTCGTGGTTACCGTGTAGAAAGCGGCAGTGCTGTGAGGCCGCGTGTCCTGGTCTGCTTCCATGAGAGGTACCTCAGGTTGGGCAGCTTCTTCTTCGGCGTCGTCTTCCGAGTCTGAGCGGTTGTTGTGACCTTCGAGGGGTATGGTCGGGATGTCCATCATCGGGTAGTTGGCATCGCTTTCGCGGGGTGCGTTGAGGAGCGAGAGGAGAGAGGTGCGCTCCTGTGCTAGTAAAGCAAATGTTGGGGGTTCGGCGGACGGAGTTCGAGAATAAAAAGAGCGGTTTGGTGGAGGATCTTTGGGGGTCGTTGGTTCGCAAGGAGATTCCTCAGGCTTCTCTATTGCCTGGAGGTCCTGCTGCGAGATGGTCCTAAAAATCCCCTCTGATGGAACGAAAACGGTTGAACGCCTAGGCTCTTTTCGTTCTCTCGGCACTTCGTTTCGTGCAATCTCGTCCACTAGCGACTGTGTCTTCTCTAATTGGGGTAACTCCCGGTGCTGCTCTTCCGTTTGTCCTCGTTCCCGGCGTTGAATATGCCCCGTACTTCTGGATTCGGTAGAGGTGGGCTTCTCTACAGATTTGGGTTCCTGGCCTAAAATCATAAGGTCTGCCGGGTCAACAATTGTAACTGGCCCAGTCCGTTCTTGACGTACTGATGATGCCATACTCCTCCGCGAGCGAGACTTGGCACAGGAGCAGCATCGTAGCTGACACTCGGCCTGCACGAACTCTAGATGTTCTTGGGTTCGGTCAGCTCTTTGCTTTTCCCATTGCCATAGACGCGTTAACTCTTCGATCTCCTCTTCGCTCGCAGCGGAGGAAACGATGTCGGCCGCTGACAGAGAAGCACGTTCCTTTTTAGGCGACGCAAATTCACTGTCCGGATCCTCTGGCGGGAGTGGTAGACGACCCTCGGCGGCGATCCTGGCGATCTCTTCGCTCTTGGCGGCATCTTTGTAAGCATCGCGCTCCTGTTCGACAAAAGTAATGCGCTCGAGAGCCTTCTCTAACTGTTCTTGAACCTGGGCTAGCTGGTAGCGGGATTTAAACGCCTCCTGCTCTCTAGCTTTGCTTAGTTCCTTCTCCCTTGCTAGGGACTCTTCTACGGACTTGCAAGAACTTCTTGCGGCTTTGAGTTCCTCTTGTAGCTTGACGATGGTGGATTGTGTCTTGAAAACTTCCTTGCGCGCATGGCGAATCTCCTTTTCCCAAATCGTTTTACTGTGTTGGAGAGTTTCTTTCGCTTGGCCGTATTTCTCCTATTAATTGGTAAACCGTCAGCTTAGATATTCTAGCAGGAATAGATGGACATTGTGGATTTACGATACGCACCATAACATCTTCTAGTCTTTCGCCTACTTTGCGCTCTCGGCCTCGGCTCTCCTCAACTTGGCGTCGCAGGGCGCGGGCCTCGTCACGATAGCGGCGCATCTCAGACTCTGCTTCTTCCCGTCCTAGCATGGCTCGTTTCAAGGCGGCATCAGCCGTCTTTCGTTCAAGTTGTCTAGACATGGATGCGGTGCCGCCGGGACTGTGTGCTAAGTTATTGAATTGGCGGATCTTGTCGTGTACGTCGCTATCACGAAGCTGGTCGGACTTCGTGGGGGATATTGGCGCGGCTTCGCGCAATTGATTGACCTTGTCAGGGGATGCTGGCTGTAAGGGTGCCGCAACGGGCGAGCCTGGAAGGCTGGTCGAATTTTCGACGTGAATCATTTGTTCACCGCTTGCACTTGTGGATTTGTTTAGTTTTAGGTAGGTATAATGTAGATTAAATGTTATTCTGGGGAGGATGCGATTATGTGCAGCATTGGGTTTTTGGAAAAAGCCACTTTGAAGTTTGTGTGTGCAATGCGTTGAAGAATACCAGGTAAGTAGTAAGTAGTAAGCAGTAAGTAAGTAGCAATAAGTGGAGGTAACGACTTAGAAATCTGGTGATAGCGGGTCTCAATGTTTATTCTCAAAGATAAACGCGTTGCCAGGTCAATGCGTTGCAGGATCCACGTGATTATCTAAAAGTGCCCAATCTAACGGTCCGAAATGTCACATACCTAGCACTGGGCAGCTGGTACCTAAGGACATTTGAGAACCCTCCGCATTTTCTGTCGTCTGACCTTAAACTCAATTTCAGCAAAGTTTTGTCAGCTGCTAAAATGAGAGCAAATCCACTTTATTATGGAATTAATAATATACGCGCGATTGAGTTATGCGCCTTGGTATTATTATTAGTTCAATAATAACTTTTACGTTTCTCCCTTCAACATCAATTAGCTTTAATGCTGTACCGCGGAAGTCTGAAGAAGCTTGAATTCAAGTTCATATATAAGCGCGTTTGATTTTACTTAACTTAAAAGTAAGACCATATTAGAATAGAAAATCTATTATCTTTCTCATACTAGTTAGTCATTAAAAGACGGCCCCAAGTTTTGTACGAATATTTGCCTGCGCCTTTTCCCCTTGTTATTCCCTACGTGTACAATGACTCCACTGTCTCGTCTCGTCGTGGACATCTCGGCCATCCTGATGAATAAGATGAAAGTTAATGATGAAGCCAACAATACGACTGAATCGAAGCTCCGTAATGTCGATGGATACGCCTCGCCCAGTGCTAGTGCAAAAAAAAAAAAAAACACTTTTTTCCAAGCACGAGGATGAGAAGTGAACGTGAATTCCTAAGGTCCGAGCCATGTCTTTCCATAATACAGCTTCCTCAAGATTACCTGATAGACTACTTCCCAAATTGAGTACCCGGAACTTATGTTTGAAAAGCCGATGACAGAGGAGAGATGCATGGTATCAAAAAGAGACTATGCCGAAAATCGCCTCCTTACTTCCGTATTAAAGCGTCTTTTATCCTTGGTTGGTGTTTCCGTGGTTTGCCTGGCGAGATGCTTCGTTGCGTGTTTCCTTAGCCTGTACCTTGCCAGCTCGGAGAAGGTCACCAATCCAGTTGAGCGCTTCGGTTGTGACAACAAGACCGGTCGAGACGAGCGCCTTGCCGGATGTTACGAGGCCGTCACCTCCAACCTTCTTGTACTCGGAGTTGTAGATGTCGAGGACGTGGTCCTTGGTTTCGAACCCCTTGCGGAGAGGGAGGAAGAATAGGTTCTTGCCGTCGGTCAATAGCTCACCGGTAGGCTTCTTTAGGACGGGAAGACGCTCATCGATTTTGCTCAGGGCATCCTCACCAATTTGATCGGCCTTCTTGATGTAGGGAGAGACATATTGGTAGGGCTTGGCCAAGTACGGAACTACTGGTTTAGCGAAGGTCTTGTAGGCGGAATCGCCTAGCTCTATCGACTTCTGGCCATAGGGGTTCCCTTTGATGTAAGCAATGCTATCGTTTACCACAGGGTATCCTCTGATATGCTATTCCGACATTAGTCCTAGGTCCCAAGCTATATAAATTCAGATGAATGGGCGATGAGATGCGCGATGAGCTTACCGATAGAGTCGCGGATGATGGGTGAACCTCGCCGTTAACTTGGGCAGCCATAGTTGGGCTAAGTCACCTAATTAATAGGAGAGTAGAGAGATGAAAACGTCGAGGAAAACGGACAGAAGGAGCTCGAGGGCAAGCGATCGCGTATGTAAGTTGTTGGGTCACAACGATAATTTGTTTTGGGGAAGAGATGGAATAGGAGGGGGTGGAAAAGAAGGTGAATTAGGAAGCTCTTTCGAGTCTTATTCGTTCGGCGGAACTAAACAGGATAAGATTAGGTGTGATGTGGTGGGATGAGATGGAATGCAGCAAGGAATGCAGCAAGGAATGCAGCGAGGGAAGATGGTGAGAGAGAACAGATCAAGGTTGAAGAAGTAAGCAACTAATAACTTAAAAAGACGAAAGTCTGTCAAAAGGTAAAAAATGCGGGATGAAAAAAGGCGAAAGGCGAAAGGCGTAAGGCATAGTCATGTGAAATGGGGTGCTTTTAAAACAATAAGTCAACCTTGACGATGTTCCGGCGCGAACATTCTTTTTTTTTTTTTTCTAATTCTTTTTTTGCATGTGCTTCTTCACTCCTTACCTTAGGTTAGTTAGATACCTGTCTTTCGCCCTTTACCTTTAAAGATGTACCATACCTAAAAGAATCCCTCACTTCTATGTACCTATATATTATACTTAGCACCATTCCGCATATACATCGTAATTCATACCTAACCTACCCAGGTACATCATAACCGACATATATATATATACATATAGTACATGGTTTTACATTGTATCATAGGTACACGGCACACACGGCAGAGTCGTATTATGCCCTTCGTCCTTCGTGTCGGGTACAAGGAATTGACGCATTCCATACATAGTATCCAACAGGTTCCTATAGGTTTTTTGAACCAATGAAGTTACTGATGCCGAGCTTCTTCGGTGCCACTATATTTCTAGCGGGTCCCGGTCCTAGTCCCTTTAGCAGGTATCGAGCTTCAGCAGCTAAAAACAGGAACTTTTCGGTAGCGGTACCTGAATGCCTGCCGTAGATCCGCTGTCGGGTCAAGTACACATCGGAGGGGCGATAGCATGTGTCACAGGCAAGATAGAAGCTATCTATACCGTTTAAAGCTACTAATCCCGGTGAAACTTACAGGGGATTAAAGAAAGTTGTTGGGTCCAGCCTTAGGTAACTACATAGGTACCTAGTACATAATCTTTACCCCCCCTTGTCATTTGACATGTGAAAGACTCGGAACTTTTCTTCACCTCTACAACTTCAAATGCAATCACAATCAAGATCCTAGTTCCTACCTATCCGTCCTTCTTCGGCTCGCCTATCTAACCCACATAATACCTAGGTATTATCTATGCTGTTACATTTATGTAACTACCTCTTGTAACTACCTCTTTCGTCGTGAACTAGCTTCAAGTGTGAGAGCAGCCTTACGGTATCTTTATAAGCGCTTATCTTTATAGGCTTATATACCTAGGTATATATCTCACTGGTTTGTAAGGATCTCACGGAAAGACTCGCCAACATGCTTTTTAACTCAATGTCCTCTCATTCGGCGCGCCGAGCTATTATACATGCCGATTCAAAGTCTTTTTCTCTAAAGCTTTATGTTCGATCCAACCCAATGTGAGTTTCTATCAAGTATACCGGATGGGAACAAACCTACCTGAAAAAAACAAGTCAAGCTGGAACCGTATTTTCATCAAGACGCCGTCATATGCACTACTTGCCTAGAATTTGCGTTCTTACAGTGTAGTCATTGGAGACAATTTGCTCGCCATTCGCCTTCTCTAAGTTCGGGCAGGGATAAATCCACGCTTCGGCCAATGAAAGCGTGCCGCGGCGCATCTTCATTGGAATAAGTCGGAAACTCCCTCCTCCTGAATGGACTAACTTAACATACCTGTTTTGGCATTACAATATACTACCTAGCTACCCAAATGCATTTAGCTACTAGGCTAACGTTGTCTAAACGCCGAGGGATCATCAACTTGCATCTCACCGGCTCGCATAGATATTCCTTGCAAGGCCTTACTTAAAACAAATTCCCGGAGGGATCCTACACTTATCAACTTGGGAGCCTTAATTGCTTTGAAGTATCTTCAAGTCTAGGTCTTTCTACGACTCCGAGGACTACTCATATGAATACTTGTGTATAGGTAGTAATCGTTTACGAAGCTTCAACAACCTCGGCTCAAGACGATAGAATGATTATCAACCCATTTGCCACCTGTCATACTAAACCCCTCGGCCCCTGAGGAGCTTCTGTCGCAAGCATCGCCATACCGATCCAGGGGTTCTCTGATGGATACCTATGGAACCGATGGAACCGATGGAACCTGAAGGGTTGCGCGATTCCGATGCTGCATAATAAACTCCCTTGTCTTTTTCAAACGGGCTCTCATTGTTAGCACAATGATGCATCCAACTATCTAGGTATTTACTATCAGCCCCCCACTCCAATTACATGTCGTGATCCGTAATGATGCCTTTCACATGTCAAAGCCTTGAGAGGCTACGTGCATTGAAATTCATTTGCGGTGTAACAAAATAAATAAAAATTCGATACTTTCCTTGTCATCCCGCCACGCCACGTTCTGAAATAAAAAGGAAGAAGAAAAAAACGATGCCAAGAACACGCGGCTATCTTAGGTACCCATGCCCTTGGGACAGATTCAGCAGAAAAGAGAAATCGATCATCCAGAAGCCTAGGTTCTAGATATCATCTCCACAACAATCCGCGCGTTCAAAGCTACCTTGACCTATTCTTATTCTAATGATATTAGATAATTTCGATGCCCTTTTTCTTCTGGGCATTTATTTGTTCACGACACTTCCTTCGTACTAACTATCAGCTACATTATTACGAACTTACACGATAACTTGCTACTAATCAATTGCATTAGGGCTACTTCTATCTACCATATATGGTAGCAAACAATTGTTCTCTACTATGTAAATGTGGATTCGACTTAGTAAATTAAGATGGATAGGCGGCCAACAAGGTCCGCGTGTTAAAGTGTTAAAGCAGCATCGTCAAAAAGTCAAAAAGAATTGTCGTATTAGCACCTCCGAGGCCCTTTACTCTAGGTTCCTAAGGGTTCGGTTTTATCTAATCATCATACATATTCCCATTGCCACTTACATATGTGCCGAGGGACTTAGATTCCAATTGAGATTTCCTTACCGGTGTTACATCCGTGGAAGATTCAGGCCTAAGGGCCACAAAGTTAACGGAACCATTGGAATATGAAGACCGGTCAATTCAAGCCGGAGACATCAAAGCCGGAAGATTCTAATAACGCATTCCGCCACGAACCATATGGCCGGTAAACATAAATTGAAATTCCACCTAAATTTTTGGAAAACTTCTAGGCCATGATGCTAGATCTTGATTAGTGTTTTTAGTAGCTGGATGCCAAATTTTTAATTTGACATGATATATGGATGAGTATTTGAATCAAGTCAATATGAGAATAGGACCGCATCCCCCGCAATGAAGCTTCAGCGGTGAAGTTTCACAACGTCGAACCCTTGCCGATTCGTCGGCTGCTGACGCAAGATCATGTTGGGCAACTTAGAGAGTTGCTCGTACTGACCCTGGCCTTTTTTTTTTTTTTTTTGTTTCTGGTAGTAACGGAGACCAGCCAACAGGTCGATACATCGGCTGCCGCTACTGCAGGTATCTTAACTCCGGGGGCAGTTCTGGATTCCCTTACCTGCGTGGGGTGCTGAGTTACCTAACAGGACGGCAGTGCCCTTTATCCCGCCGTCTATACTCATTCAGAGGTTCGGGTGCACAACATATGAACTTCGAAGCTCCACGCATCCTAATTCGCCCCGCTCGTACCGAGGTCCGGGGAGTTTGACCAGATGTCGCTAGACGGGCTGAATGTTTGCTATATCGCATTAGTAGCCCGGATCGCTTGAGTCACCGACGTCTTCACGACTTTTATATGCTAGGTACCTATGACACTTCGACTCCCCTATTCATTTCGTCCGACGAGAACTAGAGTAAAAGAAATGAATGGCTGCCATTGTCAACTATTTGTGAGGCGTGCAGATCGAGTACGGATCTTCCGGTAACGCGTATCGTACAGGACATATGTATTCGTGCATGCATTAATATTATTATGGCATCTTATCGACTTTCCCGATCAGAGAGCATAATGCAACGCGTCGGACCGGACCTTATACGAAGGTGGATAGTATCATGTCAATACGCGGGGTACGGGGATATATAGTAACTACAACTGGTGGTATTTCTTGCTGTTGTGTATACAAAGGACTTCGGCGTGGATAGTTACATGGCAGGCGTCCAACGCATTCGCAAGATGAGGAATGCGGGAGATGGCGGTCCGATTATGACGGGGATATGACGGCATGTTTAAAAGGGGACGTAAATAATGAAGCGATTAGAGAATGATTGCGAGAGGGAGATAAAAGAGAGATAGAGAGAGAAAGGACTATTATGTGGCCATCATCCCCCGCGCCCGAGGATACCTATCAGACCTATAAGCAGTCCTATACCCCCTTACTCCATTCTAATGCAACAAACATGGCAGGATGCATATGCCGTTGCCTGTACATATGCCTGTCTCGTTTGATCAATAGCGTCTAACAATAGGGATTGTACAGTCGCGGTCGTCCACACAGGTTTTACCTTAACATTGACATACATGATCCGGGGTCATGGACTATAACCGGGGAAGCAAGAAAATGCGCCGTTAAGACTTACGATTTATACGAGGAAGCTGTCCAGGCATTTATTTTTCAAAATATGCAGTTACTCCAAGAAAGGAGATGATTGTATGTCGATCAAGTTGATACCTCAGCTTCGACCTCCTTATGCTGAACTTTAATTGGACTTCAGGAGAGTTCTCCGTACCACTTAGCAGCGAAGAAAAAAAGAAACGTATATGCCGGTTCCTATGGCAAGGCAGAGAACCTTTCTGTGTTACATTCTACAGATTCATGAAGCCGTCGTGAACGTGGTAAAGGAGAGGAGAGGGGGACTCAACAAACGTGCCTGTCTGTTGCGGCGGTGGTCAACCCCAACTGTACTTGTCACTCTTAGATAACAGCATATCCTGTGTACCATACTAAATAGTATGGTTATCTAACATGGCTCACTATCAGATCACGTATAACAGCGTCGCATCGTGAGATGCTCCCAATGGTAATACCATTTGTTCTCCTTTTTAGCCTGAGATAAGGGGAAGGTACCCGAGGTTGCATGGGATCGACACAAAGGCGAGATCGGGGTTAAACGAATGGATAACCCGCGCGTGCCTGACCTGGCCGAGTTCGAAACCGCACATACTTAAGTAATTTCTATATAAATATCTACCTTGGTACCTTAGGTTAGGTATATATCTTCAGAAGATCTCCCACCGGTCGAAATCTTCAATTGCGACGTGGAGATGCGACACACGTACCCAACTAACTAAAAGTAGGATCCACGGGCTACCTACCTGCTGCCCTAATATAAGGGCCATTCGTGTCGTACGCCGTGGTATGCCCGACGTCCGACAGGTTCGTCCGAGTATACCCGCTGCACATACGTATGGAAGAAAGAAGCTTATGAAACCGCTTCTGCTTCCCGAATTAGAGGGATGCTTTGGAGCCCAGGGGGGGGACTCGTTTGGGTATTGTATCGATGACGGCGCAGGAAAGAAACCGTCCCACGTTTAGGTATTTCGACAGCGTAATGATATAGTTCCACGGCGGCGTAGGTTTAAAAGAGGTATCGGTCGTAATGCAGTCGGAATAGTTCACTTTACGTCATGCGGCGAGTTATTCTATACCGCCGAAGTTCTGCAGTACCTAGGTAGGTAGACATCATCAAATAAGATTCAAATTAGGCACCGTGTAGCATTTGTTATGGATCCTTGGACTTGAGGAGTCATTGAACAGCATCATACCGATAGTTTCTTATCAAGCGAGGCATCACAGAGACTCCGTATGCTGTATATGTCTCGTTTAAAAAGCATCTCATCTCGTTCACCTTGTTACGATATTCCGAGAGGTTGGGTTTCTTAACTTAGCCTCTCTCGACGAGAAGATAACTGCGACTTTGAAGATTGAAATTTTAATTGAATCTTGGATAAGGGCTATGAGGCTCACTTACACTACTAAAACTAGCTTTCGTCGTTCTTCACCCCTGATGATCCTTTGGGCAATACTAGCAGATAATTAACATCTATTTGATAGACTTCTAAGCCTAGATACGAAAAAACTCTAAAATAACCTGTCCAAGACATAATCAAGGCACTTTAACGTCTTAGATTATGATTTAAGTACCTATAGAACTGGGATAGCTAGCTACGAATCTAGGACTATAATAGACAGCCAGTATACTACATCAAGGTTTAAGCAGCCAAAGTTAACAGTGGATGAATTTAAGCGTCTAACTAGATCCCAAGAAATATCTCTGGAGTTGCTATTAGTCTTAGTTTAATAAAATTGGCCTATACACCCCATCCGCGCTCTACGCCTTTCTGGACTTCTGAATATTTCGTACCTATGATAGACATTACAAGCGTGGCGTGACTCGTGGTAGTCTTCAACAATATGATTCATATATCTAAGACACTCTTTTTAAGAAAATGGTGAGCAAATTGCGGAAATCAATGCGTAGAATACCTACAGTTTCAAGACTGAGCAGACTTGTAAGCTCTACCCCTATCTAGCCCCTATCCTACTACTCTATGTTGCTGTCACTACTACAATATTCAATGGGCATAAATAGGCAGCAAAATGAGATCAGGACTAGGAGTTTACCATATAAAACGACCAAATATTTTTATTTTTTCCCTAATCATTCCCTCATCAACTACCCCTTCCCCCTTCCCCATTCTATTTTCCCTCTAGCCCAACGCACAAGTAATCTACCTACCTAATGCATATATGTACCTCCCTAATATATCGTAAATCCTCCCATACGCCCATTAAACTCTCGTTAAGTTAGGTACCCACCTACCTACCTACCTAATGTAGGCCAATCCAATTTACGCCGCCGTCAACACGGCCCTAAGCCGAACATCCCCGCGCTCCAACTTCTCGACCGCGGTCCTAACGCCCTCCTCCGTGAGCGGGAACGTCTCGGTGATAGGCCTGATGCCGTGCAGCGCAGCGAACGCGAGCATCTCGCGGTGCAAGCGGCGCGGCGCCACGAGCGACCCCTGCACCGCGAGCCCGTTCAGCACGAGCGGCAGGTACGGGATCTCGAGGTTGCCCGAGGCCACCGACAGCGGGTAGATGGCGGCCCCCGCCGCCATGATCGGCAGCACCGTCCCCCAGTCCGGCTGCGCCGACGTCGTGACTAGCAGCCGGTCGATCGGCGTCGACACCGAGAGCTGGTCCTTGCCCCGCGTCGACACGAACTCGTGCGCGCCTAGCGCCAGCGCTTGCTCCCGCTTGCGCTCCGAGCCCGACAGCACGATGACCCGGTTGCCCATCTTCGCGGCGAATTGGATCGCTAGGTGCCCGAGGCCGCCTAGTCCGATAACTGCGGCGAGCGAAGTTAGCAGCAATCCCCCCCCCCCCTTTTCTTTAAAGAGATTAAGGCGTAATGATTTCAAAGACGTATTTGAAAAGGTGCAAACTCTACCCCACCCCGAAATAAAACAAAAGAAAAAAAAAATCAAAAAAATGAAATCAAGACATACCACCAACCGTCTCCGTCGGCCTCGTCCCATGCGCCTGCAGGGCGGCGAACACGGTAGCGCCGGCGCACTGCAGCGGGGCGGCGTCGACGTCGCTCAGGCCGTCGGGGATCCTGTGCAGGAAGGCCTCGCGGACGACGGCGTAGGCGGCGAAGCTGCCGTGGCGGACCTTGGCGGTGCCGTAGAGCGCGCGGTCCGCGCAGTACGTCTCGCTGCCCGCCAGGCAGTACCGGCAGCAGCCGCAGCTGTCGTGCTGGTACCCGAAGCCCACCCGGTCCCCGGCCCGCAGGTGCGTGCTCTCGGGGCCCCGCGCCTCGACTACGCCGACGCCCTCGTGGCCTAGGATCACGTCGTCGTGGAGCTGCGAAGGAGGGGGCGGGAGGGAATTGGTTAGCGATGGGGAAATTGTCGTTATATGTGGGAAAATGCTATATGGGTAAGGAGGTAGGTAGATAGATATTGTTTTCCTTTACTAACCGAGTGAAGATCTGTTGAGACTTGGTTAGCTGCTGCTGTCCGTTGTGTAATACATTACAGGGGTAGGTTCTAGATAGGTGGATATTTAGAAAGCAGCCTTACCAGTACCGCATAACCCTGACGCCGTGATTCTCACCAACACCTTATCGCCAGTGAGATGCTCCGGCTTGGTGACGGAGCTCTTCGTGACTCCGTTTTTGGAGCCCTTGTAGACGGTAAAGGAAGTCATGATGTGAAAAAAAAAGGGGGGTATTTGGCAGAGATATGTATATAGTACTAGTTATCTAAGGCTAGGTAGTTAGGAGTTAAGTTAAGACGGTTGAAGGATATCTGTGATGTTGATGATGCATTTATCTTGAGTAGGTAGAGATATGAGTCGATGTTTCGAGATCTAGCTTTCTTTTTATATACATCATCTTTTGTTGTCTCAGAATTAGACCGTTACTGACTGATTACAATGACTGTCATTTCTAATTCGGCGATAGGTAAAACAAGCGCCCATTTGCTCATCCGGCGCTAAGGTGAGGCACGGCGGTGTTTCTTTTCAATGCCCCAAGTTATAAGTGCGCATTGCTAAGCAGTTGATGTCGTCGTACATATATCATATATCGACTCTGGGAGGTTTGCGACGGAGTTGCGACACTTCTCCGACTTTTTTCCTTTCCGGTTTCTCCTTTAGGACCAGGGATGCAAGGGAAAGGGATTGGTTGGCTGCCCGATGCCAGGTCTTAGTAACGCCCTTATAAGATAGATAAGATCGATTCTTATAACCTTATTGATCCTTCGGCATTCTAAAAGCAACCTGATGTCATTCATATTTAACTGCCGTCCAACCACTATCTCGGGTCGACTTTGGATTCAGGGGCTTGGCTTGGGCGATTAACTAATCCACATACATCAGCGCACTTCATTTATATGTAGTTCACAACTGCCTTCTCCTATATCTAATATCTGAAGAATTATTTCATATTCTCAGTAAGTGGTTACTACTTAAGTTAGGTACTTAGATTGGTAATTGCCGGGATCATTACTCACCGACCCTGTCAGTCAATCCATCATCGACCGCCGATCATCTTTGTCTTAAGTTGGATGGACGATTAATCAATTCATTCCGGCACTGAACAAACAGTTATATTGACAAACTTAGTGTATGTACCTATATTGGGTAAATAGGTAGATATAGGACTGGTTTAGGTAGGAGGTATATATGTATGCACATGAGATAAGCGCCATATAATTGATGCTCTATTACATGATTACACGACTGCTTTAGTTGACCATTCCCGACAACACCTCACCAATATCAAGGATTGGACTATACATAGGTAGGTACCCTAACCTAGGAGGTAGATACTTGATGTTTAAAACAAAAAATACATGGTTTTAAATGATATCATATCCATACGCCTGAAGCACCTTGCATCTTCATATAACCAAAATAAGGAGGGGAAATTTGTTGTCCGAGATACTTGTTATCCGTATATCCATTGGGCTCCAGGGTCGCTATTCATTGCCGGCCAAGATATCGTCCCAAAATCCCCGAAATCTTGATTGTCGAAAGTGAACGCCATATCGATAGACCCGGCTAACATGCCCTGCATAGGCAAACCGGCCCCGTCGTTATAACCCCAATCTCCGACTGCAGCCAGAGCTTCGGTAGGGTTATTATGAGCGAGTGCTTCGTCGTTTGCAGCCTCCCAACTGCTAGAACTTACAGGAGTCTCGTCTACGCTCGGCACTGATTCATGGTTCTCTTGTTGTGTCTGTTTGATAAGTATGTCGGCCTGCGCAATGACATCGCGCGTAATAGCAGCTGCACTAGCTGCAGTTTTGATGCTTCTTTTCCAGATATCAAAGACAGCTATGGCAAGATCGACAGCACTTCTCGCCTCTGGGGTTGTCGAGCTTTGCGGGTAGGCTATCACGTAGCCGATGAGTGACATGGCCGCGTTCCACTGCCACTGAGATGCCTCGTGCCAACCGGTAAGGATAGAGGTGGTTGAGAGTACTTGGTGCAAGATGCGCGTTAGTGCTATGGCATGGCGGGCGCAATCTGCAGCGATTTTGTCGGCTGTAGGAGTAGGCCCAGCCGTTGGAGCAAACCGGATAAAGGGGCGGAATAGGTTTATGCATAGGTTATGATACATGAGTTCTAATAAAAGGCGCTGCCGCTGGAGCCAGAGCGATGCGAATTGTTCGATTTCGAGAGGGGTGAAGTCGATGGAAAAGGGAACACCATCATTCAAGCGTTTAGTCTTAAGAGCATCGGGAACGGCCTTCACCCAGTCCTCTATGCGGTCTATGTAAGGTCCCAGAAACTCCGCATGAGACTCGATAATCTTTGGATTATTTCGCGCAGCCTGGTCATCGAAAACGCTGGTTGTGCCGACTTGTTTCTTATAGAAGGCCGTATAGGTTACTCGAATTATCCGGAATAGTTTCACGTTCTCGAGATTGAAGGTTAGCCATGTAGCGTCCTCTCCGAGCGGAGCAAACACGGAACCCGACAGTGTTGCACATTCCCGATCGTCGCCTGGGAGGCTACAGGTGGTATCGGAGTGGTCTAGTTGGAATGGACGGCCCAATTTCATGCTAATCTTGCTATCGAATACGTAGAGGGTCCACAACAAACGCTTCCGCATCTCTCGCTCCCGCTTTGGCATATCTTCGGGAGGTTCTAGGTGGAGGCCGAGCATGTAGGCTGTCCGCACGGCCAGCGTGCAGGTACTATCCGACATATTGGGGAAAGACGCCGAGCAGAGGTAAACAGATGACAATAGGTGGCACTGGAGTGTTAATATGGTAGGGTTTTCTAGGTCGTTAGTCAGCAATCTCTGGCAGCGCTGATAATACCACCGGCTGCCAGCGATAATATCGTTGATGTCATCCTCGAGGCCTGGCTGGAGTGCCGCGTTATAGTGCATGCATAAGGCGATGACTATGTCGACAAGCGCCGACGGCTTTCGTTCTCTGCCTGATGTCGTCCATAGGGATTGGTAATGTTCCTTGAATGTTCCCTCGTCTAGAACGAGAAGTGAGGTGTGGAGGGAATTCCAGAAGAGACTTATGAAATACTCTTCCTGTGTCGGGGTCAAATAGCTTCCTGTGATGGCGGGATCTCCTGGTGTCGTAGTAGCTGAATGAGTGCCTTGGCCCTTCGTCGAAGTCTGGCTTGTCCCGTCGAACTTCACCGGGTCTGGTAGCATGCGGTCGATGGGCCGGGTCTGTTGAAGAGAAGTATTTAAGAAAGTATTCATACGCCTAATAAAGTAAAATAGCGACGAAGCACCGTACCACGTTCCCTGCTGGGAGCGGGTAGTGGGAATATGGACTCCTTCCCTTGGCTTCTTTCCCTCTAGACTATTTCCATGTTCCCCTAAAGAATCAAAAGCTTCGGCTCCCTCGGAGCTAGAAGGTCCAGATGATGAATCAAGACTTGAGGGCGTCTCAGGCGTATTAAGCCCGGCGACAGACTTTGTAGCCTTACGTTCATTCTCAAGCTCTCGCTCTAACTCTCTCACGCGGTTTTCTAGACGCTCAATCTTTCGATAGGCATGAGGAAGTGTACGGACGGGTATCTCCCCTTGGCTACACTGGCCATTTCTCTTCCGGCAATTTGAACACGGAAGATGATTATCACATTTAATGCGATGTACACGGCACCAATCACATGCCCGAGCTACTTGACTCCGCTTCTGTCGAGGTTTGGGGGGTTGAGGTTCCGGAGTTAGCGGAGCGCTTGATTCGGTAGCACCAGCCGCCGTTCCAACGAATGTAGTGAACATTGACCGTCGGATTGGCTTTAAAAAAGACGTGTTTAAAATTTTTTATTAAAACTTTTTGATAGGGTGTGAGAGGATTGAACTTGGATGATGATGATAACACGGGCAGCCAGCCCACAAGGAACATTTGAACTAGGGGCGAATTTGAGGAGGCGGAACAAAACGAGGTGGAGGTAATTGATTTAGGTAAAGACGGTGGAGTCTGGGAAGTGGCAGTTATGGGCACTCAGCCACTAATGCTACGTAATATGTAATAATATGTAACCTAAAAGGTACTAGATTACCTAATATGAAACAAAAGGGGCCAATATTTAACCGTGGTCATAACAGCTGAGGTTGTAAGTTGGTTTTACCTATTTATTTAGGTAATTAAAGTACCCGTGGAAAAATAGATCACGGGAATTTCACGTGATACCTCGGGTCTGAAGCATTTCTCGAAGATTATGGCTTGAATCGAGATCTCCATCATGGAAAAAAAAGACAGGAGTTGTTTTCTGCTGCTATTGCTGACGCAGCTACAATTTATTTCCCTTCCCCTATAATATATACATCTCTTAAGAAGAGAATAGGTAACTACCTGGTAATTTACGAGTGAATTCGGACATGACGAAAGTCAATTACGTTGTGCAGCTTTTGAGTTGAAATATAAGCGACAAGCGTCGTACTTCAGCCTTTCCAACTTTTCTGACGCAGCCTTTCTTCATGTTCGATATTACAACAGAAGAGCATTGACGCCGTCGCATATGCCGATACCTCATATCACATATCAAAAAGAAAAAAAAACTCCTCCAAAGTGCCGCCCTACCAACCCCGGCCGCGAGGCTAATTCCTCCGCAATACCTCTATATTATACATTTATATGCTGCTGTCCATAACACCATCTAGGTTTATCCTCTATAAGCCGACGGATTTTTGAAACTCAATGCTCGCTTGCTGAATCGAATAAAATGTTTTTTTTTTTCTCCCACGCTCAAACGCCGAACTCGAAATTTGGAAACACAAAAGGACAAACATTGCACAGCCTTAGAGGGTCCATAAACCACTCCGGCGTTTGCCTAATGGGTAGACGATAAGTGCGCTTAAGAAAAGGCCTACAGTAATGCCAATGGCTATTTGAATCATCGAAGCAGCGACATTGAACACTATTGTATCTAGAGGCTGGCCTTGCGCGATTGTGATCTAGTCGGGGGTATTAGTTAATGACCTGCAAAAACAAAAAGCAGGTTGAAGGTATATGTTAAAACTCACAGTACTAGTCCCGTTCACTGGTTCAGAAGAGTTGTTCAATTCGTTTGCGGTGCTCAGTCCGCTTAAAAGGCTTCCTGTCGCCGCCAAGCCACTGGGTACCTGTACGAAGATAGCGGGCAAAAGAGCTGCTGCTGCTACTCCATGCCTTAGTCGTGAATATAGGTTTGCAAGGACACCGACGGTGAAGGCGCCTAACGTGTTGGCTATTTGGGGACTGGCTGCAAATTTGGGACTGCTGAAGAAGTTGACAATATATCCGGCAAAAGCAATAACTACCATAACAGGCATCTGCTTCCATTTTGCCTGGTTGACGAAAGCAAGACACAAAGTAAAGAGTGGCACAAAGAAAAATCGGTAGTAGGTAGGTATCGGGTTTGCGCAGGTTGTTGCCGAAGTGGCCTTGGGATCCATCAAACCGTAAAGTGCGGTTCCGACAGTGATGCCAAAACCAAGGAACAACGAATAAATAATGGCATAAACCATACGAATGGAGCCAGGTACCAGAGCCCGGGATTGAAGCTCGAGAGCAGAACACACTATAGAGCCGGTTAGTGATTTGCAAGCTCAGGAGAGCACCGAAGTTATATTAGGTACTTACAGACAAACCATCCAGGGAGAATCAATGCAATGGAACTCTGAGCCAGGGACGAGAAGCAGAACAGCTTTCCACCCGCAATACTACCGAATGCTCTGCTCAGAAAACTAGTTAATACGGCCGCAGATATCTCGAAGACGTTATTGTATAGATCGGACCGAGGCGCGACGATAATCTGCAGAGTACCAACGAGGCAACCCAAGAAAAAGCAGATAGGGAGATCGATCAATTGTCCTTCAAAAGCAAACGGAGCGACTGATGCACTCGCTAGACCGAATACTAGGACTCTAAGCCACGGGTGAAATTTATCCTTGGTGTCCATGACTTTCGTTAAGGATTCAATAGCCTCATCCAGGTCAATCTTGTCGTGGAGAACCAGCTTGTATATCTCATGAACATCTCTGAGTTTTCCAAGATCAATTCCCTGATTAGTCCGAACAATTTTTACTTCAGTGGTATGGGTCGAGCGGTCATCGAAGGATATGATCATACAGCCGGGAAGGTAAAGGAATTGTCCATCGATCTCAAGCACCCTAGCCGTCATCCGCAAATACTCCTCGAGACGGTGAGTCGGGGCTCCGTATAACATGAGTGCCTTACACATCTTAATGATGTACTTTTGTCGAGTCAGCGTCTCCGCGATATGCAACGTGATCCGAATCTCGTCTTCCATCCGTGGTCGGCCAAAACTCAATATCCGTCCACTCGGGCTGCGCCGGTGCTTGGGTCGCTTCGGCTTTGCGGTGCTCGCTCCAGGTCCGCTAACCCCAGCACTAGCGAGACGTGCAGATGCTTCGACCAAATTGGCCAGAGTATCCTGAGAGCGGTTCTTTTCATACCATTTCCGTCGGTTAGGTGTAGTAGCACCAGAAGAGCCCGGTGTGGTAAATTCACTACCATGCTCGGACTTCCGGCTCGGTGGATAATTATTGGACTGGCCAGAATCGGCAGGTTTATACAACTTTAAGAGATTGGACAGGACACTGGGACGATATTCCGTCGGTGGCGCTACGTATAGCTCATGTTTCGGCCCATCGATCGGCGTGTTCTGGCCGGAGCTCAAAGCGGTACTGGCGGTTGCCGGCTGATATCCATGGTTATTCCTTCGTGTGTGCGAACGCACAAGGTTGTACGCTTCTTTCTTCACGGACCGATGCTCCTCGGAGGTACTCTTGTGTGCTTCACCATTGGAAATATCCGCGGTATTCATAGGGTAGTCATCCAAAACCATACTAGAAAATCCAGAGGGTATATCACCGACACCACCGTTATTCACCGTTTCGGCATCCGAATCCAGAGAGGTTCTTGTCGACCCTGGGGCGGATTGCGAGCCTAGTAAGGTGGCGGCGATTTGCTGGGCACGCTCCTGTGCCGCGTGGGCCGACATCACTTTCTCGGAATCAGGATCATCGTCGTCGATAGACTCGGGCATACTAGTCACCGAGTTATAGGAATTCCCGCGCAAAACCGAAGGCCTAGGCCGCGGAGGTAAGGATAAGACATCATTGCGGGATTGCGTCGCCGAGACACCAGATAAATCAAAAAAAGATGGTGGTTCGACTCCGGCGACACTATTAAAGCGTACTCGACCTTTTTCTTTTCTCGTTCCTACATTGATAGAGTTGATGGCATTGAGGTCGGGCGACGCTGGACTCCGAGGCTCCTCAGCGGGAGGAGTCGAGGTCGCACTGGCATCATTGGGAGGTGTCCCAGGGGTTTTGTCCATGCCGAGGGAATTAGTGGCTCTAAAAAACGTGGAAAACTAACGAGGGACCAGGCGTAGAAAGGAGGTAAACAAGATTTAATCAGACAATGCAGAACGTTATCCGATATATGTTGCGGGGGAATACGGTTGGCAGCCCTAGAGAAACTCTACGTTTTATTTGGGGCGAAATAATGGGAAAAAGTATGGTAGAGGTAGGTATGGTTAAAAATAAAAAGGTAGGGTAAAAAGCAGCTAAGGTCGGTATGTCGTTTAGCAAAGTTAGAAATAGGGTTGGTGAAATTTGCAAACCCGATGCAAGACCCTAGCTATACAATAGGAAAGGTCCTATACACAATGGGTGAAGAGAAGCGAATGATAAAGTATTATCAAAGGATAAGTCGAGCCATTATTGGGAGGTTACAACAAAAGGGTTCGTAATTGTCCAAGACGTCTGTCTTTACGCTGAACAGAACAAAACGAAACCACGAGAAGGACGGTCCAGAATTTAATAAACTGGGGACAAGCTCCAGACCCGATACAGATCTTCAAAGCTCGGGGATGGCTCGTTACTCAAACTAGTATCGTGACGCGCAACTAGTATATTGTGTGTATGTACGTATGTACTGTACAATACAATGCGGTAATGCACAATTCAAGATATATACGAATGTATATACGGAAGCGGATATTATCCACATCAGTGCAAATGGCGACAACCAGGTGGGCCACATCTGACATAGATACACACCCAACACCAGACGAGGAGGGATTATGAAGGCCAGGAAGGGGTGATAACGGGCCGATGTAAGTAAGATGCCTGCTGTTTTGTTCAGCAGAGTTTGGATTAACATTCGCTTGGGATTGGATGTCGACAGAACTACCGACAGACGGGCTTCATATGGATAACGTTCAATGAACAACGAGAAGAGCAAGGTTGCCCATCAAGTGCGACCCTTCAGTGGCTAGCTAGAGAGAAGCCAGCGCCAGCCAAGGAGTCGGAAGGGCGACGCCTAGCAACAACCTAGCGACACAACCCCCCTTCCATTTTTCTTATCTCGTTGGGGGGGACTCCACCGTCCACCGTTTACCGTTCGAAGACGGTTAGAAGGGGGAAGAAGGAAATTTTTAGAAGGGGAGGAGAAAGAAAAAAAAAAAAAAAAAAAAGGACCAGGCGTTTATGGGCGATCCAGACCTCAATCAAGAGAGGGACCCAACGTCAGGTTGGGTGGAGCGGCAAGGAATACTAATGGCTCGTAATGTTGTGTCTTGACTCCTGACGTCGATGTTGGTACCGTTTATGTACAATACAGTAGAACCAAGGAGTAATCAGTCCAGGCAGTGGTTTAAAAAAAGAATTAAAAAATTTATATAATAAAAAAGAAAACGAAAAATAAAAATAAAAAAATAAAATACGGTATAGCAAAGTGGGACAGGATGATGATGTTGTAAGAACTGAAATGCACGGATTGTTGTGTTTCCCGGCTTCCATGCATTTACCATCAGTCAATCATCTTGTCATCTCGTCACCCTGGACATCTTGGACATCTTAACTGCGATGTGGATCAGTGGATCACTTCTGCTTCTGTTTCTGTTTCCCTTTTTAAAGTAAGCCAAGCATGAGCTGGTGCCCGGCACGTTTATACATACGGATTGGCCGATCCATCCTGTATGTATATAGATTAAGAATAGACAACCGCCCGGTAGTGAAACAGGGCACGGCAGAGCCGCAGGGGCAGCGTTCTGCACAGAGCTGCAGAGGTGCAAAAGGTGCAGAAGGGGGAGGGGGAATTTGAAATTTTGCTTGTCAATTTCACATGCGCGGGATGGTGCTTCAAATGCCCTTTTTGGATGATTGGAGCGGTTCATGATTCGTGGGCGCCACCATAAGAGCCATAATGGGAAATATCGCAAGATGGAAAGGAAGAGGGAAAAAAAAAAAAACTGTATGACGCCTGCGGCTGTCAACGGCTCCAGCGGTATGTTTTTTTTTTTTTTTTTTTTTTTTTACACTACTACCTCAATCCCGCTTGCCAAGTCCGATTTCGTGTCTTCCATTATGAATTTGCCAGCTGCGCTTAATAACAAAGATTTTTAATACGTGTGTGTGAATTTGAGTCTGTGTGTGAGAAAGAGAGACAAGGTGTTTCTTCTTTCCTTTCTCCTTTTTCTTTTATTTTCCATGCTAGTTACTTCCTTTAGCCCACAACTAAAAAAAAAACCGGAATACTACATCAGGATTAGCGGTAGATTAGTGCTGATCATCCTCTAAGAGCATACATGGAGAGACCCAATTATTTTCCCATAGGCTCTTAAAAAGTTGACAAGATAAGGAATACATGAATAATACATAGAGATACGTACTATAGATACCATGCACGCACTATAGGTAGTGTACTTTTTCCCTGTTCACTAGTAAATCTATAGTGTAATATGTAGTGCAATAGATCAGGTCAGGGTACCTACCATGTAAATGTAGCAATGTTACCTAGTAGTCTTGCTAAGGTACTTACTATGTAAGGTAACGTCCATATCTCCTAGCTGATCGCTGATAAGGATATCCAGTTTTGTTTATAGCGTCAATTGACGCTCGATGATATCACACCAAGAAACTCATTCCAAACAAATTCCCCCTTCCCCAACTTACCATCCTACACCATCCTACATTACATAGTACCTATGTTACCATCTACGACACCAGTCCCATACCCGTCTTTCCTTACTCGTATTCCGTGATCGTAACTCAAATACGTCTCATACATCTCATACAACACTTGCAACTTACATAGCCGGTTAAGCATACCTTAGGTACCTACTTAGGTAGACAGCTACCTAAGGTACGCGACGCAAGTGATTGATCTCCTCTCCGTGTGGTTGTATACAGCTCTCTCGATCATACGGATATGACAAACATTTATTCGGCCTGTGCAACCTTAGCAGCCCATCGTGGTGATACTGAGGTCTGATCATTTCCCTACAGGTCTTAGGTCGTGGAAGCGATATATTAGACAGATAGATCACCTTAACCTTGCCTATACATATACTATACACATTATACATTCTATACAATGTATACAATGTATAGAATTACATTGTAATCGTATACCATGTATAACACATTGATCTACACTTCGTTCCATACTTGGTACATGTCTTCGATATCCCGTACAATACCTAGGTACCTACCTAGCTAGGTAATATCACAACACCCGGTTCCGCGACCACCCCTTGTGTTCCGGCAACCTGCGATGTCAATCAGCCGCGACCTCTGCATAACATCGTGTGCTATAGAGATGATTTGAGCTAATCCCTGTCATCGTGCATAATCGGCTTGCGCCGCCCACTCGGTCGACGCCAATCGAGTCAATGCCACACCGCGGCCGATCACTACCGACGGATGTAGCTCAACAGCTTGATCCGGAGCTTCACAACATTGCTCAATCGGCGCTACGTCTGTAGTGTAGTCCTGATGCGATCGTTTTCTGGAGACTGGGGAGACTGGAGAGACTGGAGTAAAACCTTAGGATTTCTTTGTGTTGTTACCAACCTGGCAACCCGCCTCGGCCACCTCACCGAGTCCCATCATCTTATCTATAGTCCAGCCACCTTTAACCTCCTAGCATAAGCATCTTGCTGCGTCTGTGCGGACTGGGCAAACTCCACCGTCTGGACCTCGTGGGCCCTGCTTCCGAGTCAGACTTGTTGGTGTCTCGCGTTACTGTTTTTAGACCCGTAACCGGATCAGCTCGCAACCTACACTAGGCGTTTAGACTACTGACTAGGATCTTGCCCAACGGCGCAAGGGTAGCTTCAACTATCAATCTTGGGCCGAAATCTCGTCAGGTCTGGCAAAGCCGATGGGAAAGAAAAAAAAAGAAAAAAAAAAGGCGTGGCCCGATTGACCATATCTCATCAAATCTCGTCGGAACCTATGGTATTGCCACATCACCAGCACTCCGTTATTGCTTAGTTCCTCACCTCTTCTCGCCCCTGTCCTGTCCTGTCCCTCCAATTTGAGGAAATTGGTATAATATGCGAGAGCACGCTTGCTGTAGAGCTTCGTCTCCGCCGCACCCACTATCTTATTAACGGATAAGGTGCCCAAGCGTACACACCAATATTTCTTTTGCTGGCATTGATACATCCCCATTGGATGAACCTTTCCGTAAGGAAGGACGTCTCCTTCATGCTTTTTTTTCTTCCAAAACGACTCTGAGAACGTCCACTGTCCAGCGATCCCGGTTGGCCGTGGTCCCATCACGGGTATATGTGGCTATCTTAGATAGTTAAAACTCAGGTTGCTAATCCACGAGGTCATACACGTAGGATGTGTCAATACCTTCGCAAGCCACTTTCCACGACACAGCATACTACTGGCCCCCAAGCTGTAGGACTCCACCCGACGAGACCGGACAGGACTTAACAGGGGGCGCGTTTCGACATTGGTGCGGCCTGCGCGAATGCTGAGTGTCCAAAGCCAGCTATCGCAATATTTGCCAGTACCGTTGCAGATGATGGCTCGACAGCCAGAATAGTTGAAGGAGCGACACTTTCCGATAGTTTTAGACGAGAATATTCTAACACTTCGAGGATCGACAACGCGCAGTGTTTGGGCAATGCATACCAGGTAGGTAGGTTAGGTAGTTATTTACCTGCTATGGTGCCGGATTTAGGAATGAAGTTGAGTGACGAAACGTAGCAACGTGGTAACCCAGGGTGTACGAGTACGGCACACGAAAAGCACCCCTCCCTAGCAGAAATCCTACTTAGGCACTCTGCAAGTCATTCTTGGCTTTTATGGCAAATGCAATTCCCGGCGAGAAGTTTTCTGCGAATCGTAATATACGATTGCCGTACCTAATTCGCACCGCGAAGCGAATATTGCTAGCAATACCACCAGAATTGACATGAAACCTACCTACCTAGGTAGGTAGGTATGCTCAACGTTACTCTACCGAGACGAAATGACGAGCCCGTCCACCAAGCGAAATGGGAAACTGGATGCGGTGCCTGTCATCGTGGTAATTCTACGAGTATCTCTATGTGAGATCATTCTTGCCACCTATATCGTAGCTTGCTACTACTCCCTTCTTCAGTGCTCCTGGGCGTATGAGGTAGGTTGTCAAATAATAGATTGGTTGTACAATACAGGTCCATATTGCTAGTTCCTAAATCGCACAAAGCGAGGGTCACAAAACATTGGTCCTGCTTCCGGACGTGTGCCTCGGGGTTCTTTACGGGGCCAAGTTGATCGGAAGTAGTCGCAGTCGTAGGGAAGCAACCCTATGTAGCAACCAGTACCATATAACTATTAACCG